CATTGGCCACTACATTCACCCTTAAACTCCCCGCGGGCGCCGAAGCACCGACCGCCTCCACCGACTGCATGTGAGTTCAATTTCCTTGAAATCCACTGCATCAAAGAGCTCTAAACTGAAATGAGGTGGAATATTCAGTATGTGTGATATACGTGCAGCGTCCCCTGCCTGCTTGCAATCAAGACATCCAGGCCCTCTTAAGTCGGATGTCCTTAAGAGCACATCATATGCCTCAGAGACTGAGCACTGTGCCCACGGTTGATTGGGTGTTGCCTGGATCTGGCGAGTCCAACAAGGGGCAGGGTTTCGGCAGCCTTCAACTGCATCTTGTCTGCATGCGCACCTTGCCTCTAGCAGGAACAGCATGTTCTAAGATTCACAATGTAGGTTGTGACTTGTTGTGTGGTTGCAGAGCTGCGCATGGGACAGTAGGTGCCGATGACTCGCTGCAGGCGCATTCTGACGCGCAATCTGTGGCCGGTACGATCAGCCTGGCTTCGGGAGCTGCACAGCTCAGCTCGGCGACCACCGACAAGGAAGCCATGGTGAGTGGGCTGCTCATTATAAATATCGTTATCATTTATTGACTATATTTATCTATAATCCTTACACACTATCCAGAGCCTGGTGTCTGGAGATGCACAATCTCAGCTCGGCTACAAGTGACAAGGAAGTCATGGTGAGTGTTCCTATCTGACCCGATCAGCGGAGATCAGATCCAGGAATTTCAGCACAAATGCCTGCCAGACCCAGATGTCATAAAGTCCTGTTGACCACCCCTCCGGAGCTGGAAGAGCTTCTTTCAAGCTTGAATATCCGGGTCCTGACTTGACACAACCATCAAAGATCCAAGGATGACGCACTCTTTAAGATGCCTTTCAAGACAGTCATCAATCCTCCTCACCACCTCTCTGGAGCTTGACAAGGCTGTCAGGGCCAGGCAGACTCTTTTGTGCTTTAATACCCATATTCTGGCTTGACTCAACCAGCACAGGTCAGATCATGAGACTTTGTGCAGTTTTATCCCGTTTGAGGTCTGCGGATTCTATTGAGTTTGTCAAACCTTGATCTGGATGAGTCCGCCTGGATCTCACGGTAATAAGTTTGCATCGTTGAGTCAGCCACAGCCGTCATTCCAAAGGTTTTACTTGTGGAGAGACGTGGTCCCTTTTGCAGCCAACTGGAGGCCCCTGCTTTTGTGTTTTGCAACACCACTGAGCCATCCGGAGCTAAGAGCGCGCAAGGGCCTTGCTCGCTTGTTTGCAAGGCTCTCACATTTTGCATGCTGGAACCATTGTGGTATTCGTCAACCGCTGGCTACGAGTGTTCCAGAGCACCCGCAAGTTTGTAGCGCACTGCCTTAGCTTAGATGACGCGCTGCGGTCAAAAGCAAGCACATGCCAGTCCTGATTGGTAATACTTTGAGTCTGTTGCAGGCGCACAAATTGCTGATGACAGGGCCCTTTGACTGGCATATCAAGTGGTGCTCAGCCATCTTCACAGCAGAATCCAGACCTGTGCAGTTCAGTGCAATTCAGAGTCGCTGACATGGGCCCTTGAATCTGAGCGCAGGCGCACGGCGTGCTGATGACTGTAGCCTGGGCAATAATTCTGCCCATCAGCATTGTGACAGCACACTCCATGCGCAACACTCTGGGCCCCAACATCTGGTTCCAGATTCACAGAGCACTCGGGGTGCGTTCTCCTGCTTAATGCATTGCTCTTGTCATTAGTAACCTGCATTGCTCTTGTCATAAGTAACCAGATGACCTGTGGATGGGGCTATCTATTACAGCGGACCCTTATTGTTCCGGAAGCTGAACCGAGTCTCCCCATTCAAGTTGGTCGGCAAAAAATTTGGGGTGGAAGCATGGTTTCATGTCAATCTGGTGGCGCGGTTGGGTGAGACTTGCTGTCATCAGAAAATGATACTCAGTCTATGTGCTGAGCAATCGTCTGATTGATACGAAGGCTTAGTTTGCCTGACAAATCCCGCTGCAGTATATCCTGCTAAGTTGTGCCTTGCTGGGTTTCTTTCATCCATTCTTCTTGTTCTTGTGAGATTCTCAGGCAAGAGTCAAGGATGTCATTGGGGCATTGTCAAGTGTGCAATGTGAATCACAGAACTAGCGGAATTTACTCGATGCTTCCTTTTTTTCGATCCTACCAGGCAAGATTTTAGCACTGTGGTCTGGTCAGACAGCGGAACTTGCTGTGCATCACCGCACAACCCTGAGACGATGTGTGATTTGGCCAGGCAATTTTTATCAGCCACCACCCCTGCTTCGCAGTGCCGCTGTCCCTCCAGCCCTGAAATTCACTTAGGATTTTGCCAGGCCGCTCCATAATATCAGTCCCATATTTGCATGAATAGCCCACGTGCATCATTTGATGCACTCATACACTCATGCTGGCATGGCCACATCATATTGTGTAAAACATGCAGGGCAACTAACTATTAGAGGTGTGTATTGCAGGTGGTGGCGGTTGTTTGCATCCTGGTGGGCTTTGGGCTGGGAGTGTATCTGTGGACGACCATTCCAGTGGAGGGCATACTACTAGGGCATGTGGTCATAGGTGTCACCACGACAGGGCTCGCCATCCTACAGGCGCTCGCCATCGTGGCACGCCCCCAGCCGGACAGCAAGCACAGGTGCACGCACTTATTCTATAACACTTCTCTTCGTTTCATGCCCAAAACCTCAAAAGTGAAAGGCAGGAAGCTCTGCTTTATTCGAGGGCTCTGCACCTGGCTACTTGTCTAAATAGCAACAGCGCCGGGTGATCTGAACTGGCCAGGCCTCATCTGCAATCGAAGAAGCTGACAAAGTCTTGAAAGGTCTGCAATATATGTGTAGGTTGCTGTGGAATTACTACCACCACAACGTGGGCCGGATCGCGGTGATGGCAGCTTTTGCAAATGCGATGATCGGCTTCAAAATCGGCGGGTTCGACTGGGGCTGGTACCTGGGGCTCTGCCTGATCTGGGTCCTGATCTGGCTCCTGGGGGGCGCTAAATCATTCTACGACCACAGGCGCGCACGTCACGCGGCGTTCCTGAAGCAGAGCAGCGGCGGCCGCCCCACGGCTGCCAGGGCTGGGGACACCGAGTTACCTTCGCGGGGGAATGACGGAAAATACACCATGCTGTGATGGGTTGTCAGTGGTGTACGGTGCTGTTAGATAGACGCTGCTGACAACGTTGCATGTGATGTTATGTTACCTGTACGTTTCAGTGCGTAGGGCCGGGGTTGCCAAAGTAACATCGGGGGAGTGATGACAAACACACCATGCTGTGATCATTTGTCATGGGGCATCTGGTATGTACTTCCTAGGTCCGTCTCCTTTTACTCCCTCTGGCTAGCCTCTGGTGACACATGACATTGTTGACAGCATTTGCCGCCCGGTGGTCGGCATGGCTGGGGGATCAACTTATCATCGGGCATCTCGAGGGAATGACTGCAAGTACATAATACGGTGACGCATATTCTCCTGTCATTTGCTTCATGGTGCAGCAAAGACATGGCATAGCTGGCAGTATTTGCCGGGGCTCTGATGACTTTTTTCCTGGGTCTTGCAAACCTTTTTCAATGTACACAATCCTGGAACAATGCCTCTCTGGTTTGCAAGGGAAATTTTTGAAGTATCATGCCCGGACAGCGATTGGGTGACTCCCTAGGGGACCTAGACATGACTCATGCGGCTCAATTTGCTGCGGTGTTTCACTGATCTTCATGGTCACAAAGACAACTGGTGACGATGCTTCTGCCTTGAGGCGAGTGCATTTTCCCATTGTGTACATATGTTTGGCGGTTGCTAGCATGCTGCAGCAGAGTTGTCAAGGATTACTCAACTGCTCAGCAAATATCACAATTGAATGTCGCGATCATATCTCTCTTGAGATGTTTGACTTTTCTCTCTCGATACACTCTGGCTGCAAGGTAGGAACAGGATCCTCCGGAGGTCGCAGCGATATGTTTTCGGGTTTGCTTTACGTCTGCGCTTTGAATTTAGGCGTTGCATGCATGCGCAGCATCATGAAAGGATTCAATGGGTCATCCTGTTGTGATGGCCAAAAGACCTTCTGGAGGAAAGTTTGCTACCTGTGGTCAATATATAGTTCAACAGATGTGGGGTCAGCCTTAACCGTGCAACATTTAATTAAAACTTTGGATTTTACCTCCTTTTGGTGACACTGCTGCGTGCGCCAATTTCCTGGCCCACAAGGGCCACCTGATCATATCATCATGCATGGGCTCCTTTTTATTGTTGTGCACCAGATCTTCTCATGCCTGTCAGTCAGTCCGTGAGATTAGAATGCTTCCAGCCAACTTAGCGCCTGCCTCTGATTTTCAAAGGCAGCGCCCAGCATGCCATCTAGACACTTAAAAAAAAATTTAGCAACACCAATAAGATCATTATGCCAGAAGTTCTGCAGTATAGCCTGTTGACGTAGGACTTCGCCTGACCTCACCCTTGAAGACTATACCAGGGAAAACCATGTAGAGAGAGAGAGAGAAACATTACATCATGCCAGCCAACAAGGCTGATTAGATGATCACTGTATCTAGATCAGTGTTCAGATGAAAGCAGGTGGCACCTGCTAGGTAGCTAGGGCATGTTAGGGCATTTCGAAGAAGATAATTTTTCCAGGAATAAATTAACGGTTGAGATTGCATGTAATAATAATTTATTTGCTGCAGCAACACTTTAGGAGGCCGACGAGGTCAGTGTAACTTGGCTTGCTTGGGATGTCTGGGATCAAAGGGCTCAGGTCCGTGGACAGCATTAATTGTTTGGGGAGTGTTTTCTTGTTTCTGAGGTGCTAATAAAACAGGCATAGGTAAATATTAAATTTGTTGTTGCATTTGGGGCACAATTCGGACTTTCATGTTTCGCTATTTGGACAAGTGGACCGGTCCATCACTCTCTTCAAAACCTCCTGGAATGAGTGGATCAATCAATTAGAGCATCATATGATGAAGTAGAAATAATAAAGTATGCGATTTCTGCTTCGAGCGTTCCTGGCAGCCCTGCTGGCAAGCCACCTGCTGCTTGCAGCTTCAGGCGATCCCACATCAAAACAGGCATCCCCACAGCGCATCGACCTGCATCACCACTTCCTGTCACCGTCTTATGCCGCATACTTGCGGACACATGGTGTGCACGACCTCAGAACGAAACGTAAAGGATGTGTGGGGAATCTTTCTTGGGAGGGCTTGAGATCTGCCCTATACGATGATGAAAAGATATCTCGTTTTACGTATCTCTGCATGATGCAGCCTCCTTCACATGGCTCATTGCGTGTGCTGCAGGAGGGAACAGGACTGATCTGCCACAGAACTGGACAGCAGAGTCCTCACTGGCTTACATGGATGCCTCGGGCATTTCTACTGCCATCCTGTCGATCACCATCCCAGGCCTGGACTTTGGGGAACTGCAGGAAGCTTCCAGGCAGGCGCGAGAGGTGTTTTTGCCCTCATCCTCATGCATGCCCTTGCCCTTGTGATTCACATTTGTTGAAGTGACAGCAGTGCTAAGAGAAGGAATGCGTCATCACACATGCAGAGGACGCTGGTGCCTGAGGGGAGCCCACCATCTTGGAGATTCCTGTGCTCTTCCGAATTCTACTTTTGCGAGTGTAGCTCAACCTGCTAACTGGTGCTGCGTCATTTCTATGGCCACATGAGACCCGTGCATTGCCGGACAATTTCATGACACCCTCTCCCAGCAGGAGCATCTGCATGTCAACAACGAATCTGCACGTCTTAATTGCCAGTGATCAATGCATGAAATGCTGACGTGGACTTTCTGCTTGCAGCTGAATAAGTTTGCGGCCAAGGTCGTCCGCGCGCATGCAGGGCGCTTCGGCTTCTTCGCGGCGCTGCCGATGCCGGACGTGAATGCGTCACTCGCAGAGGCGGCTTATGCGCTGGATACACTCGGAGCCGACGGGGTGGAGCTATTCGCGAACAGCCGCAGCGTGTATCTGGGCGAGCCAGCCTCGGAGCCGCTCTTTGCCGAGCTCAACCGGCGCCGCGCGGTGCGGCTGCCTTCTTTGCGATAGAGTACTCACCAGTTCAAAACCCTGTCAAGACGGGCCACCCTTTCTGTCATTTTCTGTTTTTTTTTCTTTTGTGTGCTGTACCCTTCCAATATGCTGTGCACAGTGTGACCGCTTACTTCAGAAAGAGGTCCAAGTGCTGGTAATATGATTGAAGGGAGAAGTATAATTCTTGCAGGTGGTGTTCATCCATCCGAACCAGCTGCCGGGGCCAAAAGTGCCGGGCCTCAAGTATGGCGCAGCCGACATTCTGCTGGATACCACCCGGGCAGCCACACTCCTGGTGAGCCTGTGTCTTGCAGTTGTGATGACGCTGATCACATATTGTCCCCTCTAGTCTCTATTGCAAGAACCACAGCAACAGGATTCCACGCATAGTACCGTACTCGGCCTAATACTTAATAAAAGAAGTAAACGACTCTTTTTATTAAGGGTCGAAATATAAATTTAGGGTCTCCACCGATATTGAGGCTTTCAAAAATCTTGAAGTCAGTACTGGAAAGCTCTCGGCGAGGGCATTCCATAGGAGTTGCCTGTATGCAACTTTGCATTGTGGATTTACAGTTGTGCCTTCCTAGCGTTCATCCAACTAAGGTGCAGTTCCATTTGAATTAGGTCGAGTACGGTATTTGAAGACGCGTACTGTGGCAGCAGATCAAAGATGCAAGTATAAATGTCTAGCTTGCCCCTCTTTTTGAGGCCGTGGCAGTGGTAATACTTCTGTTGGTGTTCCTGTGAGAGGTAAAAGCCCTTACGATGCGCAGCATCTCTGACACTTCTTCATCTCACCAGGACGCCACAGCCAAGCCGAGCAATTAGTAGCTCGAGACTGAGTGCATGGGATAAACAGCTGTAAGAGGACCCCCTGCACTGCAGGTGACGTCAGGATTTATGGCACGTTACCCCAACATGTCGGTCATCCTCTCCCACGCCGGCGGCAGCGTTCCCTTCCAGGCCGTGCGCATCGCGCGCGCATCAGCGCGGTCAGCCGCGAATCCCGGCCCGTCGGCCGATGACATGGTCGCCGACATGCGCAGATTCTACTTTGACACCACGCTGTCGGGTGCGCAGTGCTGTGTCTCTGGGATGCTCTTGGCTGACACCAAGAGGGGCAATTCTAATTGTAGCTGCAAGCCTTGTGAGCATATTGGCAGGTCATCTTTGTGATGTTTTTGCGCCACTGTTATTGACAGCACTTGTGCACTGGATATTCGAATGAAGGAACGGGGCAAGCCGTTCGTGCCCCATCCAGGAGAGTGGAACGCAATTTGAATTAGTTCAGGGTGCTGAGATTACTTGTGTCATGGCAATTCTTCTCAGGATCCTTTGATGAGCACTTGCAGCACTTTTGGCTGTCTACAGACAGGACAGATGCATCAACTGTGCCCAACATTGAGCCAGTGCAAATTTGTGCAGGCAACAAGTACACGCTGAAGGGCCTTCTTGCGTTCACAAACGCGTCTCGCATCACTTTTGGAACAGACTTTCTGTTCGGAAATTCATCCCTGCTGGACGCGAGCACTCGCGGATTGGACGCCTTCTTTGGCGCCGGGGTAAATAACGCGTGCAATTGCGCCGAGGAAAATAATACAGTCACCGGCACCGGGGGCACCGGTGCCAGTTCAGGCTCCGGGTGCGCCGGTGCCTGTTCAGGCGCTGGGGGGATGGGACCCTCTAAAATAAACGGCTGCATAGATGAGTCAGCTGCCATGTCAGCGTTCGCGGCAATAAATAGAGGCAACGCTGCGGCGCTGCTACCCCGTTTAGCAACAGTTGCTGCGGCAAAGAATTCAACAAAGTTGTGAGGAATAATGGGTGGTGTCTTGGAGCCTGTATTGGCTAGCTTCGGCCAGCTCTGGGTGCTGTCATAAGGCTTGAAAGGATCAGTATTTTGTTTTTCACGCAGGGCATGTCCTGTGTGTGTTCCATTTTTACTTTATCACCCAGGGTGCTGGGTTCAAATAAAAGCTGCCAGCCTGCGCATTGCAGAGCATCTGGGTTAACGTTAAAATAAGCGTTACCGTAATCGCACTGGTTCTAGTGACTTGAGGAGGCTTCAGCAGATTGGCGATTGGCTGTTGTACCTCACTATAGATGTCCTTTGCTTTTCCAGGATGTGACACAGGCGGGAACATGTTTGGACCTGTGTACACTCCCCTTAGGGTTTTATTAATATAGGGTCAGGGCTCAGATTTTAGGGCTAATGGTGTAGGGTTTATTACCCTTAGACCGTCCAGCACAAGACAAACAGTGAGTTCGCTGCGCTGTGCATGTGAATGACGCTGTCATGGCCAGCAAGTGACGTCATTGTTGACGCTGAATCTGCCCCAAGGGAGCAGTTCTTAAAAGGATGTAATCTAGGTTACAATACTTACAGAACATAGCACGTTGTGTCCTGTGGTGCTCATCTCAATCGCCATGATTAAAGAAGCCATGAAGGGGTGTCGTCTTCTGGGTCGTATGGATATTTGAAAGGGTCTTCATCCTTCAATTCCTTGAGCCACCGAAGCCAAATTTCGCCAAATGCAGCCATCAATGTTGCAAGAAGGCATCTCTTTGCCCTTTCCGTGAGTTGCATCCTCTCGTGTTCGCTGTCCATGTCTTTGTCTGTGCTTATGGAGGCTGCAAGCACAGAGGGTGGAAAGAGGCCTTCTAAGTAGCTTTCATCACTGTCTCCAAAGTCTGGCAAGTATGAATAGCGCTCTGCTTCGAACATGCTCCCACCAAAGCTAACTAAGTACTTTTTGTCGGATCCTTGAATTGTCGCAATTCCTGCAAGAACAAGCATAGCGGTGAATGCATAAATCCCAGATTTCCCATAGCATGACAAAAAGAGCTATTAGACACATGCATCTGGGCGGCAAGGTCCTAGATATGGATAAAAACTGATCCGAAACACCTTAATTGACAAGTGCATGTAGCTTTTGCACGACATGCCACGGTGAAGTGATAAGGCTTGCCCCTCGTGGAGCTACTGACCTGCATCATGCACCAGTAAAGTCTCGTTTTCCATGTGCTGGCCGTGCTTGTCCCAGTCATCCTTATACACCGCCGCCCGCACGCTCCTCTTTGCTCGCCCCTCATTCCCTTCACAAGGCAAATCCACGAGCAACCACTTGCATGCTATCTTATCGTACCCCGGATTAAGTGCATACTCCGGGGACATGTGTGAGATGTACGCCCTGAAGTTCAGGTCTGTCCCGCCAATGTCTGTCACTCTCAGGCCTGCCAGATACTCGACCAGCTGAGAGGGTAGCTCGAGTCGCTGTGCCAGATCCGCAGCACAATCCTACGCAAGCAGTATGAAATCCTGCAGTCCTTTGTATCAATTCAAATGCATGAATACTCATTCAATTTGCAGCTTTGATTCATTTGGAATACATTGAGGCAACGAGTGTCCTTGCGTCACATGAGACAGTACTGGGACTTGTTACAACAGCAGGTGGCAAGCGGGGCAGATTTTCAGGAAATCACATTGTCACTGCCCGGCAGAATGCAAAGAGTGCCGGAGTTCTTTTGCACTGTGAGGGACATGCCAAGCACCAGTACAGTAACTTCATCCGCACACCTGCAGTCTCTTGTTTGCGGCTGCAATCTCAGGTACACTCAGCTTTTCCTCGTGGGCCTGCCTAACAAAGGCCGCCACTTCTGCCAAGTCTGAATCGTCCAACAGCGTCATCAGCTCTTTGATTGTTGCCTTGGCAGTCGTGCTTGGCGGAGGCAGGTAGGCTGCAACTTGGTCGCCTGGCTGGCTTGTGGCTACTTTTTCAGTCTGATCTTCGCTGATGCTCTTCGGGATCGAAAGCATGCGCTTTGACCAGCGTCCATACTGCCAGTTTAGCTGAGATTGGCCTCTGTTCAAGAGATACAGCCTCGGAAGAGGTCTTGTGGGTAAACTTCTGAGAGAGCAGTTTCCACTGATGCTCGACGAACGGACGAATAAACAAGAGTGCATGGCAATGTCTGAAATTACTTGTAATCTTAATTTAAGCAATTATGTTCAGAAGTTTACACACCGGCCCTCTATCCCTTATTCTGGGCAAGCATTGCTTGCAGCTACAAGCGAAGAATTGTGAAACAGCTCATCGGGTAAAATTGTAAAACGGCGAATTGAGGACGGCGAAAAAGTTCTGATGATGAACTCTCGCACACAGACTGGGCAATTCACGTGACGAACGGCACGTGACGAACGGTGGAAGGCACGCTTGAAGACATCTTTCTGTTCCTTCGGCCATTTCTTGTTGATTTCGGCCTTCTGCATTTTCTCAAGCTGAGCTGCTGAACCTGAGAGGACTGGTGCCAGACAGGTCTCGAGTAACTCCTGTCGTGGAAACCAGGGCAGGTAGATTCAACATAAGCCCCCTCGTCTGCTCCGATTTGCAGTGCACCATCGCACTATTTAGAGGATAAACACACCCGAAGAGGAACACCTTGTTCATCAATGTTTGGCGCTTTTAATTGTTATTATTATTCTGATTACACGCTTTTGCTGCCAAAGGCAAGGTGCGTTTGCAGATAAGCTGCATGTAAAGGCTACCAATAACCTTAAAACCTTGTTCGTATTTCCATTCGCAGGCTGGGCTGGTCAGGCGAAACAATATCTCGAAGCAGGTTACTATGGCGCCAGATCTCCCGCCTGAGGTCTGGTCCATCATAGCTGGGCATATGGAAATTCCTCAAGAGTGGGCGAAAGCTTGCGGCACTTGCCATACTTCGTTCGGCGTGCACCTGGCACGATTCGGGGCTGTACCCATGAGTTTTCGAGAGCTGTGCTGGTTCGCAAAGCGCTGGCAAAGCGCCACAGTCGTTGGCCTTGACCTCTCCTATTGCGTCTCAGATTGCTTCGGGCGCCTTTGGCCAGACTCTCCACAAGCAGATCAGTGGTGTGCTGAGTTGGACGCCATCATAGCAGCCAGCCGTGCAGGCAGCTTTGGCAATCTGTCACAGCTTGGTGTGACACTTGGAATGTCGCAACCTTTCAAATGGATCACAGCAATGCTCTTCAGAGCAGTCAATTTGCAGCTCTTGCAACTAAAAACGTTGAAGCCGCAAATCCTGCCGCAAATGCGCCATCTAAAGCATCTGGTGCTGTGCTTCTCGCATGGGCAAGGAATGCCGAGGAATTTTTGCATGCCACTGGAGGAGATGGATTGCCTGCGCACACTTTATTTAGGAACATATTTCCTGCCAGGAGATACCGGTGACCTGCACCTGCCAGCCCTGTATATGCACAGGTGCTTGCAGTTGCAAGCAGTGAGTTTTGAGAACACACCACCCTGGGATTTGACGGTGCCAGATGGATGCACAGTCAGCATGGCAAGTGATATAAATACATGCCTGAAGGTGCCAGCGACTTGGCACCAAGCCACTTCTGCCAGGTTCAGTGCCGCGGAACATGATGGGCATCTTGTGACAAGGTTCTTTTCTCACGTTCATCAGAACCTGACTCGTCTTGAGATACACGCCACAGCCACAACATCTCTGATGGACTTTGCTGCAGCGTTTCCCAAGCTGAAGCACCTGAGTGTCACGTCGGTGCACGATGACTGCGTGATGATTGTGCCCACAACTCTGAGCAGCTTAGAGCTTGCCACAAACGCGGCCCCACTCATTCAAGTTGCAAACATAAAAGCCTTGGCAGAGAGCTTGTGTGCGCTCAGACTGGCTTGGAGCGGCTGGGAATGCAAGCTGGATCTGTGGACAGCCATGGAGCTTGTAGGAAAGCCTTGCGCTGTGTCATACCTAGGAAACGGGGATATAGCGGCGCTTTTTGGGTGCATGCAGCAGGATGCCTGCCATTGCCAAGCATGTGGGGCATGCCTGTCGCGTACAGGCATCCTTGATCCCTGCTTGAAGCCAGCCCCACGCATGTGTGTGCATTGAATAGGTGATGTCTCCGAGCTGTAGATGTGAAAACAACGTTGAATGATTCAGCCTGTCCAAAATTCTGGAGCATGACTGGTGACTGAAGCAGGAAGCACTGGGAAATCTCCTTTTGTTGTAAACGATTTGTGCACTAAAGGCCTATCATGCTTAAGTTTTTTGTATAGTTTGTTGGCCCCAATATTATCCCCATGCATCGACTTGGCGGTATGTCATTGAGGTCTTACAATTGTATGTACATGGAATGCATCCGACATAAACATCAATGTCCACAAGTATGTGGCTGCGGTACCTAAATGCGAAAAAGAGAGCAAAAAAGTATGTAGATAGGCACCCAACAGGACTCGAACCCGGGCATTCCGACTAGGAGGAGGGGCTCGAACCCTCTACACACAAATCGTCCAGGGACTTGGGCTCGAACCAGTTACAGCCTGACGCCACCAGGAGAGTCGTGCCATTGCTCAATTGCTGCTTTTAGATACATATAAGGCGTCTGATGCTCCTGGATTTGTTACAGGCCATTTTCCCAGGCCGTTCATCCAGCGCTGCAAAGTGCTAATTCCACTCGGTGTCTCTCTGGTTGTCGACACAAGGTGTCTCGAAGCTGTCGGCCTGTGCGCAGCTCACAGCAGCAGAGAGCATAGGGCCACTTTAGAGGTGTGCGTTCTATTAAGAGTCTGACTTCTTACTGATATCAGCCATGCCATTCCCCTTACTGGCATGGTCATATTATCGCCTCGTGGTGTAGAACAAGGAAAGCATGATGATCAATCTGTCCTTTCACAGTATTTCGGGCTTTCTGCTCAAGACGACGTGCTCTCGGCCTCCCTTGCGATGATGGCTGAACCACACAGCAGCAGTGTATCACAGGTCTGGTCAATCTTCACAAACGCCACGAACAACGTCAGCGATTTTTATTCAGTAGTGAAGTTTGTCGTTCGTTCTTAAAGTATTTGGCCAGGAGCCTCTCACAGAGGGTTCTCTCCCCAACTGCTGCAGGTTGAGCAAAGTTTGGAGCAGCTGCAAATGACGCCAGATCTGCCACTCAAGGTCTCCGCCATAGCTGAGCATTTAAAAGAACACCAGAGACTGGGCCAGAGCTTGTGGCACCTGCCAAATTTTGTTCAGAGTGCAGTTGTCAAGCACAGCAGTTGAACCCACCCCCAGGAGCCTGTCAGAGCAGCTGTGGTACACCGACCGGAGCCACCGTGCAGACATCATTGCTCTGGACCTGCAAGCAGTCAGCAGAGAACCACAGAGCACGGATGCTGAGCTGGAGCCCAGTGTGGCAGACAGGTTAGAGGCAGCCTTCAGCAACCTACAGCAATTGGGGTCTCACTGTTGGAAGGCCAGCCGTCTACCTGGCTGTTCCAGGCCTTGAGCAAGGCAATCAACCTGCAGGTCTTGCAAATTCTTGTGAGCCTGCAGCCTCTGCCGCTCTTGAGCAGCCTTAAGCATTTGCTGTGGTACATCAAAACAGAGGGAATAATTGTAGGTGATATCTGCGATGCTATAGGGGAGTCTGCTTGCCTGGAAACTCTGGGCATGGGCAGAGAATGTAGCAAGTACCGCAGGGTCAAGCCTGAGAAGTATCAGGGTGAAAACATGCTGATGCCCGCTATAGACTTTTGCAGATGGTCACTCTTGCATGCAATCAAGTTTGACTCGGTCATGCCGGCTGCTATGCAGCTGCGCGGCCTGAAGGTTGCAAAATGCATATCAGTTGTCAGGTTGAGACATGTCTGACTGCTTGCTACAGCTGGCGCCATGCAACCTCTGGAGTCATAAATGCTTCCCGAAAATGTGATGCGTTTATGTAGCTTCTGAGCAGATTGCGCCAGAACCTGACAAGTCCAAATATCATGTGGGGAGATGCCTGGCGGGTGGATTTCAGTCGTGGGCCGCTGCTCTATGTCAACTTTGCTGCGGTGTTTCCCAACCTGCAACACTTGGATGCCCGGTATTCTGGCAATGAGAACATCCAGATCAAAGCCTTCAACTGTGAGGTCCCTGAACCTCGATGCAAATGGGCGTGTGAAGTTTGGGAACCCTCAGTCCTTGCGCAATTTATCATGATATATTGATCACCCGCTATTACTTCGAGTGGCGCCAGTACAATTTTGCAAGACCTTATTTCTGCTCTCAAGAATCAGATAAATGGCACGGGCTGGACATGTTTTAAACAAATTTTGAAAGCCATTCTCTCAATTACAACGCATCGTTTGGGCAAACAACCTCAAGCCACGTATGCTGGTGTCAGGCATGCGGATAATGCCTTGTGTTTACAGGCAAGATGCATCCACAATTGCAGAGCCGCAAGGTCATTGTAGGCTCAGTGAAGGGTGACAACCCCGATCTTTTGATAAAGGGTGCACCTGCTGGTTAGCCATTACAGCATGTCACTGTGGACTGCGGGTACCAGCATATTATGAGCGCCTGGCCTGGACACCTGTAATTATGCAGATACCCTGAATTACACGCAGCTTTTGGTTCCAAGGGAATATTGAGGGCTTACAAAGAATCACAAGCATTCCAAAAATCATCACATTTCTAGAGATTTTCTGCACTGGCTTGGGCAGACAACCGGCGATATCCCTTCTAGGGGGTCTTAAATTTACTGAAACCCCACTTTACACCACATTACCTCACTCATGCAAAGAGGCAGCCGTCATTGTGTACAAGGTTGCAATTGCTGAAATTGATCTCGAGGACAAATTTGCAGAAAGTGCGTCTTGTAGGGACTCTGCATGTGATTCAGCTCCTTGTTTGTGCGTAAGACATTGGTATTAAATGGACAGAAGCCGGCATTGAAAAAAGGGAATCTTCTGGAGCTCGCATCTACTCTCGGGTCCAGCAACCCTCCGAGTACATCGGCAGGTGTCCCCTGCTGCCCTGACCTTGTCTTTGATGCGCACGCCTGCAGTTTTTGACCGACTTGTGAAGCTCAGAACTCACCGGCTGCTGTGCAAGTCGTGCCTGTGGTGCTTCCTGAAAAGATCAGTTTCCAGGATGGTGCGGAGAGCGAGTCCCATCGTGCTGGCGCCAGATTCAACACAGGCAAAGCCAAAGCTGAAGCCAAAGCCACAACACTACAAGGCTGCTCCAATCTCCGCACTTCCGAAGATCAAAATCGTCGCCACGGACGCCGACACCCCTGAAACGGAGTACGAGCAACTTTACAACTCGTCCTCCTTCTTAAAAAATGACCTTCCAAGCAACGAGCTATGATCCCTGCAACGCTGGATGTCGATCCCTGCTGGCACGGGAGCACTTCGTCACAGTGCTTAACGCTGGTGCTCGTGCAGGGAACTGGCGGAGCTTTGGTACTTTGAGGCGCCTGGCAAAGAGGTGGCGGCCGCACAGAAGGCCAAGCCGGCCAAGACAAGGCGCAAGCCTGACGTGCAGTGCTACTCCAACACACTGGGTGAGGCCCTCATCTTGAGACCTGCCCACTGCCTGTATGCAGAAGTGCCATTTGCTGTACTTGCAAGGAAGATGTGAAAAACTCAAGCCGAGTCCCTGACAGATGCAACTGCCTAGGACGCAGCTGATTGGAAGGCGGCAGCTGCCATGCATGCATGCATACTAGAAGCTGCTTATCACTGATTGGCACATCATAGGAAGGGATCGAATGCAAATTTCCTGTAGGCCGCTTGCATGCACGCTTTACAATTGTAAATTTGGAATGCATGGCACCCAAACTAGATGGCTCTGCAGGTTGGCATGCCTGTTCATGGAACCTTGCAGCAGATCATGCATTTGAGGTGCTTTCATGTATGCATGCGCAGAGTCATTGGTGGACGAATCCAAATTGGATGCTGTTGTGCTGAAGCTGAAAAAGAACATCTCTGCGTACCTGGCCGGCGACTCAGCATACCGGCTGAATCACATGGCCGAGCACCTGAAGGTGTGTCACAGACATTCCTAAAATCATACCTGTTTGATAACCTAAACGGACATGGCCCCGGCTGGCGGGGGGCAGTATACATACTGAGCACCGTGCCCACAATTGAGTGGGTCTTGCTTGGGTCTAGCGCGTGCAACGATAGGTAGGATATTGGCAGCCTTTCACTGCACTTTTGTCAGCAGGACACACCTTGCCTCTTGGCAAGAAACCGTGTATAAATGGACATGCCAATGACAGCCTGAGACTGCACTGCATTGGTTGCTGAGACATGCACCGCTTAACTGCATGCTTTTGCATTCCTTTACAACAAGGCCTACGAACTGATGCGTTGCTGGCCAGGGTGGCCCTGCTAGTAATTAGTATAGAACGCGTGAGTCAGTAGTAAAGTACTCCTAGGGGGATTGTGCCCCTTTCATTAAATTAGGAGTGCTATGCTTACAAGCTGTCTTTCAGAATACGTGTGGACTCTACCCTCTTCTCTGTGCTTGCAAACAGGTGTTTGAAATAAGCGACCCCAACCACCCAGCAAAGAGGCGCACTGAAGAAGTGCTACGCTGGATCGATGTCCGACCCAGAGAGCGAGGCCTGAGCGCGAAAAAGGTGCGCCTGCTCTGGACTCTCCTCTCTATTTCCCAGGCAGAACCCTACTCTGTCCCGGCTGGCGGGGGCGGGTACAAAATAGTGAGCACCGCGCCCATGGCTGATTGGATCCTGCTTGGATCTGGCGAGTCCAACAAGGGGTAGGATTATGGCGGCCTGTGCATGCGGGTTGTCCGCAGACGCACCGTCCACCTGGCAGGAAAGCGTGTGATAACTAGAATTTTATGACAAGTGCAGTACCCTAGAGAGATCCGATGCTGGATTGGCACAACATGGCAGTAGACATTTGCTCTGATGGGCGCAGTGTGTGCCCAGGTAACCCCTGCATTTTGCGCCATGCAAGATGTATCGGTTCTGACACCTTCTTGAACTGGCAACATCCCTGAGTCCAAGCCCTAGGTTGTCAGACAATGCCTGGTTACAAACTGTACTGTAGGCGTTCCAATACAAGTCTTTCGGAATCCTGGTCTCAAAACCCTCATCTCACAGCTCTCATGTAGCAATCTGAATTATTACAATGAGCCTGATTTTGACAACTGCCTCTTCTGGCTGAGGGTTGAAAATCATGTTTCCTGACAGCCTGCTCAGTCACATTGCATGGATCACTACACTCATTTCACAGCCCTCTGCACATATCATAGTATGTCTTGCAGCAAAGATCCACCCAGCCAGACCGCTTATTGTGCATGTGATACAGTCCACGATGTATGGCAGGCTTGTTTTTGCTGCTTGCCCTATAGCGTCTTTGGGGTTTCTTTTACCCTTCTTGAAGGCAATGTGTATGTTGAGCACGAAATACGGCGATAACCACCGTGGTTTGTCATGCAGGACCTGCCGCAGTTCCACCTGCTCGGCGAATATTGCGGCGTGGTAAAAACTGAGGAGCAGTCGGAAGAAGACGCGGCTGCGGCGTGCGACGGCGAGGAGCGCGTGACAGGGTTCATAATAAAGGACAAAACAGAAACCTTTGATTCCGAAATTGACCTCCCAAGTGCGTACACACCATAAATGCCCATTTGTTGCATTTCATTGCAGTAAGGACTGTGCCCTGTAGCTCTGAGCTTCTTCAAGAAGTTCGTCAAGGTCCTCTTTTCTGCCATGCTTCTGGCTTTGACCCACTGATTCAAAGGCATGTTCAAAGCCACATTGGCTTTCAGCCAAAATTCTTAGCAGGAATGCTGATTCTGCGCGCCTGTCTGCGATACTCTTCACGAGTGGCCACGTTGCAGCATTTCTTGTTCCTCTCTCTTGGTTTGGAATACTCAAGTCCCCCATGCTTGTGCCCGGCAGACGGGAGGCGGTATAAATGCTGAGCACCGTGCCCACGCTTGGTTGAGTCTTGCTAGGATCTGGCGAGTCCATCCACGATATCAAGGAGTAGGATCATGGCAGCCTTTAATTGCAGCTTGCCTGCAGGACGCAGCTTGCATTCTGGCAGGAAAAGCATGTGATATTAGCAATAGCATTAGTGATAGTAATAATAAGGACAATAATGCTTGTGCATGCAGAGGACCATTGGGCCAAGGACCAGGAGATAATAATAGATGCTTCACGCGCGCGAAACTGCCTGGCCCTAATCAACGACGCCAAGGGATTCCTCGACAAGGAAAAAAAGTCAAACATAATGTCTTTCCAGGTGAGTCAATCAGTAGGCTGTTAGCCAGTAGAAAACATGTGAACAAAATGCCGTATGCACTCATCCCCTGAGTTGTTAGAATGCTTTGGTCAACTTCAATCAGGAGAGCGATACTGCCTCTCCGCATGTAATAATTTACTAAGTGTACTGTGTCGAGAAAGAGTTTGCATCATTTTGCGAGGATTTGGGCTTCACATTGCAGGGTGCTGTTTTCAGACCGACAGGTGAATGAAACACGACTGAAAGGTGGCTGAAGGGTGACTAAAAAGAGAGAAAAGAAAGTGACAAACTCGTTCCTTTCAGGTCCTCGACCGCACCACGACTGAGCTGCATCTGTTCTTCATTGCCAAGCGCGGGATCAAGAAAGGAGAGGAAATTCTGCTGGACTATGGCGAGGTGATTAATATTCTGGACATGTTGAGTCAAGGTTTTTCAAATCTTCCAACTTTATACTCAGCGACTTGCCAAGTTGGAAATTTGACCTGGATTCCAGAGGTGACATATCGAGTGATTGCCGCATGTGCTTTTTCACAGATGAGTCATCTGTAGTTATGTATCTTGCATTAGGCATGGTAATGGTGAGTCATGGCCAGGAGTCAGCGATGAGTTATCGCGACTCACAAGCAGCAGTCACGACCTGCTGTCGTCAAAATTCTAAGAGATTGTGGTAGAGAACAATACTTCAGTGATGAGTCAAATGATGAAGAGTAAATGACAGCTGTGCTGGGGCAATTGAGCACCTTTTGTGTTGTGCTGCAGTCATTCTGGGAGGTTATGGAAAGAAAGATTGCCTGGGCCAAAAAGCTAGCGGTGCGATCACAGCTTATTGCCTGCCGTGACATTTAGAGCGCACGCATGTTGCCCGTAGCAATCCTGAGATGCCATTCTTTATAATTAGGTTTGAGACCCCAGATTCTCGGGCAATAAACGTTATAGGGTTGATCATGATCTTGGCAGGATGCAGACGAATCAAAAGATATGAGCATTGCCTGTGAAAGTCTGCCCATGAGACGGGCCTCTCGCAACAGGTCTCTCAAAGACCTTTTCAGAGTCTGAAATGAGTTAATGACAATGTCATACAATCCTTCTTATCCCGTGTCTGGAAAATGTGTGCATGCTGTGTTGTCTGTATCGCCCGGGCTTAGGTAGAGGTATGACATGCTAAACCATTGGTTCCTCCTGCAGGCGGAACGGAAGAAGATTGCAGCACTCGAGGTAGCATTCTTTGGTCTCACTGCCACACTTTGCTAGTGCCTTCCGTTAAAGAAGCCTCATGTCTCTCACCCTTTTGTCCCCAATGCTGAGGCTCATCCTGCCCAGAACTATGCTCTTTTCAGATCATCCCATCCCGCTTTGCAGCAAATATCCTCTCAGCTGCATATGCTCTGACGGGTGACACAGCAGATCCCACCTGGGCCGTTATTTGCACTGCCAAGCCTAACAAAAATTAACGTTGAAATCCATTTATCGGTTCCAGCTGGCGGGGGCCGGTATAAATACTGAGAAGCGCGCCCAGATTTGATTGGGTCTTGCTTGGATCTGGCGAGTCCGAACAGGGGTGGCATTGTGGGCAGCCTTTGACCTGCAGCTTATTTGCAGGTCGTACCTTGCCTTTTGGCAGGAAAGTGTGTAATAAGAAGAACAATAGTGATAAAAACTAAGACAAATTCAGGGTAAAAAGGGTTAGAAGATGAATTTTAAGGGAGAGTGGTGCATGCTCAGGCCAAGCTGTGCGAGGAAGGTGAGAGGAAGCTGGAGGCAGAGGCTCTGCATAGGCAGCGAGAGATGGAGCTCAAACAGGAGAAGAAGAGCTGCGATGCGGCCATCAAGTCCCTGCAGACAAAGCTTGGCAAGGCGCAGTTTCAGGTGACTCGCTGACTCACAAGTATTGGGATTGCATATTGTGCCACAATTTAATGGAGCTCTAGAGAAGCAGCATTGTGTCGTTCATCCGTATGTGAGAGTGCTGGTGAGATATGAGGCTAAGGAGGAAAGTGCCCTTGAAATGAAGAGGGGAAAAGAATCACCGGTCCCAACAGCAGGCCCGGGTGGCAATGCTGAGGCCCTGCAGGATAGGAAACGTTTGGCATCTTTCCAAGAAGTTGAAAGGAGACGCTCAGAGTCAGCTAGGGATCATCACGGGTGGATTGGTGGTGCCAATTGTCAGAAATTGGTAATTTAGACCAAGGTGAGTGCCTCTTATTTCATAGGCAACATTCTGCCACAGGTCGCGGAGCAGGCGCGGTGCAAGTTTGCTCTGCAGCAGAAGCAGGCGGAGCTGAGCCGCCTTCGCGTATCTACCCTCACCAGCGCCAAACAGCGGGAGCTGGACATCAAGCGTGCCGAAGAAGAGGTGGGTTCTTTCTCTGGATAGCTGAATCTTTTGTCATCCCTGCGAGAATAGTGCATTGCGCAATGGTGCCTCTCTGTGAGCATCATTTCTATCTTTTGGGTTTGATCATCAGACAATTGATTATCAAATCTGAGGCGCTTGCCAAGAAACGAGTAAAAAGGGATACCGGTGCCCCGTTCAATACAGACAATGCATATTGTTTGACACCGCTCCGATCGTTCTCTGCTGCCACAGAGGACAACATTTACATACCTAGGGAAAATGTCAAGTAGAAGTCCAAAATGCCTTCAATGATTTTTTGCTACCAGCTGCGCGCGATGGAGCGAAGGCACGAGGCGGTGGCGGCTGCGTGCGAGGGGCATGCACGAAAGGAGACTGAGCTGGCATGCCAGCTGGCGGTGCAAGAGGAAGCTGCCAAGGATGCTGCGCGCCTGGCCGCCATGCACGCAGCGGCCGCCGCCGAAAGGGCCCGGGAACTCAGGGAAAAGGACGCCGTCATTGAGTGCATGAGACAGGATCTCGCGCGAGTGCAGCTTCGCACACTGCAACCGCCACTGCCGCCGCCTCTGCCTCCAACGCCCCCGCCACCGCTGCCGCCGCCCCCGCCCCCGCCACCGGGGCCTCCGCCGCCCCCGCCGCCACGGCCGGCTGCGCGCTCATGCATCGGTGCCGAGGGTGTGGCACGGCCGCCGACGGTGCCGGCTGCACGCGCATTCTTTGGGGCCGGGCCGGCGCCGATGCGGCCGGTGCCGGCCCCACGCGGATGTATTTTTGCCGGTCCGGCCGATGCGCACCCGGCAATTGTGACGGTGCCGGCGCCGGCGCCGGTGCCGGCGGCGCGCGCATGCATGTTGACCGGGCCGGCTGAAGAGCAGCCGGCGTTCGCACGTATTGAGAAGGATGGCTGCGATGAGCATTTGGCATTTCCAGCAGAGGAGACATGGGATTTCAATGCGTCCAGGCCTGAAGGTAAACCATTATCTATTTATGCCTGGTGCTCAGAAAAGGGACTGAATGAGCAGACCTGCGCAGAAATGAGAGCTTACACCTAAACGAGGCGTCTTTCAACCCTTAAGGAGGTGCCATTTACCTTCAGCGTGTCTTGTCGTTGCTGCTGCCTCATCTCTTATTGATTTGAACCTTCTTGTGGTGTCACACTCAGGAGCAGGAGAGGGCGCGCCAGCTGTAGCCGATGACGAGGGCACGGGCATTGACTTGTTTGCGCTCATCGCTCGCCACAATCAAAGCATGCAGAAGCCGCAAGACCCGTGCCCGCCTGAGAAGCCTGCCAATGCGGCACCTGCGAGCAAGCCGGCTTGGAACCAGAAAGGCACGCAGGTTGAGCCCTTTTCCCCATGATACTCAACCTCAGCAAGCTTCATCAGGTGTCTGAAATCAGTGTAATGATAGAAGTTGAGGATATGCATTCCCATGTGCTTGACAACATAACCAGCTATTCTGCCCTGCAGAATAATACATTGCTGCACAACGTAACCCCGAGCCAGGAAATACAGGTTTCAAAGTCTAGCGGTACATTGTGGGCGTGTTGTTTTTCTCAGGCCGTGGCAGTCTCTGCTGAATGGCATTTGCATGTCTCTGGTCAAATTTCATGTTTTGCTTACCGAGAACAAAACAAAGACAATTGAAAACAGAAAAATTGCGAACACCGCCCAGAAAGACGAACCCCTACACCCTACAAGATGTAAGAAAAGTAAAATAGTATTTTGGTGTTGCAGGCTGGTGTTGACAGAGGAATGATCACATTTGCTGAGCTGGCAAATGACCCCATCAAGGCGGCAGCTGTGCTGAAGCCGCAGCCGCCGCCCTGGAAGCCGGAACCCAGGAAGAAGTCAGACGAGCGCGAAGAGGGCGAGGTGGCCGTCAAGAGCTGCCAGGACAGCTGCAGCAAAGGTGAGACTCTCGCATCTCCCAGGGCCTTACTGGGCCTCGGTGGACATTCATATTGGCCCAGACCCTTTCATTGCACCCTGGGAGGTTCCAGAGAGGTGACACCTGCCTAGAGATGTTGGACTTGCAACATGAAAGTCTTGAAGGTGCAACAGGGGAGCATCACAGAAGTCAGTGCCGCTGAGAACAATCTCATCCTGTGATGTCAAGTCATGCACTGCAGTGTTTCTCTTAACTTTTTTGTATTGATTACCAACTGAACACATACATCTACAAATTGGATACAGCCACAAAAGCGGTGTCCCTTACGGACTTTAGTGAATTATCTCAGCTGAAACTTGGAGGAATTCCAGGCGTCGCCAACAAAGCTGGCGAAGCGCTTGGCGGCGGCGACCTCTCGGGCCGGCAGTCGCGCGCGGCCGGCCGCGGCCGCAGCCGAGACCAGCGCGCAACTTGCAACCGCCAGGCCTACGCGGGGAGATATTACGATGTGGGCGGCTATCCCCCACACACTGCGCCTTACGCAAAGCCGGGGAACAATCGTCGGCCCCCGCCGCGCCAATCCCATGACTGGTATGGCTGCCTCTACGGCGGCCGCCGCGGCCGCAACAATGCTCCAAAACGCAGCTACAGCCCCGTCAGCAGCTGCAGCCGCAGCCGCAGCCGCTCCGGCGGCCGGGCTGACGGTATCGACCGCCACGGCCGCGTCGGCTGCCGCAGCCGCAGCCGTAGCCGGGACGGCCGCGGCGACGCCGGCCGCAAGGCCCCGCGGCCGTCTCCGTGCTACATGAGCCCCGTCCGCAGCCGCAGCCGCAGCCCTATTGGCGACCAGCCACGCGGCGGGCGCGAGGCAGCCCATAGCACTAGCCGCAGCCGCGGCCGCAGCAGCACGGGCGGCCGCAGCCTGAGCAAGTATGGCAAGAAACGCAAGGGCAGTCCGCTGCCGGCACTTCCCAGCGCCATGTCCTGCAGTCCTAGCCCCACCCGCAGCTGCAGCAAGACCTTGAAGACTGGCAAGACCCATGGCCATAATTTGACCCTAAGCAAGGTCCTGAAGCCTGGAAATATATCTTCAAATTCCACCGACCGCAGTCGCAGCCGCAGCTCGGGGCGCAGCAGCTATGGAGCCTTCGGAAACCAGGGCGATCCAAGGGTGACCCGTCGGCCCCAACCATCTCAAGCCTGGCCCAGGTGACAGATCAAACAATTAGGGACAGTAAATAATTTTGTGGTGTCAAGCGAATATCTGAGAAAGGTCTTTGCCCCTAGCACACCACATGACATCGTCCTTTGCAATGTGTTTGGTAGTCTGTCGGTTGTCCATTTATCTAGGACAAAAATCACCTGTAGAGTCTGAAACCATCCCTTGCAAGGCTGCCCTCACTTGTTACCAACTGCTTGAAAGGGCGCATAAGCCCATCCAGCTTCTTTGGGTAATTTGCAGATCACACCGACCTGCAGACTTCCAGCTTTTGTAAGCTGGCCCTTTTATTCCTTTCCCAGCCGCAGAAGTACCCTTAAGCAAACCAACAGAGAGCTCATGCTGGAGTAGTGTGCGCCGCAGGGGTCCGCGCATGCAACACGACGGGGGAAGCTGGCGGAAGCTGCCTGCATGCCAGGAACGCCATTGCAGACTACCCCTGCACCAACCCACGCACGCGCATTGACGACGTCCTTGCAGCCTGGAAGCTGCACAGTCAGCCGGGTGTGCGCGCATGAAAAGCATGAATCTTCTAAGGTGTGCTAGGAGGCTACAGGGCGGCAGGCAGAAGCCGCCAGGAATTCATATAGCTCTGGCCAATTTGGACTTGAGTTTGTGGTTTGAATGGTCCTCCAGACTCTCCAAACGTGTGCGCGCCCGGAGAGCATGCTTGTCAAAAGTGAGACACGATAAGGAGCACACAAATGCGCATTGCACTGCAAGTGAGCAGCAGTAGACGTGGCAGCAAAAGCAGGGAGGTCAGTCTGTCTGAACGCGAGTAAGAAAGAGAAAGTCGCACAAGTTTGCAATCTAGACTTACCAGGAAATGCACAGAGGCTCCGTGAGAGTCTCACCAGCAGGCAAGACTGGGGCTGACCCATACCTGAGAGGCACCTTGCGAAAGAAATGTGGCTTACCAGGCCAATATAGATAGCGGGTTTTTGCGCTGCTTAACTTTTGATGAATCAAACACTGCAACGCAGCTGGAATGCTGCTTGGGAAAATCTGGTCTGCCTTGCAGGGTGTGCTATTCCAGGAGATGCTTCTATTTGTTACTGGAAGGCAGTGCTGATGAGATGCGTCATTCCCTTTAGGAAGGGTATTGATATTCCGGGGGCTGAGACCTTGCTCAACATATGGGATATGATTGTTTGTCAAGTGCTATATGATGATATAACATATGGGATATGAATGCTCAACAGATCCCTCCAATGATTGCTGAATGCCTTTTTGGGCTGAGATATGTCCCAATGAAGGTGACTTACAGGACGGAGTGTGATTTGAGCATTTTGTGTGTGCACATTGAGATTGCTGTGCAGTTTTCTCTGGGTATCTTCAGCGTTCCTGATGCAGCAATGCATCCTTCCTGGGGGGCAGTGCTAGATCATTGACAGCCCTATTAGTCATGATTTGTGCTTGTTTTGATGCCCAGACTGCATCTTGTATGTAATGCTCCTCTGTCCTTCAAGGCTTGTGATCTGCAGGCTGACTACAATTACACGGCATAAAAACTTCAGAATGAATTGCGAATCGCTGGCAATGCCATCAAGATGACTGCATTGACACTTAAGCTTCAGGCATATGCACATGCCATGAAAGATATTGTGCCGGCAGTGCTTAGAGCGGCGGGCGAGTGCTTGTCCAAGGTTGCAATGTTGGCTCTCCTGGGCTGCTGATCCGCGTGGGGTTGTGGTGTGGCCGCGCCTTCTCAGCCTGAACGCATGATACATAAGGTCTCAGACGCAAACTTTGAGCTGATCTCCCCCTTTTCAAATTGTCGAAGTCATAGGCAGCAGCTTGGGCGTCATACACGGCCTACATGCATTTTATTCCTGGGAAGCAGCCAGCTTGCCGAGGAGGCTGCATCAGTGACACAACTTCTCGGAATGAGGAAAACTCTGGTCATTGGAAGGTGCATTGTGCATATTAAACTTGTTGCCCTGGTGCCTGCAGGTATCTGCAAATGTTTGGCAAGCATTTCAGCAAGACTGCGAGACACATTTGCGTTTGCTTGGGCACACAGAAAACGGTGGCAACGCCCAAAAACAGCGCTTTCGGCCAGGGGTCCATCAATGCCGTGCTCCTTTTAGGAGATGTCAAAAGCCAATGCGGCATTTAATCACAAAAGGGGCAGATTTGTGGCCTTTGAGATGCCTTTGGATGTCCCTGCTTGGAAGCCACAATCTGGCTTTGAAGAAATAACTCGCAACCCCGCAAAAGCCACATTATCCCCTTTTGAGTTGATCTGCCCCCAACACCACCGGTTAAAACCCAAAAAGGTTTTTCTAAAATCCTAATTTCTGCCACTTTTGCGGCTTTTGAAAGTTTACTTGAAGACATCTTCAAAGCCACATTGGCTTTCAGCCAAAACCCTTAGAAGAAACGCTGATCCAGGGGATTATCAAACTCATTCCTGCGCAAGGGCAGCGAGTGAGGGTTTGCTAGGTTTTGGTGGAGGCACTGGCGCTCCAAATTCTGCCACAAACGCTGTAGCCGCCCCGATGCTGTCAGCATTCTTGCTGGCCGGTTTTTGCGCAGCCTTTGCATGTGCTGCCTGCATGCGCATAAGTGCCCCTTGGTGACAGTTGTAATTAAAAGCCCAAGGTGTCAAGACAAAGGGCAGATTTCAGGCTTGCCCATTACTCATGACAGTGCAGATATTACACAGCACTGACTTGATCCTGTATCATGTCATGAGGAAAAATCTTTGACCGATGGCAAAAGCCAAGATCTTGCTCAGGTTTAAACAGCCCGGATCTGCACAGGGTTTTTCGGCTGCAAAGAGCTGTCAGCATTCTTGGTTTCCGGGTTTTGAGCAGCTTTCGCTTGCGCTGCCTGCATGCATGAGTTGCCGCACACAGTGCTGCAATAAGCTGCAGCTGCCAGCCAACACAGTGCTGAAATAATTGACTAGCACTGCGCTGGGCCTTATAAGCCCCATTTTTCATGAGCATGCCATTCTATATTAGCACAGATGACATCAGACATCAGCAGACGTCAACATCGGATGTCTTTTTTCAGCTCTGCCGATGCTTTCCCAGTATCAACTGAATTCAGTACCCATTGTGCAAGCCCCCCCTTTGATTCTGCTGCCACTCACACAATGTGCAGCAGCACTGCCAAAAACACACAACCACTTTGAAATTATCTCTGACTAAAAGCCCTTCAGGCGCTTTCAACACTGGAGGAGCACCCACCTGTACAGAGGAGGGAACGCTGACGAGCGGCGAGCTCTTGGATCTGACATCGATGGTGACTGATGGGATCGGCTGCGGGGGCGGCGTGAGGTTGGGGTGTGAGTTTGCTGAAGCCACAACTTGGTACTGAGGCGGCAGCTGCGCTGTGTGCTGAGGCAGGCCCGGGCCCTGATGGTGCTGCACGGATGCATTATTGTTATTATTATTATTATTATTATTGATATTATTATTATTGATATTATTATTATTATTATTAGCTTTTCCTGCCAGAAGCAAGGTGCGTCTGCAGACAAGCTGCAGTAAAGGCTGCCAAAATCCTACCCCTTGATGGACTCGCCAGATCCAAGCAAGACCCAAGCAACCGTGGGCACGTAGGCATCATTGTGTGTCAGAAAATTTTGCGCAACCACCAGTCACCCAACTTTATCTCAGGGAGAAACCGCCAACGAGGAATAGTCTAATGCCACATAGTCATCTTCACGACGGCTGTACACTGCCATCACTGGTCATCTCCTTTACAACACTCCAGGCAAGGGGGCATGGTTGTCTTATTTTTTGGCAGCAAAATGGCATGGTGATGACCTTTGAATATCTGCCAGGTTTTGCGTCTCCGAGAGGCATACTCAGCACGGAAGCAGCACGAATATGAACTAGTAAGCAAATGAATTTCTGCCCCAGGCAAACCTCATGGATCGGACCAGCACCTCAGGTGGGGCGGCACTCGCGGTTGTGGCCAGTGGCATATGCTATCTTTGTCTCAACACCCATTTTTCTGTTGCTATTACACCCTTTAGTACTCTTTTGTGGGATTTGCTAAACTCTCACCTCTGCCACTTCGCGCGGCACCGATGGCCACAGCCAGCGGAAGATGCGAGCGTCTAACAGCGACCCAAAGTGCTGAAAGTTCTCAAAAACCTAATTATTCCTCCCTGTTACATTCTATTTTAGGTTTTAAAGGGATGAAAGAAACCCTAAGTATACGCTCAGGGTGAGTAATCCAAACACAGAAATGACTCACCTCTGCCAGGTGGCGCGGCACCGACAGCCCAAGCCAGCGGAAGATGCGGGCATCAAATAGGGACCCAAACTGCCCAAACCCATACAGCGGTAGAACCAGTGCAGCCGCAATAGCCGCTCCGAAGAACTCGGCAAATACGTAGACGAATGCTGTGTCCCAGTAGCAGTGGAAGACCAACGCTGGGCCAAGCACACGCGCCGGGTTCAATGCAGCTCCGGTTGAAGGACCACCTGAACACAGATGCAAGGGGTTCTCATGAAAAATATCTTTCTTGGGAACTTGGAGTCATTCGACATGCTCAAGAAGGTGCAGATCATCAATGTTTCACACGGGCGGGCATGCAAATGATGTCTTTCAATGCAGATGCGATCAGCAGCCTCAAGCGTCTCAATGTGCAGCTCAGGGGCAAACGGGAGGGTAGATTGTCAAGAGGTGCACGACTTTTTTGAAAGGTTTGTACTGCTGGCTTAGGAGCCTTCACCAGTGACACGTCATGCCATTGGAAATGACTGGTTGATGGTGCAGGTATAGGCTTGGACGCAAGCAAGGGGAAGCAGGAAGTGGACAGTCATGGCATGCAAGATATGTTTCAAGTGCTGATGAGCACACTGTGGAAAGGTGTGAACCCTCAGGCACTGCAATACTTTAGGCAAATTACACATTGGATAAACTTGCTGATGAAGTGCTGATGCGCAGGCTCAATCATATCCTACGTGGATTTGTACTTCTGCAGAAACTGGATGGCTGCATGGAAAGCATATCCATGCATCAAGGGGTAAAATGGAAGCAGCCAAAGACGCGTCGCACCTACAAAGGCTGATGCGAAGAGTGTGAAGCCGATGGCGAGTGGTGCCATGTTGCCATGACCCGGCTTAGTCACCGCCGTCGCATAAACCACCTGCCAGCATTCATCCCTTCTGTCAGCGCCTTTTCAAAATTAAAAAAAGCCCCTTATTATGCATGGCCCCGGCTGGCGGGGGGCGATATAAACACTGAGCACCGTGCCCACGGTTGACTGGGTCTTGCTTGGATCTGGCGAGTCCAACACTGGGTAGGATTGTGGCAGCCTTCAACCGCAGCTTGTCTGCAGGACGCACCTTACCTCTTGGCAGGAAAAGCGTGTAAAATATAATAATAAGCATGCATATCGTCACACTCGTGACTGTTCATCGCAAGGCAGTCACCAGGGTGCGCTCCAATGACTGGCAGCAGCACTGGAGAGACAACTTGACCACTCAGTACGGAAAGCTTCACCCCTGCACCCTAAACCTCGGCCATCGTAAGCCTTTTATACATGGGCAGTCTCTGGTAAGGCCACGGCCTCCGTTGCACAAGAATGCTGCCGAGATGAGACCCAAATATAGGGCGACATGTCGTTGGGCCGGTGTCAGGTTGTAGGATGCCTTACATGCCAGAGATAGTTAGAAACTTTCTAGTAGAAAGGGAGGGAACGCGCCGAGACGAGGAGGAAGGTCATGATGGTCTCCCACCACCAGAGCTGGCCGGTTGTCGTGTGGATGCCCTTTGTGTGCGTGAAGCAGCCGGGGCCAGAGCCGCCGCCCACAGCCACGTCCGGCAGCAGCCCGGACTGCGCGCAGCAAAATTTTCAAGTCATTATTATTATTACATGCTTTTCCTGCCAACAGGCAAGGTGCGTTCTGCAGACAAGCTGCAGTTAAACGCTCCCAAATCCTAACTCATCTTGGACTCGCCAGATCCAAGCAAGACCCAATCAACCGTGGGCACGGTGCTCAGTATTTGTACTGCCCCCCGCCAGCCGGGGCCATTTTCAAGTATGGATCCTGATTATGCCAGGATAGCTGGCAGTCTTACATGCAGCTGTTTGTCGAGGCACTCTGCCTATGGCAGGAACAGCATGCTATGGTAAGAATAGCACAATCACTGCCAAAAAGGCACTATTCAATCTGCATATGTGCTGCAAGGCAAAATATGGCAGGATGCTTGTAGGGCCGCCCTCTGCAAGTCTGGAGTACTTTTGCCTGGATGAGTACCTCCGGTATGTCATTCAAGTCTAGTAAACTGAAGCAAAGGGTTTGCAAAGCATGCTGGCCTGGGCAGCAGTGCTATCAGCCAGCCACATAAAATCTACCCGAAGTTACCTGTTTTAGTATCTGCAGGCCTGAAAGAGTTATTTGGACCCCTTCACCTATAGTTTCAAAGCCCGGCTAGGGCCGTTAAAGGCAGTAGCCATCCTGCTTTCAGTGCCCATCGCCGAAAATATGACATGGCACTTGCATGCAGCTGTACTTGAGCCAGCTTCTGTCCACAAGAAAAAAGTTTCACCTCAATGAGCGCGCCGAAGATGCCTCCAAGCAGCTGCGCGATCATGTAGAGGCCGCCTCGGCCCCAGGACATGTGCCCAGTCAGGCAGTTGGCCAGTGTCACTGCCGGATTCACATGCCCCCCCGACACGTTCGCCGTCGCATAAACTGCAAACATAGAGCAAGCGAAACTAAGATCAAACAAGTGTCAGTGAAATGCTGCATCACAGCGTCTCGAAAAGCGTGGTGCATATCGGCCAGTGGAACTGCCTGTAATGACAGTAGAGAGCATGTGCCTACTGTGCATTGCTGCTTGAAGTACACTGTGCCCATGCAGCCTACTGGAGTCGACAAAATTTGAAGCTTCATATAGATGCTTGCAGCAGCGCTAGCCTGCAACTGACTGCTGCAGGTGATCCGTGGCAGCTGTGCGGAACCGCCCATAGTCATTGTCATCCAATGAGTAGCATTTGCAGAATTACCGGTGCAGTCCAGCAGATGTGAACATGGGGTGCTTACTGATGACTGCTAGAGTGAGGCCGTTGCCAAATGCCGCCACCTCATCATTTGCGCTCCCCCCATAGATCTGGAAAATTGCCATCCCAATAAATTCTGCCAGAAGAGCCGCCCAGAGCCGCCTGCTATATCTGTGCACCTGTGTGCAACGAATTTCCATCCTCTTATTCCAAGGTCACCCTTTTCGGAAGGGGTATCTTCTGCAAAAGTGGCAATCAATCTGGAAGTGCCCTTACCTTCAGAGGACCGAGACTCTGATGGTCCACCACATCTTCCTCCATCTGCACATATCATTTATTGTATGTCTTAAGGGATTATTGTGACGTCAAGGTAGATAGTGGAAATTAAAACACCGGAGCACAAGACCATCCTGACGAAGACATGCCAGGGAAGTTGCTGTGCTGTATTCGGGATTATCTGCTGTGCTACAGCTCCATTGTCAGTAGATACCGGTGAAGAAATTTTTCCAGCCACATATAGACGGCAAGATGTACGATAGCACGTACCCTGCTGTACATAACAGGGTCCGATGAAGCAATCTGCAGGAAGTTCCGCACTGGGTTGTGGCTCGTGATGTGCCCCTCGACATTGTCGGTCATCAAAGATTGCGACTCCATATCTCAAAAAGAGATCATGAGATGCTCCAACTGAAGCGCTCACTTGCGAGTCAGGCACATGTCGCATCGGTTAATAATATTGGACCAGCATGGGTTTCCCTCTCACCTCACCATGATCTGTTTGACCATCTCCACTGCACCCAAATTTGATGCGACATTGGACACACTTAGGTTGGAATTACACTGCCAAAATTTCGCAACTTATATATTGCAGTCGCTGGCTGGTAGAGAAGCCCAGGAACTGCTTAAACTTAACCTGCCATGCAGCACCTCAAACTGCAGCTTTCTATATACTGCCAATGTTGATGAGGAGCGGTGAGCTTTGAAATCTTAAAGAAGAACCAGATGGTTACTGCGATATAGACTGAGAAACAAAGCCAGGTTGAGCCCTCTGTACATTTCTCTAAATAGGTCCATCTTGTATTATATATATATATATTGTATAATATATTTGTGCTCATAAACATATTGAATTCTTTGACGGCTACATACCTGTATCAAGTTTGGTTTGCATTCTTACTTTGATATATTGCGATTGCCATTTCTGTGAGCAAGTGCAGGGATGGCCGGTTGTCAGAAAGCAGAAAAGGCACTGTACAGCTGGCAACAGCCCCTAATAGGTGACAGTGCACCAGATTGGCTTCGTGAACCAATTTCCTTGGATCTGCCGGAATGGGAGGGCTCCCTCCCAACCTTCACCCAGGCACGTTCCTTCTGCCTGCTGTACATCACATGTGCAGGCGCTTGCAACCTCTATTTGAAATGCCTCCCAAATCCCGTGGTGTAAAAAAGCTGCTTTACAACGTTATGCATCAGGATCTCACAGATGAAGAACGATGGCGGGAGGTTAGTGCTCAATAATCCAATCGGCGCTCTGTTGACACGTTTTGCGTGCCACTGCTGATCAGGTGCTGGCAGAGTTGGAGCGCCCAGAGCCATTCACCCTGGCAGGCTGGGCGGCTAGAAGAAAGACTGCAGCCTCAATACAACCCACCATTCCCCCCAGATGCAGCTTGGAGGGCCGACAGCAAAGGTCAGAAGAGCAGAGCAGCATAGCCGGTGAGGCGAACATGCCAGATGGCACAGATCCTGCGGTCACCAGACCTGCTTACACAGAGGACTGCTGCAGTCAGGCAGCAGGTAATCCTGTCAGGGAACCTGCCGCTTCTGTTGCAGCGGTGAGACAGGCGTCAGCAGCCGCATACAGGGAACCAGATTGTCCACCAAAGCTTGCGGCTACTGCTTTTTACCCTGCGGCAGCAGAAGACTGCTGCAGCCAGGCAGCAGCTCGCTGCTCAAAGCAGCCGCCAGCACATGTTGCAGAGACCAGACAGCAATCAGCAGCATGCATGTCTCCAGCCTCCCCGCCTGTTCTGTCGCCCCGGAGAGACAATTGCACTACCCAGAATGCAGGTGCAGATAGAGCCACTACCTGCAGCAATGTCAGCCGTGGCAAAGAGAACAGCAATTGCAGCCTCCCGTCTGCAGCGATGGCCACTGCCAGACCCCCGGAATATGCGGTGGGGTTGCGGCAGTCGGCCGGGGGGTCCGCTGCCAGACTTGGCGGCGGCGACAGCGCCGCCTGTTCTGGCTCGGGGGGTCCAGCTGGTGTCCAGGCTGGCAGCGGAGGGAACGCTGCTGACAGCCCCCGGTCGCCACATCAGCCAGATACTGATGCCAACCAGGGGAGGAGAGATCAGTGCGAGAACAGCGAATCAGGTTTCTGGCACACGACAAAGCGGCAGGCAGGAAACACTGCAGCGATAGCAAGATCATGTGCAGAGAAGACATGCGCGAATGGAGGGTGTGTACAGGAATTAGCAAGTGAGATGGAGGCGGCACCAGAGCATGAAAGTGAGCAATCCTCTCAGTATCAGCTGAGAGCAGGAAGAGTGCAGCAGGGGCGTGTTGCAGAGGCAGGGAGTTTGGAGGGCAGTGCCTTGTGGCGAAAGAAGAGGCAGAAGAAGGGAGGGGTGTTGGACCTGTGGAACAGGGCCGCTCAGAGGTAGTTCTGTAAGGGTGACAATGGCAGCTTCTACCAGTTTGATCACTGACATCTGCTTGAATGTTCAATGGAGTTGCCGGACACCTGGCTTGCAATCCCTTTTGCCCTGCTGTTGGAGAGGGGATTTTCTTAGATGGAGCAGTCTTGGATTCGGGATCGGCTGGCTAAGCAGATCTGTCTAAACATGTCCTAAGAGATGTGGTTTTCTGCACAGAACACAACCTCAAAGCAGCTGCAGCCCTGGACCAGCACCCGCCGCTCTAAACGCTATCAGCAAGCATCTTAGAGATGTCAGCACTGAACATGGCACTTAACGAGCCAGTTCGGCCATTGTTTGACGACAAAGACATCAGCCAACGCCCTGGGCTGCAGACGGGTGCTGCAGATGGACCAGCACTAGTCTCAGATGACAAATGATCAATGACACTATTACCTGTAGTGCACCCGCGGATTCGAGACTTGAATCGCTCTTCTGAATCGATCATAGATGCATGCGCAAGATTTGCTTAGTCGCTGGCATGAGTGATGATTATGGTCAGTCAGATGTTAGCTCTGCCACAGCTTTGCTGCACACATATGACGCAAAGTTCAAATCTGTTGGTGTCAAAATCAAGCAAATCTCGACGCGACACCGTCTCGCAAATGAGGCACCAGCCGGGTTCGTCATTGTTCGTAACTAAGCCTTTTCTATTCCAAATCTTGCAATTATCTCTCATGGTAGTCAGCTGGGATGGAGTGAGCTGCATGCACAATAAAACGATGTACTGATATCTGCGAAGCTGTACTTGATTAGCAAGTGAATGGGAGGAGTGCAAATTTCATAAATGCCAATACTGCGCAGTCTGAAGAGCTTCAATCTGAAGGCTTGGTAATTTGAGATAGGTTGATGCATCTGTGCATGCCAAATGCTGTGCGTCCTGATATCACCAGCTTGGGGTATGTGACACATGCAGAGGACTCGGCCATCCTGACACTGCAGTACAAAGATTGACTGACAATATGAAGCTTACATAACGCCATACATCGAATAGCAAAGATTGCTCCTTGAGGCATGAGCCTTTGCATTGCCAGCGTATTCAGCGAGAAGTTCCTGCTTGTCCTCCGCATCTCAGGCTTCTCAGGTCAGTACGCAGAAGCCCAGAAAGAGTCTTTCCTCAGCAACTACTAGAAGCGTTGCTAGGTCAGGATTTGCCCCCGCAGCAACTCAGGCACAGCATGCCTGGTCGCTCAGAAACACACGCCCACAGTGCTGTGTTGGTACAAGCCACCAGTGTCCTTCTGCAGCCTGACAGGCTCCCGCCAAACACTAAGCTTGCTTGAGAGAGAATCCCAGTGGAGTGTCCGGCTAGCAGACTGCACTGGCTCGAGACCTGCATTGGGACATGGTTGATCTAGTTACGCGGCTTCTCCTTCTTGCCCCTGAAAAGCGCCAAGAGGGACACTCCAGCCACCTTCACCACCTGAGCAGCAACGAGGCGTCCCCTGTCAGACCTCGCCCAGCGATTCAGAGAACGAAAGATGCAATCGTCAAGGTTGAAAATCAAGGCAGAACGAGCGCCACAGACAAGAACAATGGCTGGCTTGCAAGTGAAAATCATGCAGCAACTATACTTCCATTCAATCTGCATTTGCACAGGCGCAGCACGCGCTTCTTAGGCGTGCCAGTCTCCGCTAAAGAGCAATTCCCGCCTTCACTAAATGTGGTCTGCATGCAATGCCGCACAACACAGTCCAATAAGTTGGGTTTCCTGGGCCACTGGTGCAAGGTGATTGGCCCAGGCTGCCCAATTAAAACTTCAGTGAGAGAAGTGGCTTCTGAAGCGCATGTGTTCACAGTCTGGGGTGCTGCACCTTGAATCTGACTCCTGGAATATCTCCAACGGCGTGACCTCGTCGACCGAAACCAGCAATAAGCACCTCGTCCTGCACAAATGCAGGGACCCAGTCAGATTCGCAGGTAAACAACCCACTGAACACTTCAGCACCAAAGCTAGCAGTCCAGTGCCTGACTCTGTATGGAGCTCAAACGCCGCATGCTGTGGAGTAGTCGGGTGCAATGTCCATCCACAAGAAACAGAGCCCAGGCTCAGGTGTGGAACATGCAAACAAAATAGGTGCAGAAACAGAAGGCTCAAGTTTGTTTGATGGAACAGGCCGCTGCACCATCCCCCAGCAAGGGAGACAAGGGCAGTTCTGGTGCATGCTAGCAACGTGGGAGCAGAAGGGAGGGCTCACGTTCTCCTCAATGAAGTTCAAGCAACCATCGTTGGGCACAAAGGCTGCGATCTTCTTTCCGTTCTTGATCAGCTGCACACGCGCGCACTTGCGGATAGCAGAGTTGGGCTGCTTCGCCTCAATTCCGCTGCACAGCACACACACGGCATATCACGCTTCCATTCATAAATTTTGTCAGTCACATTTGTGCATGATGACACTCCAGATCACAATCAAACCTGCTTATGGTGACACTTCAGATCACACTGTACGGGCTGATCAAATGCCTGGTTAGCCACAGAGACAAGAGCTGCAGTCCTGAATGCTCCACCCTGGCATCTGGGATTAGCGCAGGAGACAGGCACAGCAGAAGTGGTGTGCGTTGGCTTCTGCAAACAAAGTTTTACAGCGAAGGGACAAAAGGGGACTCACATCTTCTCTAGCACGATGCCCTTGGCGTGAGATGCGCCAGCAAAGGGCTTCTTCCACTCATTGCCCAAGTGACTCTTCTTGTAGTCCTTGTCTGCCCAGAGGTTCTTCCTCCTGTGTGTGCGAAGCTTACGTCCGGCTCCAAGACCGCGAGTCTTACTGCAGATCAAACAAACATAGACTTCAGTATGCTATTTTGCAAGTGAAAGTAAGCGATTTTCTGGCTGAGCTTTTCAGGCTGATCCTATGCTCCTGGCGGTCGTTCGGATCCCAATACGACACCCAATTAAGCTATGTCGCCAACACGGCCACCCAGACAAGCAGCCTCGCAGACCATAGTCCTTCACAGATGACAACTGAGGCGGCTGTCTCTCAGGAGCTGCATGCAAATCGCCTCTGTGACCGTGCGCGGACCACACAAAGCCCAAGAGAATAAAACTCCTATTATGGATCCAGCCGGGCGCCTCAAGCGGACCATCGCTCTAGACAGGCAGCGATCAACCAGTTAAAAAGGGATGTCCCTCGGCGGAGAAAATAGCGTGCAAATGAAGGGAGCTGCTCACCCCATGATTGCGAGCGCTCCGGGAGACGCTTAGCAATCACTGTGCAGACAGATGGAGCAGACTTCTGAGGCGAGGCTTGCTCTGGACTTGGCTGCGGCTGCACGGGGATGTCATCGAACGGCGTGCCTTCTTCCATCACTACATCGTGATCGATCACATCACCGGTGACGAACTGCCACCTGGCAGAAAGCTCAAGACGACTTTCGCCCTTGGAAGCAAGCACAAAGCTGCTCAAGTTCATCTTCGAAGTAATTAGAAAGGATACTGTCGCAGTCAAGTCTTTCCCTTGCTATCTAGTGACGAGCTGGCAAAGTAGTGGACTTCAGTGGTCCAAATAGATGGGTGTGGATGTGGCAGTCTGTCCCTGAATGATGGCAACGAATTCTAATTTGAAGACTGATAGCCTTCAATATCGCAGAAGCAACGCAATAAATTCACAGAGCTCGCAAAGGTGGTGATAGGCCGAGATGGTGTTGAACATCAGGCAAAAACAGACAGGCAAGAGCAAATTCCTGTAAATACAAGACTTTTAAAGCCAGTTATAGCTTGAGAATGTAAATCAATTGTCACCCTACGATTCAATATATGCTTGCACTCCACGTACTGGCGCTGATGTGAAATTCTGGATGCTCACTGTGCGCGCTGTGCTGTGTGCTGCAGAAGCCGTTGTGCGCCTCCTACATCTGAACGCCCCGCAGAACGCGTTAAAGCATACCGGCGACGACGACCTGTACAAGGTACTGGTGCTGGACTCCTTCACGAAGGCTGTGATCGCCCCCCTCCTGCGAGTCAACGAGCTGCGCAAGCATGGCATCACCATGCACCTGCTGCTGGAGACAGATCGGGAGAAGATCCCGGACACGCCCTGCATCTACTTTGTGCGCGCCAGCGAGGAGGCTGTCAGGCGCATAGTGGCAGATGCCTCGGCTGGTCTCTACAACTCCCTGCACCTCAATTTCACTCCCCATCTGCCCAAGCCCCTCATGGAGCAGCTGGCAACAGGTGAAAATACTTACATTGGCTTCACTGCAATTGCTCGAGCCTGCTTACACTCCATTGCATGCGGCTGCCTCGTGAACTCCTCAACACCCACGCACACATCATCATACATGAGCGAGGAGCGTAGATGTACTGCCACAAAGCAAGGATTGACTCCTCAAGGATGCAGGCGTGCTCAGTTGTATTGCAGTCATTGTTGTAGTTTGTTTGATTCAATACCAGGGCGTGATCTGTCCAGACATCCCCAGACACAGAACAGTGTCTGACAGTCAATGTTGGACATTGTTGCAGGCAGCGTGCGCGCGGGGTGCCCGCAGCGCATAGCCAAGGTGTTTGACCAGTACCTGTCCTTCATAGCCCTGGAGAGCCGGCTGTTCTCACTGGGCCTGCCAGACACTTACCTGCTGCTGAATGACCCCAAGGCACAGGATGTCCAAGTCCAGGTGCGCAGGCAGCTAGAACCAGATTCAGAGAAGAAAATGACCTGTAAACTTTTGATTACCTAAGTAATACTGGCCATGGACGTGCCCTACTCCAATCACATGGATGTGCTTGCATGTGGAATCAATTCATGTCCGCACAGCTCTTCCTTTTATGCATGAGCCCATGGGGTTTTGCGCAGACGTTCCAACAATCTCCATAAGTGAAAAAAGCACCGATTCTTGCTATTTGAGACAGCCTTGAAGCTGCAGCGATTGATGTTGTTTTGGCTGGTGCCGTGCAGTCTGCGTCGGAGGCCCTTGTGGATGGCCTCTTCTCGGTCCTGGTCACTCTCGGCGTTGTGCCCATCATCCGCTGCCCCAGGGTTAGTTTGCTCCAGAAAAAAGCACCCTTCTGCTCTATAGATGCATCTGGAGGACAGCTGCAGCAAACGTATTTGTATATTGGCATCGTCCTCCTCAAAGGTACCTGTTGGTTTGGGGACGCAGTGCACAAGTAGCCAGCATCATTTCTTGCTTTATTGAGAATATAACTTTCTGGCAATGTATTGTCCGTCATAAGAGCTTCTGATCTTTTCAGTCTGTGGGCGTAACTGCCTGCTGAGTACGCACTGGTGCAATGATTCCCTGCTGACTCATCGCTGACGTCATGCCGCATGACTAATCCAGGGCGGCGCGGCGGAGTTTGTGGCGCAGCAGCTGGACGCGCGGCTGCGGGAGCACCTTCGCGCGCGCAACAACCTGCTGACGGAGGGAACGCCTGGACTGTCAGCCTCCCTCTCCCGGCCCCTGCTCTGCCTCTTTGACCGCAACTTTGAGCTCTCCGTGGTGCGACACTTGAGTTGTCCTATCGCAAAAAATTTCATCTTCTGGCATCCAAGCCAAGAGCTTTGCAAGGGGCCTCTGATGTAAACGATGGGCATGGTGTCTTGCACACTGGCGGTTGCATTTATGTGCAACCGCCAGCGTGGCCCTGCTGTGTTCTTTTGACCGCAATCTTCAACTGTCCGTGGTGCACTGCTTTGCTCCTTTCCCTGCATGCATGTGCAGGCCAGGGGGTGCTTTATCTGACTAGATCCAGTACTCCCTGCCCAGGGACTCCTAGACGTCCCAAGGTGTGTGGGATAAGGAACTTGCCTTGCATAGTCTATGTGCAGATGCTGGTGTTGCCTGCCTCCTTGGACATTATATTCAAGCTGGAGGCCCATAAGGGCCTTTTGGACATGTGCCGAAGGATGCACAATTGCCATTTGCACACTTCCATGGGACCAACAAATGCCGCAGCCTCTTGTGCAGCACGCGCAAATATTTTAAATAGAGATTTCAGCATGAGACATGCACGTGTTGGGAGTGCTTGTATCGATCTGTTCCAGAACCTTGACTGATCTCTTATAATCGCCCACGCAGGTGCTGCAGCATGCGTGGACATACAAGCCGCTGGTGCAGGACGTGCTGGGGCTGAGCCTCAACAGGGTGACTGTAGACGCGGAACCGACGCCCGGGCAGCAGCTGCTGCAACACAGCCCGCCCTCCAAGCAGACATTCGAGGCGCGCACCCACAGATACTCGTTCTGTTGTTCTCTGCATATTAGAGCGGATGAGACAGCCCCAAGGTTTCTCAAAGCTGACACATTCACCTGCATTTATTGATGTCTTGCGCTCATTCTCCTGGTTGCATTACATGACAGGCAATGTGACATTTACCCGGAAGCAACCTCCTCTCGCAGCCCTGTGCTTCCCTGTGCGGGGACATTAGCTGGCAGACCTTAGGCCCTGGGCGGTCATCTGGAGGTGAAATACGACTTTGAATGTCACTGCAGAATAATACTCCTAGACCCTAGGAATTATCCATGATTTCAGGGTGGATGAGGGGTGAGCGATGCGCGCAGGTGGGCGAGGGTGATTTCTTCTGGGACGAGAACGGGCGCAGCCAGTTCCCCAAAGTCGCCGAGGAGGTTGACGCGCAGCTGCAGAAATACAAGCAGGTGCGCACCCCCGACCTCCCCCAGTGCTCAGTTAATCTTTCACTCGTTGTCTGGGCATTTGCAAAGCCAGTCCTGAGGCAGATAGCGCTCTCTGCGCTGCCACGCAAAACCAGTCAAAGGAGGGAAAGGAACATATGGAGAAGCGGTATTGCATGCTTCTTAAGTGCCATGAGTATTGCCACTTGACTGGCTGCTGACTTGACATGCACCGCGACACATCCATGATACACTGTAGGCAACACAGAGAACTGAACAGAACCCAAATTTTTTGTGATACCTGGCTTCTGCTGGACAGCTCTCTATATGACCGCGCACCCTTGACTCTCAGGGAGTCAATGCTGCAGGAGACAGTCAAGAATTGTGGACCTCACATTGCAAGGGTTGCAGAACACGAGAGCAAGACTGCCCCTGAACCCTGAAGGACACAATTTTGAACACCCTGAACCCTGCAAGTGCCCCTATCCCCAAGCCAGGCTTGTCGTTCACGCTTTATGCTATGCGTGCAGTAACTGGGCGCCCCTTCTAGGTCATCTGGTCACCAATGACTAGAGGAACACGCCGAGTGACTGCATAGACCCTGACCCTCAACTTGGTGCCTGGCGGACTTGAATCAAGCACTGTATCACTACCTGTCAGTTATATATGGCACGGGTACACTCATCACTTCACCTTGTGACAGCTGTTGATTTAAATATTGATTTGTTACCTGATCAGGCGGTGGCGGACCTGAACCGGCAGACGGGCGCGAACGTGGACCCGGCAGCGGATCCGGGGGACCTCATGCAGAGCAACGCGCGCGGATTGATGGCGGCCGTCTCTAGCCTGCCGGAGCTGACCGAGCGCAAGCGCGCCATCGACAAGCACATGAACCTTGCCACCCACATGCTCAAGGCGCGGCCCTGACGTACACGTCCACAGCATTTGTTACACCCATAAAATCCTGTCATCTGCAGCAATAATGAGCACATAAACCTTGCCACCCACATGCTCGAGGCGCGACAGTGTTCAAACTTTTGGTCATCCAAAGGGAGTGGAGTTTACCGCTGGCTTTGGCTTCGCCGATCTATGCACCCTCACATTTTATTTTAGCGAACAAGCACATGAACCTCGCCAGCGGTGTGCTCAAGGCGCGACCGCGCCCCCAACGCACATGTGCATGTCTTGCTTCGGCATCCACAATACCTGCGTATGGCGAGCGCTACCGGCAAGCACAGAATCACATGTCCCCCATGCTAGAAGGGCGGCCATTCCCCAACATACGTCATCATATCTTTTTCAAGCTCTTGGCATATCCAAGACCTTGAAATCGCGTGGCATTGTGTCGGTCTAGCTGCACACTACGACAGCAAAACCATGCTTTCATGCTGAGTTTTTGGCTGAACGGCATTTTCTATTGGATGGGTGACTTGTGATCATTGTCATGCCGCGTAAAGCTAGCTGAGCCTCTCAGTTTGCTCTATATGGCATGTCACTGATCGAGCATCACCCCACCGCCGTAAAACGGAATGCAATGACTGGGAAGTCCAGCATTGGTAATATGCCTGTAACTTGCTTTGCGGGCCCGATCGTGTTGTAGTGAGTTTGTGGCTGGAGACTGAAGCACTGCGTTGCTTCATGCTACTACACGGAAGCGCCCATTCTCACATGGATTGGCAACGATGTTGCTGATGGGCTCCTGCTGGGAATGTGGGACGCACCTATTTGTGCTGCACTTTACTTGCTACTTCTGCCTTCTGATGCCTTATTATGTCCCTACGCAGGAGATCACGACGCGCGGACTGGACCAGTTCTACAACACCGAGGAGGACTGCCTCGTGAAGAAGGCCGACCTGCCCACCATCCTCAAACTGCTGCAGGTGAGGTCTCACCAAAGCGCACACCCCGAAGTGCACACTCCAAAGTGCACTCTGTCTTTTGTATCCTCAAATCCTGCAAAACACTGCTGTGACGCCGCTGCCATGCTGGACCGCTGAGCTGCCATCTGCAAATGGGAACTTGTGTAGCAGCTTAGCACACCAGATAATGCCACAAACACAAAAACAGCAGTGAAATAGTTGATTGCCATGTGCTGGCGTGCACCTCACTTGGAGACAACATACACCTGAATGCGTTATTTATGTCCGCATGAGATCTTGTATGCGCAGTGCATAGCCTGCTTCTGAGTCTTCCCTTTTTCTCTCTTCCTGTCATTCCTGGCTGCATTCCCTCTCTTCTCACTGCTAACATTCTTCTGTGACTTGTCCGTACCCTTGCTTTCGCCTCAAGGAAGGTGTTTGTGCGCATGTCAGGGCACAAAGGGAACGCCTGAAGACAAGCTGCGGCTGGCGCTGGTGTTTCTGCTGACGTGCGAGGCGCTGCCCTCGGACGGTGACTACGAGCGAGTCACCACCGCGCTGGCAGCCGCGGGGGCCGACACGTCAGCGCTGGCCTACGTCCGCCGCATGCGCCGCCTCAACCTCACCGGACGAGCGGTGCGCCTCAGAGCATTTCTCATGGCGTCTGATTACTGCTGGCTTGTTTTGGCTCCCTTTGATCTTAGGCAGTAGAACGAGGCATCAAACTGGCTGTCGATAAAATCTACCTTCTGACCACTCCTAGCCTGCTGTATCAGAAGAGCCCGTTGACCAAACAGGGGATTCTTCTCGTTCTTCAGTGCGTCGTGATAGCATCCACCTGCTGCTAGCATCCCATGAGTGAATCCTTGGTTCTAGTGAGCGCAAGAAGGTGTCATGCAAATACCCTGCAGCGGAGCAGCGTGGCTTCACGTCCAAGGATGCATGATGGAGTACACTGCAGGGTGAGCAGAGCAGAGCAAGTGTTTGCTGCCACTGCAGGGTGGGGCCACAGCGACCGGGGCGGCGGGCGACGGCGCGTTGGCGGGCCTGGCGGGGCAGAGCCACCTGCTCAACTGGGCTGACAAGACCTTCGGCCAGGGGCTGTCGTCGCTGACTAAGGGTGACTCACCGCGCTTAGTTACCTCACCCCAAAGCACCTGGTGTGCCAGCTTGTGAAAGTGAAAGTGTTTCTGCAACCAAATTCTCTCCTGACCAAAAATGGTAAATGCGGCACATCGCCTCTGCAGACCTTTGTTATACGAATTTATTCACGCAGTGCAATACTGTGGACTGCTCTGGGATGATGCAAAACTATTGGGAGATGAACCCGAATTCAAATCTATTATTGAAATTGTGGCATCTGTGCAGGCGTGAAGGTGCTGCTGGCTGGAGAGCAGCAGGCGGCGGTGACTGTGGCTGTGGAAGGCCTGATGGACGCCAAACCATCGCCCGAGCTGGACTCCTTCCTCACCTTCGACCCCAAGGCATGCCCTGATTGCATGCATGATGTAGCCTGGCGCTCCTGATGTAACAAGGGTTTTTTTGTCCTTAAGACTTGTTGAAGGTGGAATCTCTCACTGAGGTACGGTGCAATATCGGCTGGCGGGTTCGTCCAAGGCACAGCAGGGGTTATCACACCATGTCGCAATGAGGGTCAACAGCATTGTCTGGTTCTTCCAACCCTGCCAATGATACCGTCCTCGAAATGTTTCCATCAATGTGTGTGTCCTGCCAAGCCGCGCGCTTATTGTCCGTTATTTTCTTTGACTCTCCCTCGACCAAAATTGTGATGACTGACGGGCCTCCGTTCGTGAGGTGAACACCCGGTAGCCCTGCTTCTGACGTTCAGCACGATGCCTGACCAGGCCGCCCCTGGCCGAGCATCAAAGGCAGCCGGCCCGCACAAGGAGGCAATAGTCTTCATGATTGGGGGCGGGAACTACCTCGAGTATGAGTCACTCACCACCTGGGCCGGGCGCGCAACACCCCCAAAATCAGTCATCTACGGGGCATCGGACCTGCTTACGGGTGGCCAGTTCGCGGCGCAGCTTGCCGAGCTCGGCCGCCGCAGCGGCGTCTGATTTGAAATGCGCATTTGATTTTGAGATGCAGCCTGAGCTTGGCTCCCCGGGGGGTTTATGGTGAGGGCATGTTTGGGCGCCGTGCGCATTGCCAGATGAGGAGCGGCTCCTGACCTGCACGTGCTTTAAATGGAGATCTGAAGTTTGCAATTGCGGCAGGAGACTGAAGTGGCACTGGGGAGTCAGGTCGAGTGATGTTGGGGTTCGGCCACTTTAGTGATAAGTGTGTGGATCTAAGAATGCGAATCTGGAGGTTGCATGCCTAGACTGGGCAGTGGTGCAAGTGATGTGCTAAGCCTTGTATCAAGGTCTGCTAGTGCTACATAGTTCTTGAGGGCTCTGCAGCAATTGCTAGCGCTGCAGCATGCCGTGTGCTTGGTATTTGTGCCACCGGTACTGGTGCAAAGCGCGTGCATCAAGATCTGAGTGCATTTCATAATATGCAGCTGTATTCTTGTCTTTTGCCTGGGCTCTGGCGTGTAAAGGCAGCTAAGTGGACTTTTGTGAAGTGTTCAAATGTCTGTGAAATGATATCATTTCGAGATGAATCACCAGTTGACTGATGACATGGGGCAACTTCACCCCGATTCCGAGCATGGGGAATCGCTTTGATGGTCCAATAATTAAATGTCAATAGCGGACAGTCTTTTAAACGTTCTTTAGTATCATAAATTGAACGCTGTACCGGTTCGCACGACTGGGAACAGGATCACCTCTCAGATGACCAGCAGAGATGCTTTCAGATTGTACCGGGAGAAGACGCGGGACAAGCCTGCGTATGAGCGAGTGTACTTCTTTCACGCTCATATATACTACAACATCGATGATGCTGGCGAAGTCGCCAAGATGGACGCCTTACACAAAACCCTCCAAGGCAGCTTCTCGCAGGATGATCATTACGAGGTTCACACCTTGCAGGTACTCCACTTCATACAGATCACTTGAAAGTGTTGTAACCTTACGTTATATGATTCTCGTGGCAACCAAGCCTAGTGCGCCCAATTTTCTGCTTCACCGCACCCAACATGACCATGTCGCCATGCCTCGTGAGAAAAGCTTTCTTCACGACATGACAAGCTGATATTCTTCGCGCAGACAAAACCTGTGGGGCCTCACCCACTACCGAACCTGGAAGTACTCTTCACCAGGGATCGCTTCACAGAGTTTGTGTCGTACCTGACCTTCACGATGCCTCCGACGTTCAGCGCGCTCATACATCAATTGACGAGTGATCAGGTGCGACTGCGAACTTAATACTCACTACGTGCTATTTATGGTAGCTGAGTAGTTTCCCCAGGGTGCTGGGGCAATGATCTTGCGTGCCTGCTGTGTCCAAGGTCTCTAAAGGTGAATTGTCGTGCTTGTGCTAAGAAAAAATCTTTGTGCAGCTCGGGGACCATACCACAAGGGCGATGTGGCTAGGAAAGCAGCTCCCACTCAAGCCGGAGATCCTGCACAAGATGGATGAAAGATCAGCTGCCAAGGGGATGTCTGAAGAGGAAATAGTCTGGGCTGTGCATGCGCACTAGGATCAACTGTCTTGAAAAGAAAAGTTGATTAAGGCTTATGAGGCAAACGTGATGAAGCAGCCGTTCAGCGGATTCTAAATATTCTGCACTGCATAAACTACACCAATGCAGGAAACTTCCCTTTGTGAATCTGAAAGACAGAATCCTTCAAAGCTACAATTAGAGCCACGCAGCTCTGACATGTAAGGCGCTGTTTGTGACGCATGCGCGGAACTATGCATACCATGAATCAAAGCTGTGGGTGCCGTTAGCTGATCCAGATTGAGCTCTGCCCATGGTACATAATGATACAAGGCATTGCTCGTTGGATCCCAGGACTACACTGGCAGTCGGATCCGATCTGTACTGATCATGCATTTAAATTTGGAGTTGCTGCACCAAATATGAGGACCCAAATGGCGTGGTCAGCCATGCTAAAGCCCTGCCTCGCCGCTATTCAAAAGCAGGTGACTTGCCATGGCCCTTGGCATAAAGACCAAGAAGCCTGAATTCTTGCCTTCATGGCTGAAGCATCTACTCTCGGTACCTAGCATGCTCTGCCAAGTGTCCTGTGCGGCACCCAAGCTCACAGACAGCACACACAACCAGGCTTCCTACTGGCCCTGTGCTCGCAAAATTGTCACACCGCAGCAGCACACAGTTTGAGGGACTGAATGCGGCGCATGCTCAGCAGATAAGTACATGTCTGCATCTCCCATTGCTGCCGCTGTCCACAGGACAACTGCAGCGCTGTAATATCAGCTAATCATGCGTCATTACAATCGTCAAAGCTTCTGCTCCTCGCTGGCGCCTCCGCCCCAGGCCCAGTTGGTCCACGATGAGATCATGCCGAACTCGGAGGCGCTGCCGTCGGCCGATGCCATGGCGGCCGCGTCGGCCGGCGGCTCGGGCCGGTCGCGCGCCAGAGCCTCCTGGCAGCGCTTCATCTCTGCCGGGCTGAACCGCAGCATCATGCCCACCACCGGCAGCAGTGACCGGGCCTCGCCTGCGCAGAGAATTGATGCTAGAATGAATCCACACAAACTGAAATAAAGTCACATGGCTGGGCAGTCTGAGAGTGGCGACCTGGGCATGCCTGCGCAGAAAATTACACGTCCCCATCGGGAGGCGCTCGGCATGCAGAAGAACATTGGAAAAATGGGCTCTCGCATATAATCATGGCTTCTTTAGTGACCCCTGAAATGTATAATATATTGAATGGTTGCAAGCTGACTGCTTTGCCATTTAGCACATGCCAGCCGAGATCCTATTCCTGGATATTCCCGGAGGAATAGAAAGTTACGAATCCAGGACCATGATGCCAGCCGAGATCCTATTCCTGGATATTCCTGGAGGAATATAAAATTACGAATCCAGGACCGTGATCTGTGCATGCATCTGCTAAATGACAAGGCAGCAGTGGGAGTGACTAGAACACACAAGAAGCAAACCAGAAAGCAGCCAATCGGATCCAGCTGTGAGGCACATGCAGATGTGCAGCAGCAGAGAGCGAAAGAGCAGAACTCAGCGGCGCACCGGTCTCGAACATTTTGAGGATGACATTTTTGAGATAGTGGACGTCGGTGCCGCTGTCGTCCTTGAGCTTCTCGCGCGCACGCTGCCGCTCTATCTCACGCAGCGCCTGGACGCAGCATGGTTTATTTATGAGTCTCTTGATGTTTTCACAATTCTGCACAAAGCAGGACACCTTTGCATGCTGGGCATGCATGAAAATCTGCTCTTGAGCGAGCGGAATGGAAATGCGGAAATCCACATAACCTTTGAGACCCCCTCAAATTAGACTGAAAAAAGGAGTGCAAAGCACTGCATATATATCTTTGCACAATCATATACACAAGGCCACTTCCACAGAATGCCAGGGACAACTCATTGAGGCCATGGAAAAGCCTCCTTGAGTCTCTGATCAGATTTTGTGAAACCATTGGTGATACTTGCCGACCCTCACAATGTCAGGGTCAAGGGAGTTGACGGGGGGTGAAAACGATGAACCACCTCCTTGAGCGCGGTCTCCTGCTCCTGGCGCAGTTCAATTTCTCGCTGCGCGTCGCCCAGTTCGGCCTCCAGCTCACCCACTTTTGCGCGCGCGGCCGCCAGCTCCTCCTCGCGCCCGGCCTGCCTCTCCGCAAGCCGCAGCAGCGTCGATTCCTGCACACGCACACACAAAATCACTCATATGTGCACTGGTTCATGACACCTCAGGATGGCCATGAAGTCCCAGGACTCCAAGAGACAATCAATGTTGCTTGATGGGCCTTCGGATGGGGAATATTGGCATGCCCAATGACATACTGTGCCACATTCCCACCAATAATCTTCCATCGGCAGGCTTAGTACTGGAACGATAGAAAATCCCCTTTTTCAAGGGTTTTCATCTCAAATCCTGGAAAATTTGGCCAGAGAGTTCAGAAAGGCCACATCCTTGCTACAGGCAGTATTGATGTTAGGCACTTCACCGCTGCATTCACCCCTGCTATAGAGGCAGTGGCAGTGATTTGGGCTGCAGCAGATTGTTATATTACTACCTGCAGTCCTGGCAGGTCGAGGTTGAGGCCCAGATCGTCGAGGCGACTGCTGACAAAGCTGCTCTGGCTGTCGCGCCGCCCGAGAGCGCCCAACGTGGCGTTCCCTCCCGGCCCCGGCCCGAACAGCGCCGCGAAGCTGCTGGCGCCGTCCTCCATCGACAGCCGCGCGCCCGGCAGCCGGCTGCTGTCCTCGCTGAACCGCTGCCCCAGCCGCGCCGCCTCCGGGTCGTTGGATGTGCCCTGTGACATCAGCGACACGTCAGCTTATGCGTCCTGTGACATTGGCATGCGCCCTGCGCGGATGCACAGATCCCCCAGTTTCCATCATCAATGTAAGTGCATGGTGTATGTGACAAAACCGCCAGATCATCCCCGACACAGGGCTGGTGGCAGGAGTGATCAGCCGAGTCATTAAGCGATTCATTAACCGCCAAGGACCTCTCACTGCCATCGTCTGGCAAGTGGGGGACCTCGATCATGTGGCGAAGAACTTGGCAAATCACCCCTGCCACATCTTGACACACCACGTGCCGAGTCCGCATTTTTGTGCTTCTTCTTTCAGGTGATTCTGCTCAAGAAAATATGGCACAGATCTCACATGCAGGTTGGCGGATCGGCGAGTCATCATGCCAAGGTTGGCAGAGAAGCTGCTGGTCATGGCGGCTGCGACGGGCGGCCACTGCTGCTGCTGCATATCCCCAAGTGACCCCGAGCCGGCCGCCTCCGCCTCAGCGCCGCCCTCCTCTCCATCGCTGCGCGCCTGTTGACAACATGTATCGACAAGGCTCAGTGACAGGGGTGAATAAGCCGCCAGAGTACTGCTCTCGCACAGAAGATCAGACCCACATGCGTCATTTGAGGCGTGAAATGGGTGACGAACGGGGCTTGAGGTCCAGCACAGATGAGGCTTCAGGATTTGCTGGCATTCATGCAAATCAGGGAGATGAGGCTAGTAGGGCTCTCTCTTACATGCGATACAGTGCATTGCAAGGCATTTGGATGTTGTCAACGGTAATGCAGCAGGATTGCAGGATGCACAATGCAGACTGCCCTTAGAAGGAAAAGTAAATCATAATAAAAAGCGCACCTGGGCAGCGGCGGCGCGTGCGTCGGCGAGCTGCTCGCGTAAGGAGGCGTTGCCTTCCAAGGCCTTGGCCAGCTCAGCGTCCTTCGCTTCAGCCACTGCCTCCGCTGTGTTCCTGTAGTTGTCAAACTCCTCCTGTGCAGCATTCAAAGTTGTTGGAAATCTTTGCAGACCTACCTTCCACCCAACACCATCCCCATCATAGATGTGCAAAGCACACAGCTGTGATAAACTGCTGTTATTCCTTGGATGACAACACGGGGCTGCAGAGAAGCGCTGCCGCACAACATTGTCGGGATCCAAACATAGGGCTATTTTCTATCAAGTTGAGACGATAAGTACTGCCAGCTTCACACAAGGTGTCCATTGTCTTCATAGGACTTCATCGACAGCCATTCCATGCCCGAGGTCGCAGTCAGAATGAGCACAACCTCATTGAATATTCTTGAAGAGGAGCGCACCTGCAGTGTGGCAATCTGCAGCACAAGGCCCTCGACCTCGGCAGCGTGCCGCGCCAGCATCTCTGGTGGGGCGCCCGCCGCCGGCCGCCTCTCGGCCCGCAGCGAATCCAGCCGCGCCTCCAATGCCTCATACCTGCGCCAGATCCACATCTGTGGGGTTTGGGTATTGCACTCAAGTTTCTAATGATCTTCTTGCGTTTCTTCCTGCTCTTGATACCGGTGGGATGTGCAATCAGGTTGTTCGGGCGTCTGAGCGAGCCCATTGCCTGCTGATTGCTAGCAATTGCGGTTATCACTTGCAAGACTGCTGTGGCATAAACCCGGTTGTATCTTTGCTTCTGCTTATACAAAGCAGAAACGGTCGGATTACGCTGTAGCACTCTGGCGAGCAATCCTGTCCATGAAGCGCCGTGTCCCACACGAGCTTGACAGTCGCTGCAGACAGAATGTCCCCAAAAGAAGAACTCAAAGACGTCCCAGTAAAGACAACAAAATCAATAGCCCCACCGCTGCTTCCACTGTTCGGCGGATGACGCCGATGCACTGGCAGCAGAATTGGCACGGTCAGCTTCTTCCTGCGCGCGCGTGGCCGCCTCCTCGGCCGCCTGCGCAGAGGCGTTGCCTTCCTCCCTCGCCGCCGCCACCGCCTCCCGCGCCTCCTCCCTCACCTGATGTAAAACAAGCAGAAATTCCATTCCTCTAGCTCATTCAAGCAAAGTGAGGGCATAATTTGTATCCCTGGTACTGCATATGGAGTGTGCCAGGATGTCCTGCCCAGGAGAGGCAGAACAGCACGACATCCCAAAAAGCCACTGAGAGCGGATTATCCCCTGCCGCCCAAGAAACCTCTGAGGCATTCGGCATAACGTGTACATGTCACCCTACGCAGGCGTTTGAAAAGAAGAATCAACGGTCCAGGCAAAGTCCAGATCCAGAGCCAAAAAGCCACAGTCAGATCTATGTGGGTCCTTTGAAGCTCTCAACCGCACCTTTTGAAGCTCCCTGGCGGCGGCTGCGGCCTCGTCGTGGGCACGCGCCAGTTCGGCGGCGTTCTCTGCAGCCACCTCCTCGCGCGCGCTGCGCAGCTCCGTCTCCTTTGACTTCAGCAGCGCATGCGCTCGCGCCTGCACATTGACGGCAACTCAAAGGCTATCCCTCGCGTTGGCGCTTGGAATGTCCCGTCTCACGGCCAATTCTGGAACCTGGGAGGTTGAAAGAGGGCTGCCATGTCTTGGTTTTGTAGCTTGCAGCAGGACTGGATATCGTGGAATCTTCAAAACCACAGACCACAAGCACTCACATGGACTGATGCAGCTCACGTGCTCCTCTGCTGTCAAACCTGACAGTGCCATACAAGCCCATCACGGAGAATACTTCCGGTCCAGAAATCCCCCCCATCCGAGAACCCAGAGACGCTGTAACCCGCTTTTCTGCTTTGTTCAACTTCATCTCGGCACTAGGCAGGTCCTGCGCACCTTGTAGGACTGCAGCTCCTGCTCCAGCCGGCCGACCTGTTCACGCACTGCCGCGGCCCGGTCCTCCGCAGCCGCCGCCGACGATCGCAGCCCTTCCTTCTCGGCCTCGGCGCGGCCGCGCAACTCCGCCAACGCGGTCTCAGCCTTCTTCGTCTCCTTTGTCGACCTGCGTGCGCGTCATTAATTGTTCGAACTCTACACCTTGTTCCTGCAGCAGGCGAGGTGCGTACGCAGACCACCTGCAAGCAAAGAATTCCAAACTGCTATTCTTTGACGGACTCGCCAGACGGGCACTGTGCTCAGTACCGCCCCCGCCTGCCGTGGCCCTGGCCCCATCCTTCCTTCATCCTTAACACTGTCAATGTTGGCGTTTTGGTAAACAGCAAGTTGAGGACCGGTAAAACCTTCTTAGGGCATCCCTATTGCTCTTACACCAGCAAGGGACAGGTGCTGGTAGTCAGGCGTCCTGTTGTGTGGCCCAGCTGCTGACTCTTGCTGGCAGGAGACAGGAAACATGATGATGCAAGAATGATGCCCGTCAATGAAGGCTATTGTAATGCGACAAGGATGGCTTGCGCAGCTGTCTGAACAGCCAGCGGTGTCTTTCAAGGGCCCAACACCTCCAATCGCCACACATACGCAATCTTGGGGCAGTAACACAGGGTGTTGTTGACAGTGCCCTGGCCGCACCTGTCGAGCTTCTTTTTGAGCTCTGCCAGGGCGCGCTTGACTCGTTCGCGCTCGGCTTCCTGCTCCTTCCTCAGCCGCTGCAGCGCAGCCTCCCGCTCTGTCCTCTCCGCCTCTACCTGTCGGTTTCAAACTCAAAAATGTGACTGAGATTCCAAATCAGATGAGAATATCAACACATGACGTCTGCTCTTAAGGCTGTCCTGTCAGCTATGCCTGCGGCTACCTATCAATGATACGCCAAGAAGCACATGATGCTGTATGTTGTGTTTTGCTCTAATAATCATCTCTGCTAAGCAATGGGGTAAGCAAGGGAGAATGAAGGAGTCACCTGGGCTGACAGCTCTGCTACCTCCTTGGCATGGCTCGCCTGCAACGCCTCAATGTTCACCTGCGGTCAGGATCTCAGCACCTCAATGCTGGAGGCTACACCACCTCTGCAGTATATCTAACAAGACAATGCATGGCTCAGGCTGGGCTACCTTCCATTGCTCTAAACCAGGCCTGCCATCTGGCGGCCCCAGAGACTGATTCTCTGCAGAAACGCACCATTGCAAGCCAATCTGAAGCAATGAAAGGAAACGCAGCCCCGCAACAAGTTACACAGACCTCTGACAATGGCATTCACTATGGCATGGCTGGTTGACTGAACCCAATGGGAGCTTCAACACCAGAGCATGAAGCAAAAGCGCGTCTCTCAAACAACCAAGACACAGCATGCACACCCTTCCTTTCACTGCTTTATCATATCAGGCTGCTGATGAGTCAATGCACACGTCTCAGAAGCAGTGAGCACACCCACTGCCCTCCTTACAAGTGAACTTCTTGGCAGAAAGGTGGAAATGCCGTGCAATTTATGGAAGACTATCCCCTCGTGCATGGGCGCACTTTGGGCGAGACGGCCTCCGGCGCGGTGCCGACGCGCGCTTCGAGGTCGGCCACTCGGCCCATGCACGCCCTCAGCGCTGCCTCGCTCTCCGCCGCCTTTGCTGCGTGCGCCGCGCCCTCCCCCTGTGCTGCGTGGAGCGCTTCCTCTAGCTCTTTCACCTGTTGTGCACAACACTCCTCCTGAGACGATCACAGTGCATGTGATTTGCAACAGCGTTGGTGCTTGTCAGCCTGGGCAAAACAATAGTATTGTGAGGATGACCGGCTCTCTTCCACCTCCGACAGACACTGAGCAACAAGCTGTCCAGTAGCAAAAGACAGCGGGTACGCAGCCGTCTGGATGGCAATAGAAGAAATAATGGTACTTTCCCTCAAAGCGGTGCACTCATGTGAGAGTCGAGCTTGTGGAAAAGCAAGCCATCTCACCACAAGTATAACATCACCGCCATGTTCCCCTTCCACGTCACCCTCTCGGCAAGGTCTTCTACAGCACTTTTGCAGGCAACCTCTCGGCATAGTTGCATACATGCAAAAAACCAGTGTAGTCTGGTCTCTAAAATAAAACACAAGAGTTCATTACCGCAATGCAACAATCCAAGCTTACAGCGCGCACCTTCTTGGCGTACTCGGCCTGCTTCTTCTTGGCGACGGCCAGGAAGCGCTTCTTGACGTCCGCCAGCTCAGCCGCCAGCGTGGCAGCGTCGGCCCCTGCCCGCGGCGACTTGGCCGCCTTGCCCGGCGTCCCCGGCTGCGACGGCGCTCCCGCCGCCCGGGCCGCGCTCTCCTCTATCACCTGCAAAAGATGGAGCAGATTCTCATCGTCACTGCATGGCTCCCTATCTTGATCATGAAACACAGGTTCATGACGGGGTCATTGGGCGGCAAACAGTACAGTCAGACCTGCTTGCTATTGGAACAGCATGAAAAGCCTCACAGCTGGCTCTTAAATTTGCTTATGCAAATAGAGCATTTCACACGCCAGTGAGATGGGGTTACAGGCGTCAATGCACATCAAAAGGAAAGGTAAGACCAAGAATTGGCATGACAGAAGAGCAACACTGTGGTTTCTAGCTGTGTGGAGCAGAATCCAAGTGCCGCCATCTAGAACAAGCAGCGAGAGCGAAATTTCTAGAGTTGGTTGACTAAAACGCCGCGCACCGCATCATCACCGATGTCACCATTGGAAGGCGCGACGGCCACGAGTAACAGCTCCCGCTCAGCCGACAGCTTCTGGGCGGCTTCCGCCGCTGCCGCTGCCGCTGCACCGCGCTGCTCTGCGACCGCCAACTGCGCCTGCAACAACACAGAAAACCCAACGGTAAAAATTAGTTAAAACCCACAACCTTCAGAACCGGCAGACTCTATCACTGCATTAAGGGCAGAAGTGGTCACATGCCCATGCCCTGCCATGAGGAACCTGCTGCCGCACCAGCACCTCCCATGCCAAATCACAAGTGCGTAAGCGCTTCACCACGATGCAGCAATAGCGTCTACAGGCAAAGTGGTGGGCGCACTCCCTGGTCTGTCCAAGTGTTTGCTCACAGTGTGTGCATGCCGCGCCCAACTCCCTACACACTTGGCTGCATTTGTACAGACATGCACCAACAAACCAAAAAGTGTTTTCCAGAGAGATTGATGGGGTCCATTAAAGGCATGGTTGCGCTGAGACCTTTGTCATGGGGAGAGAAAAATTTCACTCATGAGTCACCTGGAGGGCGGCCTTCTCAGCATTCACCGCCTCCAGCAGAGCAGCTGCCTCCGCTGCCTGGTGGGCTGACGAAGACTGGGCCGACGCAGACTGGGCCTTCAGCTGAGCCTCCAGCTCCTCCTGTAAGCACAACGCAGCAACTGTTGATATCATGCTTTGACGTAGGTTGAATTCTGCTCATAATCTGTCTTTAAGAAAATCAGAGTAACCGAGTGCCTCTCAGGCCAAGCCAGGTCTGTCTGCTGCATACCTGATGACAGCATGCAATATGCAGCCCCAACTAGTGATCAGACTGGCCTCTCGGTCCACTGGACCAAGAAATCCAACAAAACACTAAGTGACAGATCAGATGATGCGAACCTGTCTGACCAAAGGCAGATTTGGTAAAGAAGTCGATGAGGTGAGTGTACCTTTACTGCCTGCAGCTCTGCGATGGTTGCCTCCAGCTCTGGAATTCTTGCAGCCAGAACCTCAACCTCAGGCAGCTTAGCTCGCAGCTCCTCCAGCTCAGCAGCCGCCTGACTGGACTCTGCTGTCTGCTCGGCTGGCCTGTTCCCATTGGGAGCTTCAGAAGCCCCTGACGCATCCGTTTCTGTCTGGAGCTCGCTCATTCTTGCCTCTGCTGCAGCAAGCTGCTCCTGTAGCAGCCACATCGAGACAACTTCAAGGTTGCTAGTCCAAGCTGGCATCTAGGGGAGCCCAAAAATGCCAACCCAGGGATACAGCATCCTGAGGCACACCTGATAAAATCATCAAGCATGACCCCTCCTTGCACCGGCAAATAATCACAACAGGTACTGTTTAGTGCCTGCACAGATGCATGTGGAGGCCCAGCGTCTCAGCGGCAGAGGATGTTAGGACAAGGCTAGCTCTCTTGTGCAAGGAGCAAGGACGGGACATGAGTAATGCGCACACCTGCAGACTCAGTCTGAGCGCGTGCTCCTCGTCAAAGCAGTCTTGCAGCCGCGCAGCTTCGCCGTCCAGCCCTGTGCAGTGATCCTCCAGCGCCTGACCCGCAGAGCTGACTCCCATGAACAGCTGCTCCAGCTTCCCGCACCGATCCTGCACAACAGATGGGCGAGCTGGTCAAGTTGCGTCACATCAAATTGGGTGGCAATATCTTGGGGTAGAATTAGTGAGGTGTCCAGGAAACACGGCCCTTGACTAAAAGCTATCACCAAATTGAACTACACGTATTGATGTCAAATATGTGCTGCTGGCAGAGATTTCAATATATGCATGCCCACCACATGAAATATTCATCGAGACGCAATGGGTTACCACTAAAAGAAAAAAAGATACCCACCTGCAGGGCAGCCTTGGCAGTTTCTGCGGCCGTTAGCTCTTCCTGCAGAGCCTTCACTGCATCCTCCCCGGCGCCGGAGCCGGCAACATCGGCAGCCGCCTCAGCTTCCGCCAGCTTCTCGCGCAGCCCGCGGATCTCCGCCTCGCTGGCACCCGCGTACTCGTCAGCGCTTTCCCGCAGCGACTGCAGCTCTGATTGCAGTGACTCTACCTGCTGACTAAACGCGCTCACTTCAGCGCAGCTGACATCAGCGCGCTCAGCGGCGGCTGCCTCCAGCCGTGCTACAGTCTCTTGCAATGTGCGGATCTCGGCGTTACCGGCTTCATCCTGTTTTGCTATGTCGGCCGTGGCGGCTGCAAGGGAAGCCTCCAAATTGCTGACTTGCTGCTGCAGCTCTCCGATCTTGGCTTTGCTGCTTTCCTCAGCAGCTGCAAGCGCCTGCTGAGCAGCTGCCAGCTCCTGTTCGACTCTCGTCAGCTCGCCCTCAAGCGCGCTCATGTCATCGCCGCTGCGAGCGTTGTCAGCGCTAATCTTAGCCAACCTCCTCTCAAGCTCCTTCTTCTCTGCTTCAAGAGCTGCGCTTTGCAGCGCCTGCGCCTTTGTCGCAGCAAGTTCGACCACAACCTTTTGACTGTCCGCCTTGACAAAAGCCAACTCAGAATTTGCAGCTGTGAGCTCCGCGCTGAGGCGAGCCACTTCAGCTTGTGCATCGGCCAGCTGCTCAGAGTGCTGCGCGGAAACGAAATGAGAGATCTGCGCCAGATCAGGCTTGGCGCTGACTAATAGGGCGTCCGTTGGGGAGGGAACGTCGCCGTTGGACGCCGGCTGCTTCTGTTTTGATTGGAGCACGCCTAGGTGCGCCTGCGCGCACATGCCGGCACATGCCTGTCAGTCCATTACTTTTACAAATCTCATTCCAGACCACATAGGCTTGCAGCCAGGAGTTAGTGAGGACAGGAATTAGGTATATCATATCTTAGATGACGACGCAGTGTTATGGCAGACAGGGTTTCTCTGGATGCAAGGCCATACAAGCAATGCTGGGGGAAAGGACAGCAAGAACATGTGCCACCCTTTGACAAAACCACAACTCGTTTCGGTACAATGGAAGATAGTACCCTGCCAACACTTTCAATGTGAGATAGTGGGCCGCTACCTCGAGCTCTGAAATTCGCGCCTCCAAAACAGCGGCCGACTTGGCCGGGGAGGCGGACGCGGCGAGGCCGTCCAACCCGCGGAAGGAGGCGGTCGCGCTCGGCGTCCCGGGAGCCTCCACAAAGCCGTCGGCACCCTCTGGCGCCGGCGCGTCGCCGTTCTCGGCCGGCCCTTCTGCAGCCGGAACGTTTAAATTCAAAATTTTGTTATTTGAAGGTTGAAATCGAATACTGCTCGAGATGCCTAATCAGAGGAATGCATGCAACTGAGAGTGCATGTCACGGACCCTTAGGAGGAGTACTTTATATGAGACAAACCCAAGGGTCGACAAAACCCAATCCAATTTGCAGGCATCCACCAAAGCTGACATGACTTTTTCACTGGAGGCCAAAGCTGCCATGCTGCAGGGTGCGGGCCAAAAATTGTGGCTCTGTAACTCAACAACTGCAGTTGGAGCAAGGTGGTACACGGAACATTCTTCTTCCAGCTGAGACGCTCACCGGCTGCCTCGGCCGCGGCGTGCGCATCGGCCAGGTCTGCTTCCAGCCGCGCGCAACGCTCTCGCAGCAGCTCCAGGTTTGCGGCAGCTGCTGTGGCAGCCGCCGCCTGCTCGCTCAGCTGCGCTCTGGCTGCCGTTAGCTGCTCTTGCACCTGCATGCAGTTTCCAAGGTTCATTCCACAAAAATCAAGTTACAGTATAGCAAGCTATCCAACCCAGGTGGCTCCTTTGATCACTAATACACTGAGTAGCTCAAGTCCCAGACCCATGGAGCGCCATATTATTTAGGACCCCCTAGCATTATCATTCATTGTGAGGTAGATACAATTCTTGGCCATCAGGTAAAGTAACAGTACAGCAAATCCTCACATTGGATTGATCAAATGTGACAGTGCTTACCTGCGCTGCCTCGGCCTTGTGGGTGCTTGCCGCAGCCGCCAGCTGCGCTTCCACCTCGTGCAGCTTCTCCTCTGTGCTCTGCTGCGCTGTGTGCGCTTCCGCCAGCTCAGCCTCCAGCTCAGCAATCCTGGCTGCTTTTTGCTCCTCAATAGCTGCAGACTGCTTTGCAAGCGCCTTGCGCTCTTCGGCAGCTGCGTCCAGCTTTGCTGCAGCCGCCCTGAGCTCGGACTCCAGCTCAGCAATTCTGGTTGCGCTTGCTGCGTCCCGCTCCTCAGTAGCTGCAGACTCCTTTGCAGCTGTCTCGCGCTCTTTTGCAGTGGCAGCCAGCTTCGCTTCGGCTGCCTCCAGCACAGCAGCAAGCTTCTGCTTGGCTTCCTGCTCGGCTACCAACTTGCTTCCCGCCTCTTCCAACTCAGTCTCCAGCGACTTCACTCGGGCGCCCGCCTCACTGACCTGGACCCTTGCTTGGTCCAGCTCAGCGAGCTGCTTCTCGGAACCAGCCTTGGCAGCTTCCAGGGAAGCTTCCAGCTCTGCGGCGCGTTCCTGGGCCGCTGATGTGTCGCCCTCCTGGCGCGACAACTCAGCGGCCTGCAGCTTGACTGTCTCCTGCAGAGCTGCCACGTCATCCTTTGCTGCAGAGAGCGCTGCTCCCAGCGAGGCAGCTTCTGCTTCAGCCTTGGAGGCTGCTGCCTGCAGTCTCTCCTCGGCCGCTGCTGTCTCCTGCAAAGTTTGAACAGAAACCCAGTTCATCTTGTGCTTTGAAGGTCTGATGTGATTCTTTTCTTCGACCTCGCCTGCGGCAAATGCGTCATTCTCCATCTCACAGTAAGTATCTCCATCTCACAGAAGGAGTATCTCTGTTTGAGTTCCTTTCCATAAATATGACATCTCACACAAGAAGGGCTTCGTGGCACCGGGAAACAGACCCTTCAAGCGGGCATTGGATTATCATGTGTTGACTACACTGTTGCCTCGTGACCTCTGCAGACATCACGAAGGCTTCAAGGCTGCAGAATGCTCCCAAAACAGTGCGCACCGCCTGTGCAGCCTTCAAGGCGGCGTCTGTGGCGTCCAGCTTCTGCTGCTGCGCTGCCAGCTTCTCCTGCAGGGGCTTCAGCGCTGACTCCACTGAGGCGTCCTTGTCATCCGCCAGCTGGCGCATCGCCTGTTTCAGCGCTCCCAACTGCAGCCAGAATCGCACTGCACTGTCAGCACATGTTTTCCACCCAGAGCCTTTGCTACTTCACAACACTTTGTGAGGGCCCATATTGATGCGAGTCCAATGTCAAGTCTCAAGTCACCATGTATTGATGGTGCAATTGTCGGGGGAGATTGTGACAAATGCTCCCACACAGCACACCAGGTTGCACCTAGTTTGGATCGTCAAATTTGAGAACTGGTGTCACAGCAGTTAATAGCCTGCCAAGAGGCTTCTTTCTCACTCTCCAAGCGTGTGTGTCATGCCTGCAAATTCGCACCTGCTCCAAGAAGGTCTTGTTTTCCAATTGGGATGCCTCGAGCTGGCTCTTGGTGGCTTCATGCGCAGCTTGCTGGCCGGCCAAGTCAGCCTGAGCACTAGCCTTCAGCGCTGCCAGCTCCTCCAATGTTTTCTGCAGACAAATTGTCATTAAAGCTACAATTTGATGGCTTGCTTGCACATCCACCATGATGCCTTCAGACATACGTTTTGCTCTCATCATGTGAAGCTTCTGCTTCCGCACAGGAGGGCAGTTCCCTTGAGCCCACAGCAGATGCTTGCACTCGTATCTCTGCAAGCCTGCAGACAGCCTGCCATGCATTGAATGTGTAGAATGCATTGGAGGCATACAAGAGCCGCACCTGCAGCTGAACAGCTCCTGCATTCTCTCCCGCACCAGTGGATGCTCCGTCCGGGCTGCTAGACTGCCCTTGCAGCGCAGCCAGCTCAGCGGCCGACTTCTCATTGGCTGCTGTGAGCTCCGTGATGCGCTTGTCGCGGGACTTGAGCTTTCTGAGGGAGTCCACAATCAGGCGCTGCAACTCCTCGGGTGTGGCATTGGCCAGGGACGGCGGCAGCGGCATTTTGCGCTCCTGCAGGCAAAAGATAATCATGTGGGACATTCTGAGCTGGCACGCCAACCCATAAGTGAGTCTTCATCCCTTCCCAGAGCCAGCGCTGGCAGCATCAAGACAAAACGGGCAGCATGCCTCTAGGTATTTATTATGCTGGAGTTAGACATCATTGCAGTGCAATGCAGTCTGCAATACAGGATGACACTTGCAAAATGCGTCGGATACGGTACGTATGCTATGAACTGAAATTGTGCATGTCAACTTGACGAATAGGCAACAAGAATCTGCCTGCTAATAGCAAAAAAAAACGAATTGCTTGAGAAGATACAGGCCACCAGCTACGATGGGTAAGCCATCGCCGATGCCAGGGGAAGTATGTCCAACGCGTCTTGCAGATGAGGCCCATGCAAGAGAAGACAAATTCCCAGAGAAAATGGCGAATTACCTGTTTCGAAGGGCTTGTCATGTGGGGCTATATCGCCTCAGATTTCGTTATCCATGACTGTCGGCTTTCCTATCTTTCGCATGAGCTCGATAAAACCTGTTTAAGGGGGAAAGGAACCGTGCAGTTCTCGGGCTAACGAGTCTCCCAGATTGCCATCCGTGCATTCTCAGCTGACACCCCCGAATAAGTGTTGTCTGCACATAGCACGTGCGTAGCAAGAGGGGCCAGCGCTTTGTTTTGCCTTCATCTTGTATACCAGCAGTTGCGTAAAGCGCAACCCGAAGTTTTCGCTGCAACTCTACGCAGATCCGAGGACAATTCTTCTTCATACATCACTTGCTATTCTCGTCTTTGCGCATGCTGGAGCATTATCTCGGACCCAACCATGGCACATTGAAATGTGAGGGTTGCCGAAATTGGCTCGAGCTCATTGGCCACGTGGCCAGATGACTCACGCAGGAACACCTGACTGATATTGAACAGGGAGCTTCCCCACAAAATTATTAGTGCTGTAAACTCACTCATCTTATTTTCGCACGCCTGCTACAATTATTGTAACCTTAAGGTGGTGAACAGTGGTTCATTTGTCTCAAGCTCAAGAAATTGAAAGAGCCGATGGTCGATCATAACTCGTAGATGGCTAAAGTTTGGCAATGGGATGATCTCAGATTTCACAGAAATATTTCCATGTGCCGATGAGATCAAATGGCTGACAAGAGCCAGAATCTGCAGAAGGCGCTTGAGGCATTTCGCAAGCGACAAGCTGAGATCGCAACAAGCTCTGCCAGCGCTGCTCGGAAGGTAACTAATCTTCTTCTACTCAACAATATCTTATTGCGTTCTAGCAAGCCCAGGCAGCAAGCGAGTTGCCAGGCTGGCTCGGTGATCTGCAGTTCCTCTCTGACTCGATCTCAAGAGCACCCAAATGGAGAGACTCAAACAATCTTTATCGCGGAGTCATCCTATTGTTTTCGTATTACAGAGCAGACTCAGCCAATTTGTGATAACTTGCTTGTGCAGCCAAAAAAAGCTGCTCCAAAGAGGGATGGGAAGCCAAAAGCTGGCAGGGGCAGGGGAAGAGGCCAGGCTCCATCTGAGAGCCCTCTCACGGGAAAGGAGGCCGTGAGGAACAGCGTGGCAAGGAGCACCGTGCCCCTTGCCAAGCAGATCAAGGCGAGTTGGAGGCATCTTGCACTTTTCAATGCGTGCCAACTACATGCAACCCCTGTAGCATCGTGCCAACACTCTTAGAATCACCCACTCTAGGCGATGCAAGCTTGGTGATAATAAAACGATGACCTGCCGTATTCATGCTTTTCAGCGAGATGTCAGTATACATATTGCAGGCAGAAGGTGGCCATTCTTCACACTTCATGACATGGAAGCTTGGCTCGCAGAGCATTGGTTGGGGTGCGAAGTGCATTGCGCAAAGATGGCTTTGTCTCTGTTGACTAATTTGGGCGTGGCGCGCAGAATGTTCTTGATCACCTGCTTGCTGACCGGATGTCCGCGCTGTCACCGGCCGACATCAGCGCGCGCTTTGACCATGACGCATCCCCCGGGACCCCCCTGCACATGGCGCTGGCCGCCAACGACAAGATTGAGGTCCTCCCGGATGGTTCCTTCACCTACAAGGTCTGTCCAACCGCTCTTGTCCAGGACTATGCATTTGGCGTGGATGATAGGAGATTTGGTTTTCTGCTAAGCGTCTGTTGTGGCTTCCTAAAGCAAGGTATTGAGAGCCTAAATAGTAATAGAATCTTGTGTTCTGTAAAGCACTACACAAGTGTGGTCTGGGTCCCCTGCAGCTGTGATCAGTCGCCGATGATGCTGGTTCTGAAAGCTCACAACGGCGGTAACACTTCCTCTGCACTTAATTTTTTGGGAGTGAACTGTTTCTATTCTGTGCTTGGCAGGCAGCGCATGAGCTGGGCGACAAGAAGCAGCTGTACATGCATCTGCAGCGGTTGCCAGAGGGCACGTATGCAGGCACGGATCTCATTGATACTATGATTTCTATGGAGTATTTACCCCTTCAAACCCCTATTGCGGGCAGCTTGTTTGCACATGGAGCTTGCCTGTTTTGGAACAGCATGAATATATAAAAATATATAAAAACCCTAAACCCTAAACCCTAAACATGAATGACAGTCGGTGTGCTGGCGCAGGGACGCTGAAGGACACGTACGCTGATGTGGCAGCTGACATCGCAGCGCTCAAATCGGAGGGCCTGATCTGGGCGCTGCCTAGTGTGGACGTGGGGGGCGATGAGGTTCTGTACCCCCGGGAAGAACGCCCCCTGATCCGCGTCGATCCCGACGTTGCTGCTCTGTGGCACGACGTCACGGTGCGCTACAAACTCATTCTGCAACCTCCACTATTTTGCCATTTTGGGCCTTGCAGGACAGCTGTCCCGTGCCTGAATCGAAGTCTCTTCAGGTCGGATGTGGCTTAGCAAAGACTTCACATTGCACACTGTAAGCTCGAGAACGGCTGCCTCGCTGTGCGCCTTGACAGTCCCAGCAAGAGGGCATTAATTGTAAAAGGGGAATGGCATTAGAACTTAATGAATGTGGCAGCGGCATCAGCACATGCCAACATCCGTCAGAAGAATTGTTGATCTGAAGCATGCATACATTTGCTCTGATAGAGAAATGCAGAACTTGCTCTGATCAACGAACCACATCGAACAGCTGTGACAGCCTGTACTGAGTATACCGCAGGTGCTTTAGCCGAAAGCAAAATGAAGTGTACAACATAACTCTGAAGAACGTAATTTCCATCCGTGATGGTGTTGAAATAACACCGGTTGGGCGCCACAGTTGGGGGCACACTGCCCGCTTTCTGACTGGTAAGACTGTAGTCCAGTCAGCAGTCCACTGAGACCGGGACAGTAGCACAGCGGTAAAATCATGTGGATGCGCATACCTGTTCAGGTGCCGGCAGACCCGGAGGCTCTGGAGGACGAGCTGCGGAGATCCGGCATCACACCGGCTCCGCGATCGGGGCCGCGGCGGCGGCCGCCGCCGGGCGCCAAGCAGAAGGCAAAGCGAGCGTACCGGCCTCGCAATGTTACAAACGTGCACATGCCCGAGCTGTTTGCGGACGCTGCTCCCACCCAGATCGACTGAGTGGTGCTTCTAGCGTCTCTGGTCTTGATGGAGTGCTGGTGTCAGGATCTAAGTATAACAAGATCTTGTGAAAGGTGCTGCCGCGCATTGTCACCAACATGCACATGCCCGAGTGTATCTGGGACGCCGGTCCCACGCAGATCGACTGAGCACTTGTCTGGATTCTGGTGTATTTGGACACAGTGCGGACAAGAGTGTCTTGCTACCGCTGTCGTTAAAGTCCTGGCTATTCCAGGGTGCTGGTTTTGTTAGGACCATCAGTTGTACATTACTTGTAGTCGAGATGCAGTTTGCGGACTGGGACAGAGGGTGAGCGCCTAGGGTAGCTGTGGGAAGGGTAGCTGGGAGCCCATGAAATTCTATTTGCTCTTCCAAATCAGCAATATTGGGGGCATTGAACTGAACATGTAAAGCAAGGTTCTAGAGAGATGAACGTGAGATTTGCAATGGTTGTGACGAAGTTACTAGTATACGATGCCTAAGATTGTTAATGGGCATTTTGCCCACGAGTGACATGGCCTTTTCGCTGGCATATCAAATAATCTAATTACAGCTTCTGCTGTGTTGCCTGCATGCCGGTACATAGGAAACTTCCAGGCTGCAATGTGCGCCTGAGATGCTATTTCTACCCTGACCAGCGGACACATGCAAACATCCATGCTTGCTGGTCTAAAGAAAGAGCAATCCCCTTAATATTCTTGGAGTCTACTTAAAAGACCTTCACCATCAATCTACTGGGGACCCAAAGCCTTTCTGGTGGACCCCCCGTGCCGGCAGATCTTCCAGATGCGGATTCTCTTACTAATTCAAATTGAGCTACATCGAACAAAGAATGCTACGGTGACCAACACCCAGCCGGCTTGCCTTCAGGGTCCTTACAGCCCAAGTATGGCTTGGGGCAGGGGCTGAGGCTGAATCCCAATTTATAATTCTATGTCTTGATGCCGAGGTAATTCGTGTCGCTCTCGATGAGGATCCCCTCATTGGCAGCAACTCCTATGCGAGCTTCGGCCATGTCAGAATATTTCGCTGACTGGATAGTTCTTCCCAAGACTAAATTTTCCCGGCCGATCTCAGCTAATACCTTAAAGGAGGTCAACCCCTGCTCCAGTCTGTCTCGAGCAGACTCTGAGATACTCTCTATGCCTTGGGGCTGAGTTGATTTGTGCCGCCGTCCAGGGGAGATCCCTCTTTAGCGGCCACGCCGATGCGCGCTTCGGCCGTCTCTGTATCGCCGCGCCGGGCTTCCTCCTCCTCAGCCTGGTTGAGCTTGTCCGGCAGCAGGCACAGCAGCGGCAGTGGCAGAAACCGCGCAACCGCGCACACCTGGATCAGCAACATATTGGGTTCATTGGGTACCCACTCGTAAGGGCTTAGCCTCACTGCAACAACACTCTTTCATGTCCCATGGCCAGATTTTCTCGCCGCTCCCAGTTGTAGACAATCCAATGCTCACAGCTGCTGCTGTGGCAAGATGCTGTGAATGTTTCACTATCTGTAAACATGCCATCCTTTATAGGTGGCTTCCTCTGGACCAATGCTCGAAAGTATTTAAATGGTCAGACCCTGGGCTGTTGCCGAACCCTGGCTTCGAAACAGAGATAGATGACAGTGTTTTCATGTTAGCAGGTCAAGCTGCTCAAGCGAATTACACAAAAGAGGTGTGTGTGCTGGCAACCACCCTTGCAAGCACAGGTTGCAAAATCAAGACAAAAATAGCAAAACTGTCTGTGCGCACCAGCACGAGGTTTGCCAGGTTGGCAAAGTTCCCAGAAGTGACTCCAAAGGCCTTGGTGAGGGCGCTGCCGAAGACCTTCCCCAACATGAAGCTGGAGATGTGCAGGCTCATCAGCATGCCAAACACCGTCGCCTCGACCCCCTGCAATCGCAACATCTCCCTCCATCACATCCTGCATGCTTTTTCAGCCCCTCTGCGCATGCTAGTCATGCAATAGCACTTTTGTTAAACCCACTGAGCCTCCGGAAGCAATGTACACTCACATCAGCTCTGAGGCATTTTAGAAGCATGTTATTGACATGTGCAAGCATGCGCAGATCAACACAGTCTGCAAGTATCTCTCTTCACAGCCTCTGAACCCAAATTCACACCTGCCATTGACTCAGAACGCATCATCACAGGTGTAGGCTCATGTGTGACAGAGAATATCTATGTCTATGTCTATGTGATATATTGCATCAAATTTTATACAGATCCTCCTGCAAGCAAGCAAGCAAGCAAGCAAGGGATTTCTACCTTGGGGCAAAGCCGGGCGGCCAGGGTCACAAGGGGCATCATTGCAAGGCGTCCCACTCCGGCATGAATCCCGCCAACCACCAGCGCAAAAGCTCCGTCTGATATTCCCAGCGTGCGGTTGGATCCTGCACAGGTGCACATCGTGCCATGCTTGAGCCAGAAGGACACATGAAGAGCCTCACAATGCCTGGAACAATGGAAGAGAAGAGAGACACGACGCCATGCAAGCACCAAAGTAGGAGAGAGGGCTTGTTTGCGATTGAACCTCAACAGCCTGCCTGTTGAAAATACAGAGACATGCCAGTGGTCTGTTGATGGCTGTAGGGCCTTTGGAGATGTCCCCATTGTTGATCCAAGGGAGATCTCTGCATGCTTCCAGACTCCAATTTGCACGAGGGCTCAGATTGAGATTTCAATTTCCCAACACGAGGAAGTATAATTTATTTAGTGTAGTGTAGTGTAGTGTAGTGTAAAATTTATTTCGATTTAATTACTAATTGAATTTTTACGAGGAAGTATTACCTGTGACCAGAATTGCTTGGGCGGCATGCACGGCAATGAGGATCATGGCACTCCAGAAGAACACCTTCTTAATGGCCACACTCCTCAGAAACACATTGTAGAACGCCACACCTGTTTGCACATGACCATCAATCACATGCCAACCAATGACCTTGTGCAACTTGGCAGATCAATCATGAGCAGGCATGCTTGTCATGAATGAAGGGCTCTCTGCCATACAAATGCATTCTCAAGGGAAGCCACACCCCGCTCAAGGAATTGATCTTGAACTGCAATCTCGGATGTCAGAAGTCAAAGCAAAGAACTCGAGTTGCAGGTGCGGCACAAGAGCCTTTTCTGGAGACCACGCTTACCTAGGACTTGGCAAACGCCGTCCACAAGCAGAATGATGCCGAAGAACTCCTCTGAGAAGTGGAGAGCATTGGTGCTGAAATAGAACATGGCCGAATCCACCGATGGGGTGATCTGTGTGCAGGCAATTTCAGGACGTCTACCACCCAGTCATGAGGAATAGAAGATTTGACTGGCTTGTATGCAGCACAATCTCCACACCAGCACAATCATGCGCCTTTAAACGCAGGTATGTATGCTCCATGAGCATGCCGACTCTGCAAATTATGCTGATCAAAGGAATAATTCTTGGGAGTGTTTCTCAGAAGAAAGGCAAATGCACACTCAACTGAGAATCAAGGGCCGACCTGCCACAGAAACAAGAAGAGGGCGGGTAGAAGCAGGTACTTGTCGCAGCAGGTGTCACGCAGCAGAGTCATCTTCTCGGCAAGAACGGCCGCCGCTCTAGGGCGTTGCCTGGCAGCTTTGCCTGCTCAGAATGCATCATAGCACAGTCATCAGCTAGATGTTTGTGTGCATGAGCACATCTGGAGGCTAAAATCTACTTCACGGTATATATATATATGTTGATCGAGGCATCGTGATCTCTGGGATGCGACCCTCCGTGAATCACTGCATGTCTGACACATCAATGGTTGAATCGGCAGCCGTGCACCAAATATGCACATTACCCCCATGCGGCAGTTCAGAATAAACAGCTAAAGTTCTAGTCATCGGGGGAACTCACCGAAGATGGGCTTTCGCTCTTCGCGCATGACGAAGGAGCAGAGGAGCACGAAGACAGGCAGGGCAGCCACGACCAACATGCAATTCCTGGGCGTAAACTGGTGCACCATTATTCCCACCACTGCAGCGCTCACAACCTTGCCCACAGCCTGCCAAACAGCGCCAACACAGCCCATAAGATCTAGCTAGCGCATAAATAGCATTAAAATTATTATACATTTTCCAGCCCTTCAGGACTAGGTATGTCAAGCAACACCTGAAATATTGCTCTCCATAATTCACATTAAATGGATGAAAATTTCCTTCCTCAAAGGCAAGCGGATCTGATGACCAGCACTTCCTTGCAAGGTCCGATGAAATGGTTGCTGAGAAAACAGGCAAATGTTTTTAATGCAACGTGCTGTGCCATGCAAGCCAAAAAATATCTGGATCCGGGACAAGAGTATGGGGCATTTGGAGACTAGTAATATAGGCACCTAAGCCAACTGTGGCTTGGATAGGCGTGAAATAATATTAATAATAATATAGGCATGTGACATCACAGACCTCAGCGCGCAAGCATGTGCGAGGTCAAGGAGTCTGTCAGTCTACTATTATTGATTGTCAACGGTGAGTCACCTGCAGGCCCCAGCAGAAGGACTGCAGCGAGGCTGCAAAGTCCTGCGACTGGCCGTGCGTGCGCATGACTAATATGGAATCCACAACAGTAATGGAAAATGCCTCGCTGAAGGAGGCCAGCATCAGCGCTGCTATAGCTTGGGGTGTGTCCTGCACGCGAGAGAAACCCACCCACACCCCAATACCTGCGCGCATGCAATTCTTTTTTAGTCATTCTATTAACATTACCATGTCCAAAAATACCTTGCTTAAATTACTAAGAAGTTGTTCTCATTGGTGATAATGCCATATATGAGCAAAGGCCATGTGGGCATGCATGAGAATTCTCTGCAGCCATCTTCGGTTAGCCTGCAGCAGTCTCCCAGCAGACAGGCATACAGTCAGCACCAAATCCAAGATTGTCAGTGCAGATTTGTACACTGCCAGCCTATTTGGCTGGTAGCTGCAGTGCTGCTTCAGATGCATCTGCACAGAGCTGAAATGTAGAGGCGTCTTTCCAATTCCGCATTTGCGCTGTCGATTGCAGGGCAGAAGACGATGCCGGCAACTCAGGCAGAAGGACCTACTTAGCGGAAGACAGAAGATTCCATAGGCCTCTGGGCTCAAAGAAAGGACGTCTTGTGAGAATGAAAAAGCACGAATAGGCAGGCGATGAGTCACCCATGAGGCTGAAGAGGATGAGGTAGGATCGGCGGTGGTAGCCCAGCAAGGGAACTGCATCGCTCAGCAGCCCGTACACTGGTTTGATGACCCACGGCAGCGCTTTAATCCCCCCCCAAAACTCCAGCTGCTCGCACAAAATAACATTTGCATCCGCATAGCATGGCTTCTGTTTTTCTGAGAGAAACAGATGTGCTACCATTGGGTCCACCCTAGGGCATGCAAAAACTTCAAAATCAGCTGAACAGATTCCAGGAATGCGGCTTACACAAGGCGGATGACACATCCCTTCAGTTCCAATTTAGGGAGAGCTGACCTGGCTGGGGCTCCAGTGGAGGTCGTCTTTGAGGAAGAAGTTGACTGGCAGCCGACCCCAGACGTCCAGGAACCCAAACACCATGTACACTGCCAAAAAACGGCACATTGATTCAACGCATTGCCTCACGCGAGGATCTGTCTGCTTTTTGATGCCGCATGCAAGTGTGGTGCATCCCAAAAAAGAAGTGCGGGGCAGGTCGGGCCCCTGCAGTGAGAGTCGAATACGAGGCAGAATTTCTGCATGGCGACGATATTTGTCAGCTTTAAGGGTGCAAAGGTGTACCTACGCCGATGCCATAGAGCTCTGTGTTGCAGGGGACTCCTGGCAGCACCTCAAAAGCCCTCCCAATGCACCACCAACCCTTCTTTCTGCGCCCTTCGTTGGTCCCTGAAACCATAGCAAAAGCAGTTGCTTGACACCGAAAATGTGATTAATTCAAATAGACAAGCAATTTTCAGGAATCAAATTTGCAGGGCTCTGTCCTTGTTTACAGGGGTGCAGAGCGACACACATTGTGGTTGATCCACGGCCGTGCGTGAGTGCTGTGCCCTCACCTGTGGGTTTGCCTTGCTCCACCTCCAGATGGGTATCGCTTGATGAGCTGACATGTTCATTCTCGTTCAGGAGCCTGTCACCAGCACCTGGGAGGCAGTTAAGAATGCCCACTGTCATCTGTGGCAGTCTCGAAGTTTTCGATGCAGCATTATGCTACGAACACTGAGAATAAAATTCTCTAGACTCGACCCTAATGCTGTAGTTAAATGGGACTATGCCTTTGATCTGGCTTCGCAGAGAATCCAATACACGCAATGCCGCGAGAAGTTCAGGAAGTTCGCCGTACCTTTCCTCGGCGTTTCTGGGACCGTAGTGGATTCGGAACGATCGTGTTTGGCATTGTTACCATAAACTCCACGCATGACACTGCTGTGAACTGGTGACTAGGGGAGCAAACGTCCTAACGAACAGTACATTCGCAGCGAAGTTCCGGCTGAAGCGTGATCACCACAATCAATCAATTGGTTATACGGGACTTTTGTATCTAATATATGAAATGTTGTGGGTTGATCCTGATGTCTTTGCGTTCATCCCTGTTTCGGACGTTCTTCATCGGTCTTGACTAACTTCGAACTTCGGGGTGACCTTCAAATCGGCCCGCGGGTCAACCCACTAGGTCACCCTGTGCTCCTTTGGCGCTCAATGCGCAGATGCCAAAGCCATCAGTGCTCGCGTTTCGGATCAAACTCCTTGTAAAGTAGAAAACAGTCAGGCGCAAAGCATCCGCTGCAGGCACAGCAGCAGGTGCTGGCCTGAATGTGTTGCTGAGTGCTGCCAAGAGAACACTAGAAAGTGATTACAATGGATGAGACCACTTCTGCAAGCCCAGATATTCCGTTCATTGTCAAACGGCCCGCGCTGACCAATGTCAAAGACCTTATGATGAAGCTTCCCGACGATGCCACTGTGAAGGACGTAAAGGCTAAACTATCGAAGGTCTATGATGATCATCCTCCTCCCGCAGCCATTACGGTGAGTTTGAATTGATTTGGATAATATAATCAAGTGTGGAAATCTGGTCAAAGTGGGTTGCGTGCTTCTTGTCCATGAAAAAATTCAGCTGAATAATAGCTTTGATCTTGTCGACGCAAAAATACCACAAACATTCGTGATTTTTATGCAGGTCATCTTTGCCGGGAAGGTCCTGAAAGATGACAGCATGCTCCTGAAGGAAATCTTGGCGTCGGTGAGTTCCCTCATTTTGCTTCAAGACCACCGTGTCAGTCGCATCTGCTGGCATCTCTACCTTGTTCAACTTGCATTTCGACCTCTAAAGATGTAGACGTGTCATTATATACGCATGGCACCTTAATCAGAGAATGCACTGCTTTTCTCTCACTTGGTGAGCGGCAGAGACAAGGGATCTTGATGAGGTTACAGCTAGTAGGACAACCCAGGTTGGAATGATCAGTGGATGGAGAATTAAAGAGCGTCAACACCAAGCATTGGGGTCTTCCACTGCATTCAATTTGCACTCTTGCTCCCAGGTGGCAGGGGACATTATGCCAGCACTGCACGTCGTGGTGCGCCCATGGGGCTCCGCCCCCGATGCCACCGCAATTGATGCTGTAGCCAGTGCAACCACCGCGCAGCCCTACGCATACCCACCGGCCCCGCGGCCGCAGCCGCAGCCGCAGCGGCAGGCGACGGCGCTTCAGCAGGCTCGGCCAGTGGTCGCGGCAACCAACCCCGCCGCAAATTCCCCCGGCTTCCAAGGGGCGGCCCGCGGTGCTCCGGCACCCACCGCACCCGCGGCGGCGGCGGCCCCCGGGAGCGCGGGTCGGCCAGCTGGCGCGGTTGCCGCCGCCAGTGCCGCCGAGCGCCGGTCTGCAGCTTCTGCCGCTGCCGCGTCCTCGGCGGCCGACAAGGGAAAGGCGCCCGCGGCGTCGTCGGCCGCCGTGCCGAGGCAGCCGCTGCCTCAGCCGCTGTCGCCGTCTGTGTCCCCAACTCTCCCCAACGGGCAGGTCTGTGCCGGACCCAGCATGGATATCTATGCACGAGCATGCAAAGCAGCTTGGACAAAGAAATTTTCAGGTGCTGCATGGCACAAACGCTGAAATCTTTCTGCATCTGTGGGAGCCTCTCCATGCATACGGGTATCACCACAATGAGATTCCCCATGTTGGTTTGGGTGAAGCAGAGGTCGTCTAGCAGCCTGCCGCAGCCGGAGCTGCCGCCGCAGCTGGTGAACAACCCAGCCATGGCCGCAGCATTCAGCGCCGCGTTCGCTGCGCTGACATCACCCACCGCCATCCACAACCTGGGCGTCCCTCAGCGCGGATTCCTGCAGCCGCAGATCCCTCAACAGGTGCAAAATTTTGTCCACCGTCCCTTACTGCACTTCCTAGACTCTCATGACATTAAAATTTGCAGGCCCATGACCTGCCGATGCAAATCAATCCGGCATGTCACGGCACGGCATGGCCTTCACAGGGTCAAGTGCAGTTCAGGAATTCATGCTAGTGGATGAGCCAGACTATGTGGGAAGGCAAACAGCTGTCCGGGCTGTCAGCTTTACAAGGAGCACACCCGTGTGTTACCCCTCCTTACTCAGGTCGGCTTGCAAATGATAACAAGGGACACGAATTTAACTTATTTAGGACCAGGTTTGCAATTGCAGAAAGGCAGACAGGGTCTCAGAGTGGGCCAAACTGATGATGCGTGCTACAAACAAACAGCACACAATCCTGACAGGGAGACTTGCAGCTGCATGTGAAGCGAAGTGCAAGCAGAAACCCACATGTTGATCCTTCTTGCGACGTGATCAGACTTGAAGCGTTGCAGCTGTGCTCAGACCCCACAAACCTGGGTTCAATCTGCTGTTTTTTCAGACTTCCAGGTTTGTGGGGTCTCATTACAGCTGCAACGCTTCAAGCGTTTTTTGCCAAGAGGCAAGGTGCTTCCTGCAGACATATTGCTGTCGAAGGCTGCCACAATCGTAGCCCTTGTTGGACTCACCAGATCCAAGCAAGACCCACTTAACTGTGGACACCGTGCTCAGTATTTATCCCGCCCCACGCCAGCCGGGGCTTCAAAAGCACATGAATGGCAAACTGATGATGGTGCTGCTGTGCACAGGGGCAGGGAACGTCTCAGCAGGCGTTGCTGGACGCGCTGCTGTCTGGGCAGCCCCTGGGGCAGCAGCACCCCTTCCCCCACCTGCAGCCCATTTTCCCCCAGCCCATCTCCTACATGCCCGTCCTTGGCCTGGTGCGGCTGTTCTTCCACTGCCTTTGCATCTCGACATCCCGCCCCAAGCTGCAAAGGCCGAGCGAAGCTGGTGTGCATAGATATGGCCTGCCCAAGCCGAGATTGAATGCCCCCAAGAGAGCACATAACAAAGCGGCGCTTGGGGAAAATTTCTACTGCTTGCAGCCTTCTGGATGACCCAGGCCTACCGGCTACGCTTGAAAAATATCCCTTGATGCTTGTTCATGCAAATAAAATCTCATTCTTATTGCTGTGGAGCCTTTTTGCTAATCAGCAGGCACTCCATCAGCTGCCTTTGTCCTGCTTCATGTTAAATTGAGCCATTGCTTGTCCTTAGTATTGAGCGGCGGAATATTGCATGCCTGCAGGTTCAGCCGCCCCCGAGCGAGAACGGGCAGCAGCAGCAGCCGCACTATGCGCCTGTTCTGGCGCCAGTGGTGCCCATGATGATGCCTTATGGCATGATGCCCTACTCCACCGGACCCGTGCATTTTGCCCCGCAGCCGCCGCCGCAGCCGCTGTCCACGGGGCAGCCGCAGCCGCAGCCGCCGCCACCGCCGGGGCCCCCTGTGCAGAACCTGTTCCAAGGTGCGCCAGACCCTGTCTTTTTTTTGCAGGGTCCATGCCTTGCATGCCACAATGGACACAAAAAGTCTCTTAGACATTTGCTGAGGCCCTTAACAATGATCAGGCGATGTCTATTCTCTGTCTCTGTCATGTTCCCTGTCATGTCTATTCTCATCATGATGCCACAAAGCTCTTTCCAACTTTCCTGGAGGTTTGCTGGGATGCTGCCGCGGCAGTGTCTGCTCTGCAATTGCTGGCATGCACCTGCCTGGCTGTTTTGGGTGATATGGGGAGATCCCAGCAGCTGCATGGTCTTGCGTTCTTGTCGAGGACAGTGTATAAGCTTGCCCAACACAAGCCAAGATCAGCGCCAGCGCATTAATTCAGAACATGAATAAGTCACATGCCTGAGGTCTGCTCTCTTTGAGCTGCATGTTACATGGTGATTGGCAATATGAGATATGTTGAAGATGATATGTGCGTGTCTGCGCAGGCGTGCCGGGGGTGAATATGTGGCAGCAGGAGGGCGCGGCGCTGGGGAATGCGGTGGCGCAGGGGGCGCGGGGGGCGCGGGGTGAGAGGAGGGAACGCCGTCCGCGGCAGATTCGCGTGCGCATGGTGCAGATAAACCTGCGCGCCATCCTGCAGCTCGCAGTCATGGGCATCATCCTCTACCAGGTTTGCCTCCATTTTCGGGAACAGCAACCCTCCTGGCAGTCTCAATGAGTTGATACCATTGTCTGGCTGCTATTGGTGTTATTTATTAGTATGACCCTTTTACTGGGAATCATCTGGTACAATGTATGCAGTGATGTTTTATATGAATGACCTTACCTCTGGCATTTCAACTTCCTATGCAGACAGATCTCAGTGCGTGGGTGCCTTTAGTGCTGATTCGTTGATGTGACAAACGGAAGAGCATGCTCCCACCCTCATGCACCCCTCTCACAATCGCTGTCAAGTTGACACGTTTTTAGCGCTGAATTCCGCTTTGGGTTCGATTCCCCGCCGGCTTTGCTGCCTGTCAGGCCCTCGAAAGGTCTGCAGTTGTCAACTCGGGTAGAAAGGGTTTGAGAACATATCTGGCTGATTTGGAGTGTGTTGTGCTGCTGGTTGTGCTGACGGGTGTTTACTTCCCTGCATGCAGCACTGCCCGCCGGGCCGCTTCCTGCTGTTTGCCACTGTGGGCCTCGCACTGTATGTTATGGGGCCGGCTCCGCTCCGACGCGCGTGGCAGCGGCTGCTCGCCATGCTCCCGCCCATGCATGTGCGCATCAAACAACCGGATCCCTCAATGTGTCGATTTTCCAATGTCGTGTTGAAAAGAGTGAAGTTCTCCTTTTTGCGCATGGGCCCCTGTGTGCCTGCCACTGGAATATTGACAGGGACACCCAAAGGCTGTCCTGCCATTCTCTTGTGGTTGCAGCCAGCACAGAGCTCCTGACTTATGCGGAGGACGCAATGGCCGGCTAGTTGCTTCTTCACTTTTCCGGCCTTGGGCAGATTGTGCTGCATTCGTGCAGCCGCTCTGGTGTGCGCAAGGGGTCTGGATATTGGGCGCTGTCTTCATACTGGCTTGTAGCTCTCAGCAGCAGCTTCAACGCCTCGATTCTCGTTCTGAGCATAAAATTCCTTGTGCAGGGTCCGGGGCAGCAGGTGGCCGGCGCGGGAGGCGCGGCGCCGGGGCCGGCCAATGGCGGCGCGCATGCGGCGGGTGCCGGCGCCGGCGCCGGCGCGCGGCCGGCGGCGCCGGCGGCCGGGGCCGGGGCCGGGCCGACGGGACGAGCGCGGCCGCGCGGATTTGTGCAGGAGATGCAGGCGCTTGTTGTGGGCTTCTTCACTTCCCTGTTGCCAGGTGACAAATATTGGGATTCTTCTTTTATGAGCTTTTGCGCGACATTGTTCTATCGTGACTAGTGACTCCCTGCAGTGTGCATGTGGTGTGTGTGCACTCAGAAAGTCCTTTGATTATTCATTTTTGCAGAATAAATTGCATTTGATGTGGTGGGGGATCACAAGGCTTACGCCAGGCTCTTGAAGCTCTGCGCTGACAATGAAACTTCATTGTGCAACCTGAACTGCACAACTTGGTGAAGCTCTTGCGAAGAAGGAGAAGAAAGGTGCTGTTCTGAGCGGTGTGGTGTGTGCGCTGCAGGTTTCAATATCAATCCAGAGGATGCTGCTGCATTTGCAGCTGCGCAGCAGGTGGCAAACGGGAACGAGGCTATGGCTGCAGCAAGGGAGCACAGAGACTGAGCAGTTGGTCACCGTTGTTGATTAGCTGTTATGGAAAGGTTCTTTTGTGGAGGCTCTGCAGCATGCTCCTGAACAAGTCTTAAATTCAGCTGGCTTTGCCCTGTGCGGTACGCACATTGGTGCTGCGCCTTTCAACAATTTGCACGTTTAGAGTAAAAAAGATTCCTTGTTAGAAGTAGTTTCTAAGGAATTAATTAGGTGAGGGTTTTACATATGACCTGCAAGCTCTGTATACCTTCATCTGTAGGTGTGATCATTACCATTGCATGGTGCTATATCCAACCACAGGTAATCCTACCCATTCCTGCAATTTATAAGTCCTCTATACTACACAAGACTTACAAGTCCATCCTCCGGTCATCCTTACACAGCAATTGTGTGGGACACCAGTTGGCAACGCTGCCCCCGTCCTGCAGGCCCCTTTGTGTGCAGTCAGAAGTGTGCGTTTGCAAAAAGTACTTGAGCTGGGCAATCTACCTTGAGAACACTTCAGACTTCAAGAATGGGTGCTCCGAAAAGATAGTGCGAAGTTGCTAATCATTTTGCTTCACGATCTGCACATTTCATTGGAATGGTCTTCTATGCCTTCCAGATCATTGAATAATTTTCTTCTCTGCTGCCCTTTGTTGTCCAAATGGTCCAGTCAGCGTGATTGGGAAATCATCAGTAACGTTGTCAGTGACGTCCTTCGGCGAACGAATGCAGATTACATTAATTTAGGCCGAACGTTGCCCATTATAAAATTATGGAACGCCTAATATGTTCTTGTTAGCACTTTGGAAGATGCTGGCAGAAGAGGTAGACCTGTCAAGTCCTGGAATGATTATGTCAGACAGGACCTGGCTTCTCTTGGTTTATCTCTGACCTGGTGGAGGAAGCCCAAGATACAGTAGGTTGGAAGGCTGTCATAGAAACGCTGCTGCGACGCACCTGATCCTCGTGGATTGGAAAGGCGTTTAATAGTAATAATAATAATGACAAGACTTTGCTGACTGGTAAGATCTGAACAAGGCCCTCAACTGATCAACCCGTTCTGCAAGTAGGTACCATGGCAGATCTGAGCCTTGGCCCCCTCATAACACCGCACAACACAGTGACAGGCTGCAATCATCCTTTTGTGGCGGCAAGACGCCGACAAGATGGAATTCTGAGGAACACATCGTCAGGACAAGTGATGACACCTGCCAATCGAGTCACAACCAATCGGCCTCCAGTTGCCCATGCGCCGACGTCAGGCTTGTGCTAGCTGCAAACAATGGCGATAGATTGCTGGTGCTCATTCGCTGCGATGCCACGAGCGACGATGGCCCGTCATCCAAGGACAGGGTTGAGCCTTGCCTGACCGCTACGCGCGGCGCACTTGACAAGTATCTTCTCCAATGCATGCTCCACCACCATCCTGCTGCTTTCTTCTGCTATTTCATATTCAATGTCTATGTGCATGGCATTGCTTACACGGTGATGCCTGTCTGGATGGAATGATGCCCATCCCGGCGAGGAGCTAAGTCTCTTGTTCGCCTGGGCAACAATGGAGCCGCCTGAGACACAGCTGCATGAGTGGGCGCGCTTGCGGAGCGACCTCATAGTGATGAATGGTAGGACAATGGCTGACTGGTGCCCCCAGGCAGCTAGGCTGCCATTGTTTGTAGCTGACTATGAGAAATCTGCAAAGTGCAAAGCGGAGCTCTCACGCATGCAGATGCTGAAGCCCGGCAGGCGATCGGAGTCAGGAAACGGCGTTAACGCATGTGCCCAGATATTCGCATGTGCTGCTAGGTTCAGAAAGCAGGCGCAATGTATGCGGCCGTGCAGATGGCTGATGCAGCGGGGTCTTAGAAAGACCCTTTGCTTGGTGTGGAGGCCCCTAGCCCACAATATGCGGCCGTCACTCATGTAAAACTGAAGGGGAAGCGCAGGGTGTTGTGACTGCAATCCACGTTACCTGGTGGAAAGGCCTTGAGTGTCACAATTCCCCCACGAGGGAGGTTTAAGGAGAATTGAGCAGCTCTGGATATCTGCAGATCGAAGGGCAATTGCAGTTGCAACCTATGTACAAATGCTCTATGGTAGGTGACACAGAGAGGGCCATCTGCGCATAGTGATGCCTGCCGAGGCTGCCAGCTAAAAGACAAAAGTCGAGACGACATAAAAAAATTGTCGTCTCGGGCTGTCCTTATTGCGACAAAATCTATTCCTGTATTTCCGTTCGGCTTCCATGCAGTAGCCAGCGTGGCACGCGGGCAGGCTCTAATCCAGTGGCTGAGGGACAAGATCTCGTTCAATGCTGCGACGAGAGCGTTTGGCGCGATAAAGAGGCCTTGGAAGCTGTGCTAACACAGGCAATCACAGTACTGTATCAGTAACTTGCCAGAACTGCCTCAGGGACAATCCGCCTTTGCAAAAGGTTGTAGTGCAACAAGTTCAAGAAGTTGTCTGTCCTCTGCATTCAGTGCTGGCAACAATCGAGTAGCTAGCCATGTTTGCACCAAGCACAAGCTATGTTTGTGCTATGCTGCCACCTTGTCCCACACACCTGCAGTCTCGTGGGCTTCAAGCCAAGCAGCACATCCCGCTGTGCAGCAGACCAGTAGTGCCATTGAGCAGCTCGGAAACGTTTTCCTCCAAGTTAGTTTATTCCTCAAATCTCGGCATCATAGTCGTGGGCCTGACGTTCTGGAAGGCAGTGGCTCAGCGGAACCAGTGCTGGTTGACCTTTGGGACTGCCAATTCCCTATTGGAACGGGCTAGTCGACACTCCATTTCTCAATTCCATTGTGTTTGTACAAATCGACCAGCTGAACGATAGCATCAGACGACTTGTCCATTTTGCGTGATGGGCAAGCCTGTACTGTGTTGATAGGTTGAGCAGACCCAGTCTTGGCACAGACGCGCTGATGTCTGCCACTCGTTGTGCAGGCTGGCGAGCCATTCACTGGCAAGCACAAGGAGTAGACAGCCCGTCCAGGCCAGGGCTGCAGTCGCAGTGAAGGAAGAGCAGGTGTGCTTTGCCATCCCACTATCCTGATGGAGGACAATCGACATCTGCATAGTAGCTTGCATGGCGTCGAGGTCCTCTTTCCCGTGCGTTTCCAGTGCTTGTTTGCAATTAGTGATCTCTGCTAAGGAGTTCCTGTTGTGTGTGGTGCAGCAGTCGGCACAGCCGGCAACTGCGGAGCAGTCCGGGGCCCAGGCAAAGGGAGGAAAAGGGAAGGGCAAGGGAGGGAAAGGCGGTAAAGGGAAGAGTGGCGGTGGCGGCGGAGAGGGCGCCAGAGCTGCTGCCTCCACAGTCAGCTCTGGTGTAAAGCTAGAAGATGTGCGTCATTTGTCCTTGGATGGCCCCTGTTGGAGTTGCTGCTGCAGTTATAATAGCCCTTGTCGCCCTATCCCTTCAGGACAGTCCAGCTTCATCGTTATCATGCTCGGTGTCAGTAGAGGAGGAAATATGTGGAGTTGAATGTCGTGTGTTGTGGCTGTCACAGATCAGGATCACCTTCAAAAACCAGGAGCTCTTGAAGGGCGTGTCTTGGGAGGTGAAGAAGGGCGAGCGGGTGGGCCTAGTGGGTGAGTCATCCTTGTTCATCAAAACAGTACTTTATGCTTGGACTCCCAATGCCCTTGAGACTCAGGCGCTCCGTTTGGGTGGAGATGGTTTACACCGGCAGTGGCCACATAGCAACTTTATGTCAGTGGCAAGATCCTGGCAGGTTTGCATTTGCGTTCATACACTAAACTGGAAATTTTGCTGCACAAATCATCCAGGCTGGTGGCTTTCTGCACCTGCGCATATGCGATCCCCGCGATTCCTCAGCAAACAATGCATGACTTAGATGTATGAGCGCTGTGCTGCATGCTCGCAGGCATAAACGGAGCAGGGAAGACGACGCAGCTGCAGATCATCACTGGAGCGCTGCAGCCGGACTCAGGCGCTGTTGTGAAGGAGAAGCCCAACATGCGCATCTCCTACCTCACCCAGGAGTTTGATGTGGAGCCCACCCGGACTGTTCGGGTGAGCCCCTGGCCCTTGTCCTTTACACATCCTTGTGGAGAGCTGTAAAGCCCCAAAGTGTGTCTCGGAGTCAGCAGCATGCAATGCTCAATCTTGAAAAAAACTGGGCGCTGCTTCTCTGAGGTTCTTATTTTGAGCAGTATCATGGCAGGGCAGTATGGAGGTTGGGACATCTTGGAGTGCTACTAACAGACATTTGATCTGGGATTTTTGCACCGGTCTGGCATGTCTGCAGTGCGTGGTGGCAGGGAGCATTCTATTTGTGTCTTGGGACTGAATGTGTGGTGTGTCTTGTCTGCAACAGGAGGAGTTCATGTCGGCGTACGCGGAGCAGATGGCGGTGGTGAACAGGCAGGAGGAGATCCAGAAGGGCCTCGAGTCGTGTGGCGAGGACATGGACCGCATGGCAGAACTGCTGGACGAACTCCAAGTGTGTACACCAGCACCTTACTTCTCAGAACTTTAATTCATTCATCGATTTCTAGACAGAAGTCAACCTGCATGCTTTGCCAACACCAGTCATCAGCCACTTTTCACTGCAAAGGTCCTGCGAGAAACGTCCATGTTGGCCTGGATGTTTCAAATGGCAAGACAACGCCGCCTGTGCACTAAGTGTTCTTTCAAGAGTGGTAGCAACTCCAAATATGCGTCCAAGAAGCAGACACTATGCACCCTTCTTCATGCCTGCTTGATCATATGCATAACAGAGTCTACCGTTTTAGTAATTTCTCTGCTGCATCCTTTTTCCAAGCAGAAGCTCTCACAGGAGTGGACTCTGTGCTGCCTCTCTGTTCCAAGCAGAAGCCCTGTCAGCGCATATTGAGCATGCTCAGCTGGGTTTCTATATAGAAATGAAGCAGTCTCAGCGCAAGTGGGGTGCTGGCGCCTGCAGGAGCTGAGCGGGCAGGCCATGGAGCTGGACATCCGGCTGCTGGACAAGAAGGTGGACCAGATGATGCCAGAACTGGGCTTCACCGCCGAGGACAACGACCGATTAGTCGCGTCTTACTCCGGCGGCTGGCAGATGCGCATGTGCCTGGGCAAGATTCTGCTGCAGGAGCCAGACCTGCTGCTTCTGGATGAGCCCACCAACCACCTCGACCTGGATGCTCTGGAGTGGCTTGAAGGTGGGCTCTTTTACCTTCTTTCGTCCCGAAAAGCTCGTAGGAGATGTGAGCACGTAGAGATTGCTGATTGTTTGATTCCTGCGGCTTTCTGAGAGCCTTGCTTGTGAAATGTCACGTTATGCTGGCACAAGGTGCACATTACACATCACAGGGGCCTCATCCGAACGACGCCTGTGCGCCTCTTTTCTGTCATGACGCACTATCTTAAGCATTGCATGCACACTTGCTTTGTGAAATGGAACGCCTTGCTCATCACTAGCCTTGGTTCCTACTGGATCTCAGTGGGATATGAATGAGATCCCAGCCGCCCCATCCAGCAAGCCAAGGCACTGGGTCTCAACTCTTTATGCACAGAACAGAAACAACTGTAGTCCTACTCACTCCTACTCCAGAAAGACCAACGGTTGTTGAGGCTGAGCATCTCCTGCTGTTGTGTTGCAGGGTACCTGCGGAAGCAGGACATTCCGCTGGTGATAGTCTCCCACGATCGTGAGTTTCTGGACCAGCTGTGCACCAAGATAGTGGAGACGGAGCACGGCAAGGCCACTACCTACAAGGGCAACTACACGCAGTATGTGGCAGCCAAGGCCGAGAAGGTGGCCCTGCAGTGGGCTGCCTATGAGAAGCAACAGAAGGAGATCGCGCGCCAGGTGCGCACTGCACTAGCTTTCCCAGAGTGCACAGCATAGTCAAGGTTGAGAGTTCCCACAAGGCACATTTGTTGCTGAGAAGGATGGCAGTTTGTTGGGCGCCTTCCTCTCAAAAGACTGATTTGATGTACAGTAGGCGTGATTGGTGAAGTATTCTTGCACCGCCCCTGTTGCCCAGAATATACTGCCCATGCATGCCTAAGGCCAACACAGCACGACACAGAGGGCTATATTAAAGCGGGCTGCATTGGAGCCAGCGTCTCTTGGCATCTGGTTGCATTCTTCTCCCTTATTGCCATCCGCCTGAACATTGTCACTAGCATGAAGCTGCCCTAATTTATGTCTTCTGCCGCATGCGCGCAGACGGACATCATAGCGCGACTGACGGGCGGCGACCAGGCCGGCCGCGCGGCAGCCGCCAAGAAGGCGCTGGAGAAGATCAAAAGCGAGGAGGGCATTGTGACTAAGCCCTTTGTGCCCAAAAAGCGCTCGTTTGCATTCCCCACCCCTGAGCGCATGGGGCAGCGCGTGTTGGAGATCAATGGGCTGACTCATGGCTACGGCGACAGACTCCTGTTCGACAGAGTTGACCTGGAGATTGAGAAAGGGGAGCGCGTTGCCATCATAGGTGCAGCAATTCCCTCTCCTTCGGCACCTCTCGAGACCTGCGTTGCATGTTGAAAAGGAAAAGCTTTGTGTGGCAGTGTGATTCTCGAGATTGGGTCAGGGCCAGCCCGCCATTGGCATTGTCTGGCGTATGGAAAAGAACTGCCGAGGACAGCTTGCAGCATCTGCTGTTTACAATGTCAGCTGCCAGTGCCACTTTTGATCTTTCTCTTTGAGATTTCTTTGACGCTGCAAACAGCTGTGGCGATCTCTGTGAAGGCCCCCTGCGAGTGTTTTCAAGGGTGTAGCATAACAAGACCGTGCATCAAATGGCAGGTCCCAACGGGTGCGGAAAGAGCACGTTGCTGCGGCTGATCATGGACATCGAGAAGCCCATTGCTGGCAGCCTTGGCCTGGGGCAGCACCACATCCTGCCCAACTACTTTGAGCAGAACCAGGCAATTCCCTACCCTACCCTGCCACGAGGCTGTCCATACATAATGATGAGTTTTGTGTCCTTCTTGAGTAGGCGAACTGACATGAACCATGCAGTGTGGATGGGGAAGGATCGGATGCCTAAACTATACCCTGGTGGTTGGTATGTGCTGTGATTTCTGGAAGGGACACAGTGTCAGATGCACACACTTGGATGACACCGCCGAGGCATCATCGCATTTGGCAACTTGCGGACGACTCATGTCAAGCAATCCTCAACAGCTGTTGCATCCTTCCAAAGACCAGATAATACGCAGACATGCCTGACAATGCGAGCGTCATTTGACAGCGTGCGTTGGAAAGGGCGCACAGGGAGATCTTGCATGGCATTATTAGAGCTTCCCATCCTGCAGCACGCACATGCGATGATTAATTAGGCGGAATGTCAGTAATGCTCAGTGATTGCTGACTGTGCAGGCTGAGGCGCTGGACCTGGACCTAAGCGTGCAGGAGACTCTGGAGCGGTCGGCGACAGACGCGCAACTGAATGACATCAAGGCCCTGCTCGGCCGCATGATGTTCACCGGCAAAGCCGTCCACAAAAAGGTGCGGCCTTGTGCAGCTCCTCATGAACACCACTGTTCTGGCATTTAGAGAGTTTTCAGTGAACGCGTCATCTCCATTTGCACTTATATGTCCCAGCTCTCATCCCCTCCAAACATGGGTTTTAGTTTCTTCGCGGATTTTGCATGGTTTGCCAGTGCTTGTGGAATGGGAACTTGTGCACCTGAAAGGAAAATAATGAAAGCATCTGCCTGTACTGCATGATACGATCGTCCTTCCCTGGTGCCACCGCTGCATTTGACGGCAAGGCTCTACTGGTCCAGTGATGCGTGCCAAAAAGAGAAGGTGTGCTAAGATAATTATGGACTGAAATACATACGACTGCATGCAGGTGCGGGTGCTGAGCGGCGGAGAGAAGGCGCGGCTGGCGCTGGCCAAGTTCATGCTGACGCCAGGCACGCTGCTAGTCTTGGACGAGCCGACAAACCATCTAGACATTCCCAGCAAGGAAATGCTGGAGGAAGCGTTGGTCGCATTCCCGGGCGCTGTCATTTCCGTGTCCCACGACCGATACTTCCTGCGCAAGATCGCCACGCGCATCGTCGCGGTGCGCGTTCCCTCTTTCTATAATTAACATATTCTGCTTTGATGTATATTTTCGGAAGCGACCCTTGAGAGACTCAATCCTTCCCCCTTCAGGCGCTTTGTGTGTATTTCTGTGCTCGTTGATGTTGTCGTTGCTTCCTCAGAAGAGATGCTGTTGCAAAGCCAGCTGCAGCATGTGCCAACGCTTCAGCCATACAATAGTTCTTCCAGAGTGTCTGCGAGCAGCGTTAAAATTCCCATTTCTAGACCATCTGCATGGTGGGCACAATGGATGCAGCAATCTTGCAGCATCTCAGGAAGACTTTCGATATGATTGCCACAATCTGGCTATCTTTGCATGCCACAGCAATCACATTCTGACAACGAGAGATTGACTTGGTTGGGCGCAGGTGGAGGGGTGCACGCTGCGCGACTATGAGGGCAACTACGACCGCTTCCTGGAGAAGAACGAGGGCGAGGCAGAGGTCATGGCAGAGAAGCAGGCCAAGAAACGCGAGCTTGAGAAGTCCCAGATCAAGGCCAAGTCCAAGGTGCGCACCTTGGGGCCTGCCCACACCGTCATGCAAGTGTTGTGAGAAAACGGCGGGGCTGCGAGCATGCTGCTTGGCTGCTTCAGCTGCACAGGCCCTTCCAGAATTAAAGGAACAGTGGCTCTATTGGCTTTTCTCGGGTGATGAAACAATTTTGCATAAATGCGTGCTGAATGGCACCAGAGATTTGAAGTTCACACATTATGCATACACGCAGAGTGCACAAACCAATCCAATGCGAGGAGCTGGCTAAGGGTAAAGCAGGGGCTGCACGCACTTCTAGACAGGTCAAAATTTTGCGTTTGAGGAGGTTGTGTGCTGAGTGCGCAGTTGAGCAAGGCGGAGAAGATGATGCAGAAGAAGGCCAAGGCGAAGGATTTCAACACCAAGAATCCGGTTGGGAAGGAGGCCAAGAATGCCAAGAGGTGGAATTGAGCGTGCAGACTTTCTTCTTGCTCTGTCTGGTGCAGTCGATATTGTATTTTCGCCGCTCATGCAAAGGCAGTCCGGGCATGCAGAGCGTGCATGCGGCAGATTACATCATCCGAGCGTAGCAGTGCTGTTACCACCCGTTTTTTGCGCTTGCCAGTTAGATTGTCTGAAGCTGGGACTCCTGACACAAGTCTGGTCCTTTGGATTGTTGCCCTAAAGGCGTACTGCTTTGTACACTAGATTATCTCTGATTTTGTTGCCATGTGGGAATTCTGGCAAGAACAGTCTTTTGCAGTCCCTCCTAGGAGGCCTGTGCGATGCGCGATACAGTGCTTCCTATTGACGTTTATGTATACTGGATTTGGAAATTGTTGGCAGGCTTATTCTGTTGAAGCTGCAGGACAGCGCCTGATCCTACACCTTTATTGTACTCCGGGGCTCATCATGCCGCTCACCATCTGAGATGCGGCATCTGCATGGATGTGCCCATACTGTGATGTAATTTTGCGAACAAAACATAGTGAAATGACCAAATTGTTGGATTAGCATCAAATGCGCGCATGCACAGTCTCCAATCTGCTTTAGATTCGAAAGTTCCATGCATGTGGATGTGCCCGAGACCTGACAAAAGAATATGATAATCATATAATGATGCGAAATGGCCATTCTTCTCATTAAGTTCTGCAAAACTGGGTGTGCACCAGCTGGTTGCCAATTCAGTTCATCCAGTGTTGGATCCTCAAAGATGCAGCACAGTGTGCAATCTTCTCAGCGCTCAGCCTCAGGGGCAGTCTTCCTCATGCTACGACCCCTTGCACAGCTTGAGCTTCTTGAAGTGCTGCTGCACAGCGCTCTTTGGGGCAGGCGCCGTGGCCAGGCAGGTGGGGAAATTCTCTGGCTGCTCAATCCACAGCTTGTGGGGCACGCCTGCTTCCTGCAGCTTTGCTGCTAGATTAGTCAGCTGCGCCTCCCCTTTGACCTCCAGAACCACCTGTTGCACAGAAAATGTTGTCTGTTCAGAAATAGCCTCAGTTGGCGGTGTGATTTGTGTCTTGTCCTTTGTTGGGAGTGTGGATGGTGGACAGGCAATTCGATAATGCGCACGCCAGGGAGCTGTCAGTAAAGCAGGCGCCTGGGTGAGTTTTGAGCAGCACCTTGTGCATGTGGTCAAGGTTGCTGTCTGCGCAGTAGGCCAGACTGTTCTCTTCATTGCGACTCAGCCACAGCGCGGCTGTGGCTGCATGGCAGGCCTGCGCCACAATGCTGCCCAGTGGCCACTCCAAACTTTTCCACAGATCGCTCCTAAGGACGACGTATTGGACAAGCACCTCCTGCTCTGCAGAAGTAAGGGCCTCTTTATCTGGGAGATGATCTGGACAGCAGTGTAAAAGACACCTTGATCCTCATAAACGAGTCCTGATTTGAGGTCCATTGGTTTGGCTCGAGAAGCACCTGATGCAGCGGTTGAAGGAACGTCTGCGGTGGATATATTGGCTTCTGAAATGCCAGCCATTGTTTTCAAGGATGTGTTTCCCAATTCTGATGCTTGACCACCTTTTAAACAGCTAAACTTGTACTGTCGAATTTGCTGGTTTCTGATATCAAAGGTAACTGATCCTTGCCTGCTTCTGCTTCTTGCACAGCACGTTCCTAACAATTCTCTAGAGGAAACTATTTCCAGCATTTTTAGAGAGCATGACATCTGCTGCTATAGCTTCAAAAGTGCTATCCAAGATAATTGATGGTCTCGTTCACAGGGGATCTATGGAAGAGAGCTTGTGATTCATAAGCAGACGCTAGCAGCACCGTCAAAGTACCTGATTTCTGATTTTAACCAATACATAAATTTTCTTGTCGAGCATCTTGCCAGTGGTGAGTATTGGATTTGCTAAATGTGACACACGTTTACTAATAGATCATCTTGGACTCTTTACTGCGTCTTCTTGTTTCATTATCTAGCTGCCAATTGTCAAACTAAAACATTTAAATTGCATAAGAAAGTCTTAAGACGTTGGAAATACTGGACGGGGTAAAGGGCACTACCAGCGACATGTGGTGACCTGAATGCAGAGTTCGCTGTGCATTTTGCTGGACAGGATGCTTATTTCAACCATGGTCGAAATTAAATTATTTCAATCTGAAGATTGGTTGTGTCAAGATCCCACTGATCTCGTGTGGCTGTCTCCAGAACATGTTGGCCGGTGCTTCACCAATCTTGTTCCAGTGAGGAACACAGGTGTCCTGTGTGCGCCAGTTGTGCTTCACCGACTTATTTTCACTTCTGTCTTGCAGTTTTTGTTTTCTGGTAAACTTCTGGACTTCTGCTCGCACCAGATGCCTGAGTGGGTTCACGTTCGTCTTTCGTGGTGTGTCAGTCACGCTGTCTGAAGGCTCACCCTACAGTGCAGGCTAGCTGCATATTGTTGAGTTTGAGTACCTTTTCTGCTCTTCCAAGCGATCAAATGGAAAGTGGCGATCAGTTTTTCTGAGGTCGACAGGTTGCCTAGCACATATGCCTCCTGAGAGTGTGCCTGAAGACTTCAGGTGAGTTTGTGTCTGCATCAATATCACCTGAAGCTCTCCAAGGGATCAGCGAAGGACTCAGTTGGCGTGATAAGATTCTCAAAGAGCTCTGCTGCACTACATACAGAGGTTTGGGTGTGCCTGCCTGGCTACTTAAGGCATCTTCCATCCAGGTGCTTCAACAATGGGCAATTCACAGTCGATGTTGCTGCAAGGCCTGCTTCTGAAGGAGATAGACAGGCTCGCTTGGCAGAGCGATGTTGACTATGCTGCGCATCTGAGTGATGCAAGTATCTGGACACCTGCCGAAGCTTTGGAGTGTCGGGCCAGTTGGTTTCCAAATTTGAGCGCTGCAGAAGTCAGTCCTATTCTGCTCGCTGCTGAAACTTTCTGACAGATAAGTCAATGTTGGAGATCACAGCTGTGGGTGCACATTTTGTCATTGTTATACGTTTTGCAATCATTAAAACTAGATGCTGCGAATGCATGCTTGTATGTGCACTTAGTCTGGACTGCAGCCAGCTAGCTCCTACACATGACCATGTACTCTTTGAAGATTCACGGTGATGCCAGCAATATGACGACATTCACAGCGTCCGTGACTGATCAATTACAAATGAGCATGGGTTCCTAAAATGAGCAATGGTTCCAAAGGTCACTGGCCACAGCTTGCCTGCTCTTCATAAAAGGTCCAGCAATTGCTAGTCAGTCTTTAAAAGTAGTGAAACAGGACAACCGGGTCTTGCATGCTGCAGCATTGTCCTGCTGGACCAAGAAAGGGACATATTTTTTTCAAGCTCCATTTTGATATCCACATATCGCTGCCAAAATAATCGGACAGCTGCACTCCACTTCTGGCATGTCCTCTGCAGCTGTGCTTGCAGGTCGGGCATTGACAGAGCCCGATTATAACCCATGCATCCCATCAACCCAACAAGCATTAGGACAAAACCGCAGCACAACAACGACCCCGCCATCTGCACACTCTGAAACCCACACCAAAAAAACGCTTGCTGCTTCTCCGCTATCTGCATCAGTTCTCGTCCTCGTTGAGCAGGAGGTTGGGAACGCCCTTGTGGACAGGGAACTGGCGGCCGGTCTCTGGGCACACCAGGGCGCCCTCTTCAAGCACCAGCTCCAGCAGCGCATGGTGGAAGCTGCGCAGGAAGTCGTCGTCCTGCAGCATCTCTTCGCTCACCTCCTCTGGCAGCCCGGGAGCACCTGCGCGCGCATGCCAGCACATGCTGCTCAACAAGGAATGCCCCGTGAGAGTGGCGAGGGCACTGGCTAACATTTTATGCCCTTTTTACATGTGATGTGGTGCATAAGGCCGCCATTCTGTTACCACGTCCTTCCAGACATTGCCTGGCGACTGTAGTGATGTCAGTGCTGATATACTGAGCTGCTCAGGAACATGATGGTCCAAATGGCAGCCCTCGCTTTTGAATTGGAGATAATGAGGAATTTGGAACGCCCATCCAAAATGCTGTATCGACGGAATGAGCAAGGCAGAGGGTGCAGCAACAAAACCTCCTCCATGCTGTACTAGCCTCAGGTTGGGCAACCAGCTTTGAGTGTACAGTGCCAATGCTGTCATCTGGACAGCGACACTGGAGGCCAGTCGAAATGAGTCCCAGCTGAGACATTGCTGCTGCCTTTAGTGGCTGTTCCTACAGCGCCCCATGCGCAGCTATTACGGCTGCTGCGCAGCTTCCGCCACACCCTTGAAGCAGTGATGGTGGCTGAATGTGCATAGGCTCACCCATGGTTGCGGCGGCTTCGCAGAGGGCCTTCCACTCCAGGCGAGGGTAGATGTGCCGGAGGAAGTCTGGGTCATAGTCTGCGTCCACCTGCTCCACCTTGACTGGCTCTATCTTGAAAGGGAAGCCGTTCTGCACGCCTTTTATGTGGCACGATAGCATGTTGTGCGTGAGCAGCTTCATCCTGCGCTAGCAGTCGCAACCAAGAGACCTTAGAATCTTGTATAAACAAAGCCAGACTGCAAATTCATGATCCTGCATCTGCTTAAGGGCCCAATAAGAAACGAAATGGCTTCCTTCTTCTGATCCGAATGGTGTGTTTTCTTAGATCTACGCAAATATTGATGGGATCTGAAGGCAGCGTGCTGCGGCAGCTCACCTACTGCTCCGGCAGCAGACTCTCCAAGAACGCCAGTCAACTAAACTGCAGAAAATATTGTTGTGATAATCTATAAGTGGGTGACTCGCTGACCAAGGTAGAGCTTCCAAAAGCTGTCTGCTGGAGGTGAACAATGGTGTTTTTGCACAGAGAGCGCTGTAACAGCATAATCAGATCACGAGTATACTTTACTTGATAAGGTGTAAGCTCGAAGTATAGATCAGGATCCCCTCAACAAAACATCTGAGCTTTCGGCGTTTTTAGTTTCGGAAAGAAGGGTTTCCCTTGAAACCCTGTCTATAGACCAACTTCACCCAGTCTCTGCTTGAAAACACCACTCGTTTCTAACAGTATGTTGTGCATAGGCATGTGAAGACGTCTCACACTGCTTTCCACAGCGTGGCATCAGCTTGCGCAGATATCATAGACCTCATCGGAATCTTTCAGCGCGCCCCAAGCTGTGAGCCAAATGGCAGGGTGGCTATTCTTCACAGTCTCACAAGTAGTCATTACAAGCTTGACTCTGGGAGCACTGAAGCGCACAGGAGCTGTACAGTGAGGAATCCTTTCCACCTATTGTATCTTCCTTTTGCTCTTAGTGGTTGGACACTCAGAGCATTTGCGAGCTATTCGATTATGTCAATTCACGTTTCACTTCACTTGTACGTTCTCCAGTAGCATTTAGGGGGCTGATCACCAGCAGAGGCTATTCACGCAGGGTCAAACGCATGGCTAGTTTGGACACCACGCCCTGCTTGAACCGCGATTCCACTCGTACATCAAGCTCAGCTCTGTGTTTGCGCAGGGTGGACTCATCCAAGATTAAGAACAACACGCTTAGGAGCTTCTTTGCTACAGCAGTAAGCATGCCACCTGACCACCTTGTCAGCCAGTTGATTTGTTGACATAGGACATCACAGTGCCTTCACATCAGAATGATAATGAATTTCCACACGTTCACTCTCACAATTCTGCAATTTGCTCCAGAGTGAGCCAGCACAAGGACTGTCTGTTGTCTGGAGCAGGTTGACTTGGGAGAGGATGTGGTTGAGCGTGGAGAGAGGATATGGAGTGAGCTGACAAAGGCAAGCAGTCATGCTTCTAGCTTTCTTGGGGTGTTTAAATTGCCAGTGCATGTGTCGCAGCTCTCGACAGTTCCCTGCAACTCTATGTGCTATTTGAACGCCTGTGGCTTTCAGCAGTGCCCTGTGGCTCATTTTGTGGTTCCCTATGCAGAGCGAATGATTAGCGTCAGGAGGCCTCATCAGCGTAGGACGAGCCACCGCCAGTCGCTGCTCGCTTGATAGCCTGTATAACATGAGGCGCACCCAGCCTCCAGCCATCAGCTCCCCGGTCTGCAGCGAGAGGCCCCCAGCCGAAAGCTGATAGAACAGGACACGAAGTTGCTTGTGTTGAAATGTTCATCTGTCAACGCTCTTCCTGTCCACTCGCCAGTTCATTGACAGAAAGGTGCAGGGCTGTTTGTAGTATATGCGCGTTTCTGACGGATCCCTTGCAGGACTTATAAAGTACATGACGGATGAGCTTAATCTGAGCATGGCTCACAATCCATTGCAGCCCTATCAGGCGCAGCGCTGCCTGCTGTAAACTGGGCCAGTGCTTTAAGCTGCCACATGCTGCTACACGTTCGTGGGATGGCAGTCTTACGCTATGTTTGACGAGGCATCACTTCAAATAACAAGCTCCAGCAGGCTGTAGCATCATGGGGAGGTTTTCTGGATCCAATGCCACATGCGTAAAACAGCTTTGGCCAGCTCCATGCATGTTCAGATCTCCTAGGGCTTGCATCGCCTGCATTTGGCCTGACCGCTGTGGATCCTTTGCCACTCCTGACTGGCAGCTACAAAGGCTGATCTTTGATACATTGCTGGGATCACTACAACATTCTTACTCACCCTGACTGGCAGACCATAAATCAGGATCAGGTTTGAAGCACTTCCAAGTCTGTCAATTTTCCGAGCAATCACAACTTGTGTCTTTCAAGGTCCACGATACTTCATCGCCCTGCAGCTTCAGTTGCGCATATTGCGCACGCAACATTTGATGCATTATGCAGTAATTGCAATGCCGCCAGGGCAAGCAAAGAAAATTGACAATTGAACACCATGAATAAGCTGGGTACCCTCTACAGCTCTAGAAAACATATATCTGATCGCATTTGGATGCAACAGCAGCAGCATTTTCATCGTGTCAAGGGCTTCTGCCTTCAGCATTGTTCAATGTGCAGACACTTGCTGCAGTTGTAGTGCCAACTTTCCTTTCATACCCCTGCCAACAAACAATGAAGCATCTCTCAGCATCTCTGGGCTTCACTGAAGTCTGCGCCATGCACATGTAATCGAGCTTTCAGTGCCAGAGCACCACGATTGGTAGCTCCTCTATAGACATGCAATGTGGCAGGCCCGCCAAGGTCCAAGATCAATGGCCAAGCGCCTCTCTTAACAGCGCTCCATGATGCTGGAATGCCAGCATGTTTTGACATCACAACGGAGGGCACAGCGGGTTTCATCAGCTCTCACCTCACTTTGCTATAGATACTATCCAAGTCAGCCTTTAGGATGACCAAGAGCTCACAGTTTCTTGTGATCTCCTTGCAGGCATCATCAACTTGCTGGACTGTCTCCTTGTCGAGGCTTTCCAAGTGATGCTTGATGGACGCAAATTTGCTCAGGCTGCATAGCACAAGTCTCAGTCTGTCAGCGAAACAACTTCAGGTAGAAAGTTTTGCTGCAAGGAAAGCTAAAAAGATGCATTTCGATGTACTGGACTTACACGCTCCTTTGCATATCCATGATCTCAGAGAGCCTCTCATCATCCACAAAGTCGTCGATGGCATCAACTGCCTGATGGGCACCTTCTACGATTTTAGATGTACTGTCAGAAGACATGCCTTGCTTTAGGGCACGTCATCTGCTTTGCAATGGCGCCATCGGTGTGAAATGTGCAAGGTCTCAGATTCTAGTGCTGCGAACCTCGGCTTTTTGATCCCTCCGCAACTTCTAACTTACAATATTCTCAACCTTGAAGCCACCTGAAGGTGGATCGATCATAGGCATAGGGAGCAAGCACGTCATTGCAGAGAAGATCAAGTGATGATGGGGGAAATTTATCATATGTTCAAAATAAATCAGCTTAGATACGTTGTCAGAAAAACTTTCGGAGTCTTCAAGCTGCTTGCAGATGGCTGTAAGAATCACATCAAATCGAAGCGGACTGGACATGTTTACCTTCACTTGCTCGAAGGCGTTGCCTCCTTCCGACTCTTGCTTGACCTGTGTGTCTTTTGCCATCAAAGGAGACAATAAATACTTTGTTTAATGCCCATAATAACCGCAAACTTTCGGTTGTAGACATGAAGTGTTCTCAAAGGCGAATCTGGGCTCTAAGTCTGGGCCAACGTGTAGTCCAAGGTTAGCACTGTGACTTTGACTCATGCGGTTGCAGGCCGCTTATCGCATTAACAGACAGTTGACTGCACATGATGTAATGGAAGTCCTCCATTGATGGTCATTTATTCAATTGGAGGTCCAATGATGAAGTACGCACTTACAGCTTATAGCCATGTGCCATGCTTCTCTCAAAGTCCCTCACGGATCGGGACCGTTCTGCATTATTGCCTGGACGTGAAAAGTTCAAAAATTTCGTTTGTAAAATGGCATGAGCGTGATGTCGTGCAGTCGTGGAAGCTCACAGTTGGACCCTATTTTCCAGAGAATCTTCAACCAGGTGACACTTTAATTGCGTCTTGTGTCGGTCATTGATCCTGCCATTGCCATCATAGGTGTATGTCCATATTTGTGCAACTGTCATGGTGTGCAGATTGCCACAGTACACGAGGCTGCATTCATGGACAGCAGGAACCTTGTCCACAGCGATAATCTCATCGGGTGATCACCTAAATCACATAGCAAATAAGAGCATTTCATTGTCCTGGCACGTTTCCTGCTGCAGTGACGGCCTGCTTTAGCTGACTAATCACCACCTTCATGGTGCAGGTATCAAAAGCGGCCAGCAGCTGACATAGCCGTCCGGCACTTTGAGCTTTGCACTGCTCCCTGGAGCGCCTGCGGCGAGATACCATCTGCGCTTAGAACCCTTCAGGATTGGCATAGCCTTCCCTGCAGCATCCAGCAACTCAAAGAAAATCCAATCAGGCTTGGCAGAAATGGGACATTCTCGCCCGGCCTTGCCTCGAAAATTTTTTTGAGAGCACAGGAGTCTTGGAAGACAGGATCAAGGGGACCCAATGCCACACCCAAAACGTGCTCAGCCAACCTGATGGGAGATGCTAGGAAAGAAAGCTTCCAAAAGCCATCAAAGCGGGCACCTTGGGACTCTTCAATCTACAAGGACCCACTAGGAAAGAGTGGATCAGACAGGTCCACTGGGGATGTACCAGGAACTTGTGAGAGGACACCTGCTGAGGGCATCTTGTGCAGCAGTGGAGCATGCCAGATTCCTCAAAAACACACAGGCAATCAGCGCAGTGACGCCCCAGCTGGCATTCCAGTGACGGCTGAGAAGAGTGTGCAGTGTGGGCCTGGCTTGACTTTGCACAGCTCACGCATGAGAAACCCTAAAGCAAGACATGCGTGGGTGCCCCCTGGCGTGCATGTCATTGACGAGACGGGCCAAAAGGGGAAGAGAGCTGGTAGTTATCCACAGGTACTACATCGAAGATGTCTTTTTAATTGCTATGTAACAATATTGCCTTTGTTACATGTGTGCACAATTTCGAAATAGAGACGACGCGTAAAGAACCCCACTGCTCAAGATCTGTTTTATCACTTATAGTCTGATTTCGACAAGCCCTGTTGCCACTCTGATGGTGGCCATGTACTGAGGTAATTGAAACACGATGTATGGTGCCTTGCAGAGAAGCCACGTGAAGCGCAAGCCTGCCCTGCCACTACTCACAGAGCAGACGGAAATAGCTCGGGCATTAAAAGCGAGCATGAAAAGATCCGCCTCTCCTACTGCCGCAGCCAGGATTGTGCATGCAGCAAGCGAGCCTCAAACCCCTGCCAGCAACCCGTCACTACACAGCACAGCTGATCAACACGGCGCAGAGGCACAGAGTGGCAGGTCCCCTGGCATCATGGCAGGAGCTGGAACAGATGGGCATTTGAAGAGTCCTACGCTTGCAAGGGCAGGCCAAGCCAGCAGGGAAGATGTGTCACAGAGCTATCACCAAGCCCCTCTGGAAATTCCAGCCAATTTTGGCAAGGTTCGGGAGAGTTTGGGATTGGGCGCGAATTCAGGTTGGGCTCAGAGGCGAGACAGAGTAAAAAGCTCAGGCGCCAGAGAGGCAGCTGCAAAGAAACTAACATACCTAGAAGATGCATCTGCTGACACTCTGAATGAGCTTGAGCGCCTAATTGAGGATCAACATTACCAGGTTTGCACTTCCATTCCTCATGTTTCTAACATTGAGTAGCAGTACAGCATGGGCGATGCTCTCATTCGCTGCCTTTTGGAACCTTTGGGGACACGTGTGAGCCACTTGCAGCATGCAGTATATGCATGAAGATACCATGACATACGCAAATTTTCACAGTACCTGAAGCCATGATACGAACGTGATGCTGTGTGCCTGCAGCTTGTGTCCAGCGGTGTGCTTCCTGCAGATGCGACTTTGCCACAATTGGACCTGTCAGAAATGCAATCTGCAGGCGGTATCACCAAGCAAGGAAGGTGAAAAGCAGGAGTAACAATCAGAAGTGCAGCCCTACACCACATGGCTACTGCATTGACAGAAGCCCTCCAGATAAAGATGTCCGCAAGTTGGCTATGAGCATGCATATCTCAGTGGTGACTCCTGGGATTTTGTGTGGGGAGATTGTGACAGTGGGTACACTTCCTTGCGGCATGAGCCTCATATTATGATGACATTGAAGCATGTCATGGCGGACTTCTGGGCCGTGCGATTGCATAAAATATGAAGTCATCTATTCGAAGTCAGGCCTGCTAATGTGCAGTCCGACAGAAGACATCTCCAGCAACATAAGTCTCTCAGGAAGGTGTATAACTAGGTAGATCTGTAATTTGATGCAGGCTGAACTGAATTATTTGCCCAATCCATGCATTTTCAGAAAAGCAACTCAAGTTGTCCTTGCACCGGTCTGGTCCAATCTCACAACCCGAGCTGTGTTCACTGCAAGCTTGCCACTTGTAACAAACGCCTGCACCATGGCTTCAGCAATTCGCTCGCCCTTCTGAGGGTCATCTGTCACAGCCACACATGTAGGCCCAGCTCCGCTGATGGTGCATCCATACGCGCCTGCAGAACCACTCCGCTTTGTTGGAACTGCCCAACTTGGGTTGTGGATTGCATTGCATTGCATTGCTTTGCACCAGGTGGCACCTGTTCTGATTCTGCCAAGAAGCAAGCAACCCAAGTAGAGTGAGATGGGGGAGTGGCAATGGGGCAGCAAATGGCCTGATCTTCATTGCCTGCTTGGGCAATAAGGATCAATTCAATGAAGGGGCACACGCCTGCATCTCTGGCGGCCTGCTTGACAGCAGCAAAGCCCGGGATGAGCGGCCCTCGGACTGGTTCCACAATGCAGTCGGAGTCCAGTGCCCTGCCCGTCAGCTCTGCATCGCCCAGCAGAATGCCTGCCACCTGCACATCACACAAAGAGGAGATCAATGTTCAGTGTCTCGTCGCTCTCTTTCCAGATGAGCTCACATTTAGATGCCCCGCCTCAATGCAATTCGTTATTGTCTATGGCACATAAAGGCTAAGAGAGGCATTCTTTGAAAATGCCTGTTGCAAGATCAGAGCAAGGACACAGCGCACCAGGGAGCCGCCCATGGCGCAGTTATGGATGGCAGAGGTCATGGCAACTTGCTTGGGCAGAACCGCGCGCATCTCGGCAGTGGGCGCCTCAAAGACGGGGTTGACCAACACAAAGTAGAGGTCTCCTGGGAACGCCAGCCGCTGAATGTCCAGGGGATTGCAGCTCCTGTGCATGCATGCGTGCTTCATCAGTTCAAATTGGAGTCTTGCTGACCGAGCGCTAACTAAAACCTCTGCTCAGTGCTCATGGTGCGGCCATCTCATATGAATATCTTTTGAAAGAAAGGTTATGCAGCCCCCTACAAGGCTTACCACAATCAGTACTCTCAAAATGGCAAGGCCACAGTAAGCAAGCTTTGTATCCTTGCAAGGCTCACATGTCGATACAGTTCTGGCTATGCTCACGTGAGGGCCCAAAGATGCACAAATGGTAAGCTCCATGCGCACAAGCCCTCCTGTGGCCCTAATCCACTGGTTGCATGCCAGCACCCAAAGCCCACCTGATGAGGATGAAGCCGCCGAGCAGTGCAGGAGCAATGTTGTCGGCATGGTAGCCACTTACAGTGGCCTCCGATGCTAGACCTGCCGGCACCAGCTGCTCCTTTGTGAGCGGCCCTCCGAACAATGCGTTCACTGCCCACGCGCCCGCTGCTGCGCTGGCAGCACTGCTGCCCATGCCGCTGCCCAGAGGAAGCCCCTGCAAGAGCTCTTCTTCAATAAGGTCCACGAGCGACATTTTTTTGGAGCTTTCAGGGGCAACCGTGGCACATCATCGGAAAGACCTGATCTGTGTTCTGGGGAAGCGAGCATAATCTTTTAGCCTTTGATATAAACACTGAAACTGGCACACAACAGTTGCACTGTTGGCGCATGTGCAACCCTGCATGCAGCATTGCCTCACCTTCTGCAGCCGTAAGGAGATGCCACAGCTGGGTTGGCCACCGAGGAGCTTCAGAGTTTCAAGCGCAGCAATGCCCACGCAGTTGTTCCATGCCTCAAGGGACAGTCGGCCGCCGTCGCCCTCAATGCTCTCGATTATAACCTTCCCCGGCTGGTCTGGCAGCACTGTGGCTGTGACTGTGTCCCCCTCCCCCTGCAATGTGGCTCAGTCATTGAGCTGGTGCCGCCAGCGTGTCAGATAATGTGTGTCCTGATTCACATGTTCGTGTAAGTAGCATTGATGACTGGAGCTTGAGCAGGACAGGCAGGTGTGCTCATCTTGACGTATACATGGCCTTGCATTCGCATAAAAGAAGCGATGATCACCCACCTCGACTGCGCATCCCATCCAGTCGAAACCAGGACCAAGATTCGCAATTGTAGCCGGAGCGAACGCCGAGGACTGCTGCAAAACTGGGTCAATGTAAAGCTTCCCTCCAGCAACCGCCCGGCAAACCACCTTTGCAGGGCTTTTCTGGGTATAGGAGAGGTTTGAAAAGCCTCTGGCTTCTCTCTCATGATTTGTTGCGAGCCTGAGGCATTGCACAGCAGACGGAAGGCATCTGCTGCGGCCATGTCCACATTGTTTGCAGTTTAATCCAGCCCCCACGGTCTCGATTCTCATGTGCAGCTCCATTGTCTGCGAGTGCCACTTTAAATTAGCTGGCTTAGAACTGAGGCCTGGCAGATCCCTACAGACGAAAGCGTGCTAGCTTGCAACAAGGCCCCATAGCGACAAGCGGCAGATCTAGGTACGAATCTGTAGATCTGTGCATGCACAAGCAAGCTGGAGCGGTATTAAGCTCGGCAAATAAAAATAAATTGCAACATTATGAATTGAAAGACCATTCAAGGACCATTGCATGTCTCAAAGCAATATCCACAGTCCCGTAAACCATCGCCGTCATTTACGGGTCTTGGAAATCAAGGTCCCAAAGACGCTTTCTCATTCTGAGAAGTCACTTCGCAATTCAGAAAACTGGTAAGTTGAAGGCAGAAGCAAGACTCTCCGATCAAGCGGTCAAAGCATAACAAACATCATGGTGCGCCTCCATATTCCGTTGATCCAGCAGTAAGTCAGTGTGATCAAGACGTCAACGTTTCCAATTAGAGTACAAACGAACAGCAATCGTTTCTTTACTTTATGAAGTAAGTGTCGCTTAAGGTTTGGACGGCGATGGACTTTATATCACCATCCGTGCTATTGTTGTCAATAACAAGTTGCTGCTGGGCTTCACACTTAGATAGAACTTGATCAGACCTTCGTGCGTATTGGATGTGAATCGATTTCCCGGCACCCCATACTTTGATCCCAGCCCCGCACTTGCCAGCCTTACCAGGAGTAGCCCTAGGGCCCGCTTCTTTCCATTCAGTAAGGGGGGAGTGTCCTGCTTTGTTCAGGTGCTTTCGACAGACATAGACCTGCTGCACCCACCAGCAGAGCTCGAGAAGCAAAAGCACAAGACGAAGCGGCTTGTGCAGTCACCAAACTCCTTCTTCATGGATGTCAAGTGCCAAGGCTGCTTCCAAATGTGAGGCGCTTTCTTTTCTTTCCCAGCAGACTGCACATAATATATAATTACAATTTTGTAATTATATGTTATTACTGCCTGCTTGCTGTACACCTGCTGATCCTGGGTGCATTGCTGGCCCAAAACTTTGAGGGGCTCACTGGAATTACCTTTGCTCAGCAAAGTTTGCTGTGCAGCACGACGGTCTTCAGCCACTCGCAGACAGTGGTGGTGTGCAGCAGCTGCTCGACTGTGCTGTGCACTCCAACCGGTGGTAAAGCTCGCCTGACAGAGGGTGAGGAGCTCATCACAAAGACCGCACACGTTGAGACTTGGATCTCACTGCAACTGCCTCCCTTCATGTTGTCCTGATGCTTAAAGGCATGTACAGTCCGATCAGGACACACGCAGCTGCTGCTCTATGTTCTAGACACTGCATGTTCTCTCCAGGATTGTGTGGCATCCATTACTGTCATGCATCAGGGATGCTGTGAAACATTCGTTGTCGTTATGTTTGTTCCTGTGTGCAGGCTGCTCCTTCAGGAGGAAGGGCGATTGATTGTTGCTGCTATGAAGATGGAGCTGTTGGCTTGCATATCCATGTGGGCTCAGCGTATTGCTGCGGAAGCAAGATGGTGCCTAGCGGCACTGTACTCTAGCTAGGATGTTGCTGCCTGTGCTACCCCATTTCATGTAAAATAGTGTACACCTAGGGAACAATCAGTGTGCACGGTCTTGCGAATTATTAGGTACAGAAGCAAACTTGTAGCCTGAATGGCTTGAAGTCTCCAGTGTGGGATAATAGGTTGTATAGATCTAGAACTGTGTGGATTGTCATGTGTCACTCAGTCTTTAGGATCTGCGATGTGGAATTCATGGGTGCACCTTGTCTTGACAGGAATCTTGTCAGCACCATGATATCCACTGTGGTATGTTGTCGCAGACTGTACTCAACCCTGAACAATTCGGCATGGGTGGAATCTCACTCCTTTTACAAAGATCCAACATTTTTTGTTTTCTTTTGCAATGGCATTTTAAACTTGATTGAAAGACGCTGCTTGGCAGGCGCAATTTTGGGGTTGCACAAACTATAACGATCAATTCATTGCGTTATTGATAGAACTGCTACAGTACAGCATGCTGCACTGTGCAGGTCTCGAGACAGATATTATGCAAAAAGTCGGCAGCACATGTCACGGCAGCCAGGAGGCATCCTCTCAAATTGTGTGAACCTCCCGCAGACGCAACAGTGGCAGCTTTTTCGCTATTCTGGCATCATCGTGCAGGCAAAATCTTGTATTCCATGCTGGCGATCCACCAGCTGGAACATTACAAAGCTACACTACCGCTTAAAACTGATTGTGCTCAGTCTCCTTTCCGCCTGAAAGAGCAGCCTGCACAGGACACACAGATCTCTCTCAGCAATCTTTCTTGAGAGGTCAAGAGAGGTCTAGAGAGGTCAAAAGCTGTGGTATGGTTGTACGGCAGAACACTGCAGCACTTGTGTATTGCAGCACCTCATAACAGAAAGAAGTCCTTCAATGTTGAGCACAGACAGGCATCTCTCCTCAGGCACGGGTGAACAGAAAGAACATCACCCTCAGTCAGACGAGCCTTGCCACCCGTGGGGGTGCAGAGGACGGCCGAGCAGCTGCTGCACACAACCACGCTTTGCGAGTGGCTGAAGACGGTTGTGCTGCAGGGCACATACCACTTTGTTTCAAAAAACTGTATGCAACACCCTTGATAGCCACGATCGTGATCAGCAAGAATTGAAGATGCCATCTGCACACAATAGAGCACCACCGACAGGACACGTGCAAAGTGGAGTACATCGATCAGCAGTGCTGGGGAGAGTAGGGCCAACTCACATCTGAAAGCACCCCTGGCACTTAACGTCCATGAAGAAGGAGTTTGGCGACTGAACTAATCTCTTTGTCTTGTGCTTCTGCTTTTCCAACTCTGCGGGAGGGTGCAGGAGGTCAATATCCGTGGAGAGCACCTGCGCAGAGCAAGCTTCTCAGATTGAGCTGTGCACCAGCAAAGCATCCGACAATAATTTGGTTGCATTGTGCTTCACGCCGCGGCAGCACTTCGTGCAAAGTGTGCCAAACTTCAGTGGGAAGTGCAGAAAGATGGACAACAGGACTGCGCAGAGCCCAGACCGAGGACAGGCACATCAACACGGGAATTGGCGCAACTCACCATGATGATCGATCACCGGTTGCGAAAATGCTCCTAAGCTGTATGTGCTGGAAATGCTTGATTGGAAAGTGCAAAGCCGCCGTTCTAGAAAAACTGAGAGCTGCTGCCTAGATCGACGACCCCTGAGTCAAACCCCTTCATTAAAACCCTACGATGTCTTTGCCACCTGGCGTGCCTCGTCACAGCATGCATGTCGGTGCCTAAATTGGCTTCCAAGGTGCTCGCCGAGGAATTTGGACGAGGTCCTTTGAATTGAACGAACACATTTGAGGCATTGACTAGGTAGTAAATGTTCGTACGAACCGTGAAACAGGTATCTACAATAGTTGAAATGCCTATCTCACAATCACAGGTCGGGTTGTGTCAGTTAACGGAAGGTGTGAGGGCATGCCAGGCATTCGTTGGTGCCACAGACGCTGGTCAATATCTTCGGACTTTGTTCCGGTTGTCGCGTTTTTAGGAGCGGCATTCCATCTGGTCTGGTGAGGCCCTTCCTGTCAGCCTTTGGCATCCCTGGGTGTCAGTTTTAGGTCTTCATCGGAAATCTCATTGAGGCGCTTACGTCCTGATGATCGCATCACGTCCTAAATAATCTACACGTATCTTTTTATACCTGAGTGGCGCAAATACATAACACCATGCGCTATTGATATACCGGGTTGCTCGCGTGTGGCCAGATGACTACTGTTGTGCGCAGGATTATGATAATCATCATCTTCCAATTTGCATTGGCAAAACCAGCAGATTGCGACAACGATGTGAGCAGCCGTCACTATCTGGCCAATGTGTGCCTTATCTTCGGCAGCTACTCCGCTTCTTTTCTGACGGAATGCGCCATGATCCTGGTTGGGCTCAGAGGTGCGAACTGCTTAGGAACATCCTCGTGTACAGCTTCGGGGTACCGATGCTTCACCTGGACTTTCTTCATCAAGATGTGGTGTGTCCTCATCCCTGGTGTAGCAACACCTGCCTTGTAGAATATGCGCCCTTTCTTAAAGAGCGTTCCTGGCACGGTGATTGCAGCAAAGAAGGACCCCCTGGCCGACGTATTCTTCTTTTGTACTCCAGGCACACCCCTGGAGGTTTCCAAGCGCCGGTTCATGGGCCCCCTTGTGGACCTGCAGTTTGCCCTGTGGACCCTCCAGCTTGGCATTGCAAGTACGCATGAGCACCCTCAACACTCGAAAGTTACAAAATTGTCATCCGGGTCCAATTAAACATGGTTTCTCCAACAGTACCAAGGATGCTGCCGGCATCTTGTCATGAATGGCGGCACCTGTGTGAGCAGGCAGGAAGGTATACAGAGTCTTGGGTGCAGAAGCTCCAGATGAATGCAATGTCAGGATGCCAGCACTGAGCTTCATTCGTATCTTATGAAAGGGGTGCTGCAGTTTATGGGACGTGGGTGGTTGCGGACGTGCGCCTGAGGCTGCCTGGCGATGCCTGCTGGTTCATCTACAACCGCAAGACTGCTGTCCACTTCCTGGTGTACTTCATGTGGGTGCATCTTGTGTACAACTGGTGCGCATCTGCGGGAGTTCACTCTGCAGAAGTGGGTGTGATTGCCAGCACGTGTACTGGCTCTGTTGCTATGTTGCTACACTCCTTCTCAAGCAGCTGTTTGTCTCAAAAGCGCGTGCAGTCCCTCAGTTAATCACGCTTCTGAGATGGGGATCCTGCAGAGCAGAAAGGCATACTTCCTGGTTTGCAATTTCGTGACTTATACGCTTCCTTGCTGTTGCAGGGCTCGAATTTTCATCATCTATAACATTTTCCCCACGTTTGATAGCGTCCGGGTGAGCTCAAAATCTTTGCCTTGTCGCTGCACAGCATGATGTGAGTAGTGCCGCTATACATTGGGCGCACGTGTACCTGGCAGCCTGGTTAGCCTGCAGACTGAGTGCATGCTGCAGAGCTGGAGGAGGCGGCTGGCGTGTGTAGCAATCATCATGCGCTCTCACGAAGCCTTGGCCAGCCTCGAGGAGCGCTTGGGGTGTGTATTTTCAGACAATTTAAACACCCCATCCAAAAATGCAGCTGAGACCTTTAGATAGCTATTGCTGAGGCTTTGTGCTGAGAGGAATGTGTGTGGTAGGACCCGGCGATTGCATGAGATCTCAGAGCTGTATGCGGCCATCATCCGTGGTGTGGACCTGACACCCACAGATCAGATGGATGCGCTCATCCTGTTGAATGGGCTGCAGCAGATCAGACGCCTGACACACGTTGTTGACAAGCTCAAGGCCGCCCTGGGCATTCCAGCAGGTGTGTTACAATGCTCTCCAGTGCATTGTGCAGTGCTAATCAAGATCAACTGGTCTAACAGTTGGTCAATGTTATGCTTACACCATCTAGCCAACCCTGCCCTTTTTGCTGCCCTTTCTGAACGCTGCACCTTGTGAAAGTGATTTTTCAGCTTCTTCAAGCGTGCCTGAACAGCGATGAGCTGTTTTTCCGCTACCCCAGATTCATTGTTGCCTCTGTAGGTCAGCATATGCCGCTGAAACTCTTTGTGACGGTACCTTTTGTGGTGTGGCAGAGGAAAGGCTGCCTCCAGATCTGAAGCCAATCCCGGAGCTGGCAAGGCATCTCAACCAGCAACACAGGAACGACAGTACTCGTCAGCCTGACAGTCCTGAAGCAGCATTTGAGTACGCTGAGTCCATGGAGCAGGGTCGAGCGGCCAATGCTGACACGCGGTTGCAAAGCTCCCTTGACACAGCACACTGCCTGACCCCCACAGGTGGGTTTGCAAGGCCATAACGTCCTCTTGTGGGCTCATATTTATATTCCTTCTCTTTCTTATACTCTCCTTGCAGCATCGCCAATGCCTCCCTGTGGTTTGGTTGCAAGGAATGCTGGACTTCTTTTGAGCAGACAGCGCTGTCACTAATTGGTGTCAGTTGCTTCATGTCTGGAAATGACTCAGCATGTGTCCAATTCATTTGGACAGGGTATGCTTCCATCATTGCTCAAGAGATTGACCCTGCAGAGGCTGCTGATATCTACACAGGTGGTCAACTGTCCCTGTGGCACCCACATGTATGTGTTGCAAAGACAGATCTGTTTTCGTATGCAACCCCAGCAGGTCATTCATGATCCCTCTCAGTCTTGACCATGTATTTATTCCACAACTGAGCGGTCTGGTGTGTGTGCAGGGCATCATGAAACTGTGCCGAGAGAAGAGCTGCGTGATGCCAGCAACTTTGTGCGCTTTGCCATGGCCGCCTACAGCACCCAGGCATACACCTGGCAGGTGGGCAGGTGACCAGTTCCGCCTCTCCTGCCCTCGGTGAGCTATGCATACTGTGTGCATGTTTTTAAGTGTTTGTGCTGTCAAACGCTGGTGATACATGAGACCGTCGGTACATGCCACTTACAGAGCAACAACTTCGCTGCAAATTTGTGTTGGGCACCCTGTGTCTCTTGCATGAAAGAGTTGACTTCAAGCTGTTCATAAACTACTGCCAAAGCGATAATGTAAGTGACAAGCCCCTTGCACCATCGGCTTTGCAGCTACTGGAAGGGCATGCTGCAGCTGCTGTTTGGGCGTCGGTGGCGGGCGTCGCGTGCGAATCTGCTGAACAGGGACCACATCCGCACAGTGGGCCAGCGCGTGCAGTATGAGGCCATCCTGCGCCTGGCCCAGATCGACGACACCGACCTGCTGTACTTCAACATCAGGCGCGCGCTGCTATAGCTCCCCCTGTTATCACACATTTGATTGGTTGTGTGATCGCAAGTCCAGTGCTTGGTGAGGCCGCCGTTCTTGGAGGATTGTTTCTCACGGAACACAGCAGGAAGCTGCCTACCAGAGGCACTGTGTTGGGCTGCGCCTCTTTGTGCCAACAGTGTCTTGTGCGGAACCCAGTAGGCACCAATAAATAGATGGTCTTGTCTGGTGACTGCTGCGGATGCATGCAGGGATGAGCCGCTGGGCACGCTGCCGTACATCATAGCGCTGGACAGGGTGAGCCGCTCTGTGGTGGTGGCCGTGCGCGGCACCTGGAGCCTGGCCGACTTTGTGACTGACATTGTTGCGGTGCCCCACGAGGCCGACTGGTGGCTGCCACCCAGCCTGCAGCAGGTGCCCTGCTCGGATGGACATTCCTTCTACCTGCACTTTGCTGCCATATATCTGCATGCTGTGCTGTGTGAAATTGACAGGCGCTGTGTGAAGCTGCAGACTACCTACCGTAGCACTGATTTGCAGCCCTGAGTCCCTGGCTGCACTATTTGAGTCCTGGCACAGCATGCCGATCTTCACTTACTTCATTGTTCTTTTTGCCAGCAATTTCTGAGCGGCTTTTTCTTGATGCCAACCCCATGCCTAGAATATATGATGTTGTGTTGCAGAAGCAGCAGCAGGGGCGGATGGAAGGGGTGTACGCCCACTCAGGCGTGCTGTCCGCGGCAGCGACGATCTGGAAGGACATGGAGGAGCATGGCATCCTGTCAGTGCTGCTCAGTGGCAACAGATCACTGGACCAGCCGTCAGGGCAGGACATGCAGCAGCTGGGCGAGGGCGGTCATGCCCGGGGGAAGTACGCGGCTGAAATAGCCCGAATGGGCCTGAAGGGGTATGTGACTTAAGTTGAAGAGATAGGCCTCCCTGCGTATGTCTATCCTGCATTACAAAGCCATAGAAATATTGTTTAGAGCATATTCAGGGTACTGCCAAATCCTTGCATGGCGGTGTCTTGACACTTTAGAGCACCTCATGCCTGTCGAGGTGATGAGAAGGCATAACAGATGACTCACTGGTATATTAACTACAGGAATTTGGTGTGGTGCAGGGAGGGGTGGAGGCTGGTGGTGACTGGCCACAGCTTGGGGGCGGGAGTGGCCGCACTGCTATCCCTTAAAATGCTGGATCAGTACCCAAGTGCGCTGTCATCTGCATATGCTGAGCAGGTGCTGTGCGTGGCTATGCATGCCAGAATATGCTGCCCTCCCGTGCAATCATGCTGCATCTTTGGGAGCTCAGTGCAAGAATTGGCTTGTTGCAGGGCTCAAGTGCTGGGCATACTCCCCGCCCGGAGGCTTGGTCAGCCCCAACCTGTCGCCCATCCTGGCCGGCTTCTGCTGCGGCGTGGCAGTCGCGAAGGACAGCATGCCTCGGCTGACCCTGAAGAACCTGGACCGCCTCCTCGATAAAATGATCGTCGCCCTTGCACGCAGCAACATGCACACGCTCAGGCGCGAGTTCATCCTGTCCTTCAATGCACACCCGTCAGTTGTATAAGCACTAGTCATTGCTTCATGGAGCTGTGGAAGCTGCTGCAAACTGTACTGTCTCATTTTCAGCATATGCATGGGTGTGTCTGCACTGCATAGCGACAGTCAATGCAACATGCGGCATCCAAAGAGGGCTGAGAGCATCTTTTGGCTTGATAAATCGGAGAGTCAGAGCTTGCATCAGGGGTATTGAAATTGTCCAGTTCAGCAGGATACTGCTGGGCGCGTTGAGCAAGAAGCGGAGGAGGAAGCGGCTGAGGAAGCTGTTCAGGCCGCCTGACGAGGTCCCCGCAGAGGCGCTGCGCTTCCTGTGCGAGTGTGTCCACTCCCACAAGACCTTGACCTCATGCTGACTTGCATGCCCTCTGAAAGGGCTGGGAAGCTGCACTGCCCTGTCACATGGAAGGCACAATTGAGAAGTCCAGTGATGACTGGCTGCTACGCTTACAATACACACTTTGTGCAGGTTTCGGCGGCACAGCGCAGAAGTGGACCCGCGCAACTTCCGGGAGATGTTGCCGCCCGGTCGCATGCTCTTTGTGCGGCGCCTGAAGCGGCTGCGCAAAATGAGGCGGCATCGTGAGAAGTGGCAGATCGATTGGGACGCAGTCCATGTTGCGCCAGAGGAGATTGTGCGCGAGGTGAGCACCGGTCTCATGCTTTTCATGAGCCCCACATGACTCCTCGATTAATTTTATAATTTACTTGACTTCATTTCTGCCGCTGTGGATCAGCTCGTCCTGCAGTTGCTTCTGCTGCAGTCTCCCTGGACTCACCAAGACGTCATTATTTTTGCAAGTGCAAAGAATCCTCGTTTCTGGGAAGATGCTGTCAGACCATCGGCTGCACACTCTCAACGAGGCAATCAAGATGGCAGAAGGTGTCGATCCAGACGAGTACACGCGTGCCATCCAAGCTGCAAAGCTGCCAGATCAACAGGATCAGGGAGATAGTCCTCCACCAGACACCAACCGCGAGCGCATGGGATAGACTCTAATCGGATCCGCTTGCAATTGTGTATGAATTTGTACATGTGGATGTGTCCATGCCGTGCAATAAAATATTCTATCCAAGGCTGGTCGCCTTGATGACTGTGATCATTTACATTGCACCAAACTTGTACTACCTAGTAGGAATTTTTGTCAAGCGGTGACAGGGCAGCTAGCTTGTGGCAAGGGGATGTCATGCCGCTGCTGGTGGCGCTCGAAGTGAATGCATGCGGTTATTGCTTGCAATATATGCCCCGGCTGACGGGGGCGGTATAATAACTGTGCACGGTTGACTGGGTCTTGGATCTGGCGAGTTCAAGAAGGAGTAGGAATCTTACCGTAGGAATGTGCCAGCATTGAACTGCAGCTTTTCAGCAGGACGCACCTTGTCTTTTGGCAGGAAAAGAGTGTATTAACACCAATGAAAGTAATTGCTAGCACGTATCTGCAAATAATAATATATTGTAGATCAGGCAAGTGCAACAGCAAGGGGTGTACATTGAATTGGCCACTGCTGAATATTGTTGATGCCGAGGAGTTGAAGTATGGCAGAGGCTTGCAAGGTGTACACATGTTGGCTTCAATTGTTGTGGGCACTGGCCGGGCCGGTGGCACCTCCGGCAAAACCGGTGGCCCTGCCTCACCTGATGCATTCAAGTGTAAACATACAGGTTTTTGGCATTTTAAATGAAGGGATCTATTCTAATCGAGTTGACGTGCACGTCACTGGTACCGTAGTCACTACCAAAATGAAAGGTTGACGAAAAAAGCTCAGTGGAGACGGGGGGCATCGATCCCCCTACCTCACGCATGCGAAGCGCGCGCTCTACCATTTGAGCTACGTCCCCGAACAGGTGCATCTGAGTCAGAAGTCGCTCACTTGCGGTATATATACTACTTTCTGCTGCTGGTGCTGTGCCAATCCAACAAGATTGGCGGAAAACTCCAGAGATTAGGTACCTCCAATTATTGGACCAGAATATACTCAGAGTGCATCTTTGCGTTGAGGAGGTGTTCGTTGCAGTGATTAATCGCTGCGGGAGTCAGATAAAAGGCCTGCATCCTACAGCTAAAGGATGGATCCGCTCGCAGTCCTGCGCGGATTTGTCATAGATAAAAAACTTGACCAGGTGGTTGAGTCCCCAGATGGTAGTCGTATTCAATTTGGGGATCGCTACTCGTTCCCAAAGGTATGCCCAGATCTGCGATTTGACACTTGTTGGGAATCGTATAAAGAATTGGTGTCATATACGAGCTTTTTTACCTCCTTGGAAATAATGCAGTCCAGATTGATTCACGGGATGTTGCAGGATGTGGCAACTGCGTACAAGTCTCAGATGGGTAGAGGAGATCTGTACCCTTTGAGCTCTCTAGTCTTCTTCATGAAGAATGCCAGAAAGGGGGGTGATCTTATCAAGCTAGCCAACCAGGCAGGCGTGAAACCTGTCACCTTCATCGACAGAAAGGTGAGACTGCTGTTTCAGGCCAATCAATATAACAGAAGAAATCCATGGGAATTCCCAAGAGTGTGGTGACCTATGGTTCCTGCGCTGCCTGCAGGACTTGGAGGCGTACTTGACAGGAGAAAAGGAAAACTCGGACTACATACAGCTGCCAACAGATGACATCATAGTCCCCACCACCACTGGTAAGGGTGTCCTGTTGATTGGTCAGCCTGATGGTGTGTAATCAGACAAGGACAGCAGGCTGACAATGGTAGCCTCTGCTCCAGGGGAGCCAGCAGATGACAAGGGAGCGAAGGCGCTGGCCGACTTGCTGGGGAGGGAGCGCTCGCTGCGGGATCGCAACACTCAACTGCTGGTGCCCGGCAAAAGCTTTGCCTCAGCGCTTACTATCCTGGCCACTGTACAGGTGCGCTCAACGTTAGGCATGCTTTTCTCTGCACAATTATTGAGGGGTATGGAAGAACTGGATAAATTTTGGCAGGCTCCAGCTGATCTGTGCTTAGTCTGCATGTTCTCCGACCCAGGTTTGTTCTTTTGCATGTTTGTCTTCAAGTCAGGCCATTCCACCAACTACTCGCATGTTCTCCAGGGTTCAAATAAGCTGTGCACCTTTAGGAACTGTAGAAACAATGCTGGTGCCGTGAATCAAGCTAATGTGCTGTGTGCCCTGTTCAGAAACGCCAGCAGGAGAAGGAGGCGTCGCGCAGTGGCACCGCCAAGAAGCCGAGGAAGGAGGTCATTCCTGTCATGCCCAGCAGACGGTTTGATCGGCCGGCGGGGGAGGGCCTGGCAGCGATGGGGATCGACGAGTACAAGGGGCAGCAGATTGACGCATACGGCGCGCGAAAAAAGACCGGCGACGCGGCTTCAGCATTGCCGCCGCTGCCCCCGCCACCGCCCCCGCCGCCAGCGGACGACAGGCCACCGCTGCCACAGCAGCCACCTGCACATCGCAGCCGGCACCAGTCCTCACAGGAAAAGCACAGGTTTGCAGCTAGTCAGCAAGCTATTGGTTGCTTGGTATCCTGACCGTCACTTGTGCCTGCTTTGAGTGCTGCCTGTGACCCTTGCCATTTTGATGGGATAACGAAATTTGAAGACTTTCCGCTGAATGCATGCACAGGCCTTCATCATCTGGGCGATCTGCTGGGGCCGCGCACAAAAGCCAGGACAAGAACTCCATGATTGGCGCTTCTCCCATCATCATTGTGCCAGCTGCTGCCACTGCCACCATCAACATGCTCAATGCCAAGGTGCGTGACCAAGGACCTGACTGTACCTGTCCGAAGATGATTGTCTGCCTTGCAAACAGCAAATTGCGATGCCCACATGTCACGCCTGAGTCAGAAGGCTGAAGGCAACTGTTGTATGTGTGCAGCTGTTCCTGGAGCAGGGCACGTACCGATCTCCGCAGCAGGTGGCTGACGAAGGCGGCACAAACAGCAGCACTGAGACATTCATGCGCACCATCGGACGCACTAAGCCCGTGCGCTACCGTATCGTCAACAAGGCGCCCGAAAAAAAGAGCTATGACTGGAAGCGGGTTGTGGCAGTCTTTGTGTCAGGGGCCAACTGGCAGTTCAAGGGCTGGCCATTCGAGGTGAAGCTTCTTCCCTGCTATTCTTTGCTGTGCTTCACAAAGTGTGCACCTAATTTGTGATGTGCTGTAGTTGGAATCCTGTACTCATTTGGAAGGATGTTGTGCAGGGTGCGGAACAGGGTCACTTGGCTGACACGTTGTCGCGCATGCTGGGGGTGTACGTGGGGCTGAAGGGCGAGGTGATGCCAGAGAACATCAAGAAGTGGAACGTGCTCAAGGTGAGGCGCTTGCACAGACTTGTTTGAATCTCTACTGGATCCTATTAGCATTCTCTGGTCATTGCTTATCTGCAGTTCTGGATGCAAATGCTGGCTGGATTCCATGCTGACGGGAGGAATGCTTGCAGGTTGAGGTGCCCAAGGACAACCGCCACCGTGACCGGCCCATCGTGCAGGACATTTACACAGCGCTGGACAAGTTCCTGGCCGCGCACCAAAGCCCCCTCAGATACTGAGGAGACCTGCACACTTTCAGGATGTACCATTTGGGTTGCTGCTTTCTTCTTTTGTCGATTGCAGTGAAGGAAGCATTGCTGGACACCGTGCTGTCCTGATGTGAAGCCGCATACTAAATTCGTAAACTTGACCATGCTAAATCTAAAGCGAGCAAACCCTGAGGCCCTCATGACCACGTCATCTTGATAGGCATGCTTGCCGAGACAGTCCTGTTGACTAAGCTCAAAGTTGCGAAAGCCACTGAGTGTAAAACATGCTGGCTTTACATAGCGCTGGAAGAATTTGACAGAACTAGTTGGCAGTACTGTATCGGCCGGCTTGACCTTCCACGAATGATGGCAATACTGGGTGTTCTGCGGAAATCTTGCATTCAAGAGCTGGTACAGGCCAGTATATGGAGTCCGCAGCCTTCCCAAACTCATCGTTATTGATCCTTCAAAAAAGTGCCTCCTCACGATTGATGGGCTGTAAGAAGCTTTGAAGAAGAGTATAAGAACGTTAAAGAACTATAGTATTATATATAGTAATTAGTATCATAAGAACATTCAAAAAAGTGTATGGGATATTTCTACAATAAGAGGTTTTAAGGAAGAGCATTCGGAACCGGCAGACTTCATCCATGATTTGAGTTCTCCACCCTGAACATGTACCCCTTGAGTGGACACTGAGTGGACCTGCCTAAATAGGCTGCATGCTAGGACCTGCACCCATGTCAGGATGCGAAGGGGAAATTTGTGTCATTTTGCCAGAGGAACAGCTTGCAACAAGTTTGACGGTCCCGGAAGTACCTGCTGTGTCAGCAAATGATGACTATTGATGAGTAGAGGAAAGGAATATGCTGGTATGCAATAAACGGTAACTTGAACCTGAAATAGGAGCTGTTGTCCTAGAACTGTGACTTGTGTGGTCCTGGTGCTGAGACCTGTAACGTTGACCTTGTGTAATAAAGCATCCGTGTTATCTAGGGAACGGCCCACGGTGGGGGAGCGCACGTTTGGCCTCGCTGCAGGGAACTGTCGGATCAGGATGAGCAACCCGGTATCCCGGTAAGGTGTATGCGTGGTAGAGAGCGTCGTAAACCTGGACATGTAACTTTCAAGGAGTATTTTGACGATTTAAAGCACATCAAGCAGTTGCAGAACTTTCTTGAGCACGCAAGGATTTTAGCTACTGAGTACGCCGGGAGTACTACTAGTAGTCGCATCGCTGAGGTTAATAAAACATATTTTCCTTCGGAGTGGGAGAATGATTCCCGGCAACAAGATTCACATCGTGGTCAACAGAGCTACCAACCTCCTCCTGATCCGGAGTACTTTGAAGCCCAGCAACAATACTTCAACGCAGAGCCATTGCCGAGGGCAGGCGGAAACATGGTTTATAAATCAGCAGCAGCTACAGCCACGTTTTGGTGGCAGGCCGAACGAGTTGCAGCTGCCTCTTTGGGAATAAACTATCACAGACCCCAAGCCCAAGCACCAAGGGAGCCTCCAGCTCCACCAAGGTTTTGGGAGCACGACGATTGCCGGACAAGACACCAGCCCAAGCTAGACACGACAGGCACAAGAGCAAAGGGCGTAGCAGAGCTACTGCCAACTCTTGAAGACAGCCAAGTCTGAATAGCCGTACCGTGTGCCATCTTTGAGCCCTGAGAGGAGGCCATCAGATCACAAGCGTCCGATCCTTGATCAATCCAAGGCACAGCGATTGTTGCCCAGCACAGAAGCAGGAGAGCTCGATCTTGACGAGACCAATATACATCAAAGGCCAGCAGTAGAGAAAGTATCCAAGAAGATAAAGCTATCTAAGCCAGAGCAAGCAGAGAACTTCTACTTTTTTAGAAAACAAATGGGAGCAGGCAATCCAAGCTAACTCCAAGACAGCGGAGGAGCAGAAGTAGCATTTGAGCCGAGTTGCACGTCAAGCCGAAGAAGAGATCAGGGGTCAATTGACACTTGGAAGCCAAGGAGCCTTTTGATGAAATCGCGCATACTGTCAGCTCTGTGCAGGCCAGTGGGGAACAGGCCAGAAGTGCCATCAGTAATACTTTGGGGCACTTTGACGCTCTTGACAAAGACGCGTCAGAGTCCGTCAAGAGTACCAAGCACTATGGGGACCAGAAACTTCACACATGTTTCCAAGGAACTTCACATCTGATGCCAGTGGTGAAGCGTTTGTGCTGTGATTGTGAAGTAAGGTGATGTGGACGTGAAGCCGTTGTTACAGTCACTAGGAAGGGGTTGGGACGCCGTCGTGAAGTCAGGCCGCCAGCGGCCTAACTTCACAACCAAGTTTGAAATGCCGGTTGTGACCCTGTTGCGACGCGGTCGTGACGTCATTGTGACGCAATTAAGGCTTTTTTACGACCGCACCACTCACTTCCTAATGACTTCCAAGCCACTTGCAAGTTTGAGGGCACGTGTGAAGGATGTGGGAAGTAGCCATGAAGTTATTGGGAATAACGCCGGATCGGCATGCATCCCGTGAAGATCCTAAAAGGTTCACATTCGGATCCAAAAATGTTGCATGCTGATGTGGTAGGGAACTGGATGTGAACAGGTAACCGCCGCGTGTGATGTCGTAATGGCTTTATTACAACTTCCCTACCAGTTCCCATACAATGAATCTGTGACCCCAGTGTGAAGGGATAAGGAATTGCAAGGTTTACACCAAGTGTTTTGGGATTGGGGTGTCCAAAAATGGACCCCCGTTTTAAGGGTGATCTTGGGCAATTTCGATGTGTTGATCACGCCTACGAAGTCATAATTTGAAAATTCGACCTCCTTGGCTCTCTATAAGGCCTCAAACATGGTTTCAGGCTAGGATTTGCATAGGGTTGGCTCTAGCTCCTCAAAAGGGGGGCCTATGGCATAGTGGAAAGACTTGCAATGGGACATATACATATAGGGCTTTCATTTGATGCATGTCTCACCAAAAGTTGCAATGCCGTTTTGGAGCAATCACACCTTGAAAAAAGTGATCATTTCCCTTCTAGTCTTGTGGAGCCCCTAGCTCCTCCAAAGGGGGGCCTATGATATAGTGCAAAGGCCTCCAATGGGACCCACTCATATTTAGGGTTTAGGGTTTAGGGTTTTTATATTTAGGAGTGTAAGGTTTAGCTAGTCTTCAAAGGCCATTGTGGAGCAAGAAAGGCTTTGTCTGTGTGCTATCAAGGCTCAAAGCCTCCATGTGTGACCAACACTATAGGTTGAGGTGGGGCCTTGAACATTGGAAGGCCCACAACCCATAGAAGCATGGCTAGGCATGATGGTAGCATGATGGTCGATGAACCATGATGGGCATCCCATGATGGGCAGAGGTCAAATAGCAGCTATCCTCCGCCACCAATCCTCCAATAGCGGCTATTCAAGCATGCATGCAGCCAAATAGCTGCTATTGGGGCTCCTGCAGAGGCATGTGAATTTGGCCAAGTACTGAAGAGGTTTATTAATAGCGGCTATTCAAGCATGCATGCAGCCAAATAGCTGCTATCGGGGATCTGCCTAGGTACTGAAGGGGGCTACAATAGCAGCTATTCAAGGACCCATGCAGTCCAATAGCTGCTATTGGTGATCTGCCTAAGTACTGAAGGGGGCTATAATAGCGGCTATTCAAGGACCCATGCAGTCCAATAGCTGCTATTGAGGATCCGCCCGAGTACTGAACAGGTTTGTTAATAGCGGCTATGCATGGACCCATGCAGCCAAATAGCAGCTATTGAACCCCAGCACGCCATGAATAGCTGCTATTTGGCAGCCAAAAGTACTTTTTGGCCAAATGGCCTTGGCAAGGCGTGGCCTCTTGTAGACGTTGTCCATGGACCCTAAACACTCAAATGAAACTCTTGGCACTCTGTGATTCACCTGTTCATGGAGCCCACCATCAAAAGTCCATGAAATGGCACTCAAAAAGCTGCTATCCTAGCAGCCATGCACATGCTATGAGTCCTATGACCACACACCCTTAATAGAGGTTGATAATTTCGGGATACCCACCATGACTATCTACATATATTTATGAGAAGCTTGTGGATGTGACCACATGTGGTGAAAGCCCATTCTAGCTCTTGAGGAATTATGTTAGGGTTTAGGGTTTACATTTTAGGGTGTAGGGGTTAGGGTTTAGGGTTTAGGGTTTAGGGTTTAGGGTTCAGGGTTTACGGTTTACGGTTTAGGGTTTAGGGTTTAGGGTTTAGGGTTTAGGGTTTAGGGTTTAGGGTTTAGGGTTTAGGGTTTAGGGTTTAGGGTTTAGGGTTTAGGGTTTAGGGGTTAGGGTTTAGGGTTTAGGGTTTAGGGTTTAGGGTTTAGGGTTTAGGGTTTAGGGTTTAGGGTTTAGGGTTTAGGGTTTAGGGTTTAGGGTTTAGGGTTTAGGGTTTAGGGTTTAGGGTTTAGGGTTTAGGGTTTAGGGTTTAGGGTTTAGGGTTTAGG